TGACGCTGTCGGCGAACTGTCTTCTCACTCCCGACTCTTGGCCAAAACGCAATTCGAACGACCGAGCATTTACTTCGCCATGGTGGAATCCGGAGATGAGAGGAAGGCGACCAATGAGATCAAGGTGGCAGCTGCAAGCCGCAGGATCATTGTAAAGGTACAAGAGGATGTCCTGGGTCTTATCGAAGTAGCCGACAATGTACTAAGAGACGAGGTCGCGTACTTCCATCGACAGTCCACAATCATACAGCAAGTCGCGAGCAAGAACGCAGACAAGGACGAGCCTCGCAAGCCTGCCACCGAATTGCCCAACATCTCGCTTGCGCTGTTCATGGACGCATATCAGATCGAGCTTGCAGTGCTCCAGCCACTCGGCTGGTCGATAACAGGCTCTTCCGGACGTATAGCTGTTGTCCCTACCCTGGGCAAACATGTCACTTTGCGTGTCGACTACGACCTCGAAGCCAATTTCCATCGGCTTTACAGCACCTCGAAAGATGGCTCTCATGTCATCAGCTCGCTTGAGCTTCCTCCTCTCAATGGAAGAGTGTCTATAACGCAAAATGAGAAAGAGACTAAAGTATTGGCGTCTGGTATCGTCGAGATGGTACAGGTCCAGGCTTCAGAGATACAGTCCTTCATCACGACCCTCAATAAGCCAGAGATGTCACACATGTTCCAGGCAGTCCAGGACGATGTCGGAGTTCTGAAGACGCACATTGAGGAGCTGTTCCCAGCTTCTGTGGAGTCGCCAGTAGTCAAAGCTCCGACCTCGTCCCGGGACATCTTGTTCAGTGTGCAAATGACCTTGCATGGTATGCACATTTCAGCTAGCGCTCCTGGTCAACACCCAGACTCACCAACAGCCAATCTTGCGTTCCGCTTGTCCACAGTGCAGCTAAGGGCTACGAATATTGACTTGGATCAAAGCATCATGTTGTATCCGGAAGCTGTCGTCCGAATTCATGAAGTCACCATTGACATGAATCTGAAACACGCAACCTCCTTCCGCCAATGCGGTAATCTTACGTTCGGCGCGGTCTTCCAAGCCACTACAGAGAAAGACTCTGAACCTGCCCGCAGAGTCTACCGCCTGCGAAGCTCAGGACTGGAGGTGAATGTTTTTGCGGACACAGCGTCAGCGGTCGTAGATGTGATGAATCACCTTCAAGACAAGATCAAGGATCTGGACCTCTCCAAAGAAAAGAAGTATTTGCGTCGCCTCCGACACACGAAGAGCAGAATTTCTCATCGACGCGACCGTAGTGTCAAGAGCGATGCGCATCAAGACTCTGACAGCCTCAGTTCTGGAGCTCTCTTCACATCGACGTACTCCTTGGAACTACTGGATCTACAGGTCAGCTGGATTGTTGGGAATTCAGTGGCTCCCTTCCCTAGGAATGAAAATCACGATCTTGTGCTTTCCTTTGGGAAGATCGACCTTTCAACACAGAAAGACGATGCCGCACGCTTGATGATCGAAGAGATGCGGTTACAGATGGTACCAGTATCGGCGAACAAGAAAGTGCGATCGCTCAACTCGGCATTGCTACCAAAGATGGTGTTCAATGTAGCATATGCGTCGACCAAAGACACGCGCAAGCTGGCATTCTTTGCTGCTGGTAAATCGCTTGACCTCCAGCTCGATTCGCATTTCGTCTTGCCAGGTAATGTAATTGAGCGATCTATCGCCCTCGCTGGTAAGAAGTTCCGGAAAGCTTCTGCGAACTGGAGTATGACCCCGACGACTACCGGGGCGCAGCGGAAGAATCCTTTTGGGAACAAACGCCTTGCGTCGCTGACCGCTGATATCAACTTTGCCGGAGCTGTCGTTCACATTCACGGAAGCGATGCAGCGCCGGTTCAAGGTGCTTCTGGCCGAGCTCAGCAAAAGGGACGTTACAGCCAGTTCGTCGGTGACGAGTCGAAGAGCAGTCTGGCCTTACGAGCGCCAGGTGTCGCTGTACGCGTCGAGTATATGGATGACGGAAGTGATCCTTCTCTCAACGCTGAGCTTCGTGTTGATGGATCAACCAATACGTTACTACCGACTGTCGTCCCCATCATCATTGACATATCCGATAGCATCAAGGCCGTAGTCCGCGAGAAAGATGAGGATGCAGCCGAATCATCTCAACAGCCCCAAGACCAGTCTAAGCCGACGGCGAAGCTACTCGAAGAAGACAACATTATCACCGCAGACCCAACGACCATCTTGGGCAGAACGAGACTGAACCTGGGACTACGAATATGCAAACAAGAGTTTAGTCTTAGCTGTCAACCCATCGCTCGTGTCACGGCAATCGCCAAGGTTGAGGACATTTACATCACTGTCAACAGTGTCAAATCTCAGGAGCACGGTCACTTCTTCGCTGCTTCAGCTACGTTCGAGAAGCTTGTAACAACTGTGCAGCATGTGTACTCCCGGGAGTCGACGTTCAGCTTGGATGTAGAATCGATCGTGTTATCCTTGATGAACAGCAAGCATCTCAGCGGTACTAGTGGCATATCAGCTATCCTCAAGATCAACCCGACGGCTCTGCAAATCAACGCTCGTCAACTGCAGGACTTCTTGTTGTTTCGCGAAATCTGGGTGCCACCAGAAATCCGTCGAGCTTCTAAGCCGACGTCGCCTAGCGCCAACTCGGAGCCACAAGAGTATCTCATCCAACGCTATCAGCAAGTTGCTGCCGCTACTGCATTCCCTTGGAACGCCAACATAGCCATCGCAGATGTGAAGGTCGACCTAGATCTAGGCCAATCTATCGGAAAGTCATGGCTTCACGTCCACAACCTGTGGGCGTCGTCCAAGAAGACTACCACATCTGAGCAGAACCTGTGTGTCGGAGTGGAAAAAATTGGCATAGAGAGTACGGGCCGCACTAGTGGCTTCATCGAGCTGCATGAGATCAAAGTACGTACGTCAATTGGATGGCCGTTACAAGAGGTGGACACTCGTCAAACACCACTCATCCAAGCATCAGTCGCTTTCCGTCAGCTACGCGTCCGGACTGGGTTCGACTTCCAAGCGTTCGTCATGGCGGATATTGCGGAGTTCGCCTTCCTAATGTACAACGTTCGCCCAGAGGGTGAAGATGTACAAGATCGGTTGGTGGCTATACTCGATGGTGGCAAGGTACACGTCTTTTGTCATGCTACGAGTGCCGCACAGGGTCTTGCGCTATGGCAAGCGATTGAACGGCTGATCCAAGAGAACCAACAAGCGTACAAGCAATCTCTCAGGGATATCGAAAAATTCCTCCGTCGCAAATCATCAGTGCCGGAACCCTTTGAGCGATCAGGGTCAAACAGCCAGCTCATCGCGAAGCCCGACGAAGACAACTTCAAAGCACCAATCTCACTACACACTGATGTTGTGGTCACATTGCGGTCAATCAGGTTTGGTGTCTTCCCATCAACCTTTATAGACAATCAAGTCTTGATGCTCGAAGCTGGTGACATGCAAGCGCGTTTTGCCGTCGCACTAGAAAAGAAGACCAAGATTCACTCCAGTCTCGGCATGACGTTGGGCCAACTTTCCGTCGCACTGGCTTCAGTACCCACACCAAAGAAGATCAAGCCCGTGACCGAACTCACCGTTGAAGACGTGTCCGCGAGCGTCAGCTCCGCCCGCGGCGGCACCATCCTGCGCGTACCCAAGGTCATCGCTACAATGCATACTTGGCAAGTACCCAAGGGCACACATATCGACTACCTCTTCCGCAGCTCCCTAGAGGGTAAAGTAGACGTCGGTTGGAACTACTCGCGCATCTCCTACATCCGCACCATGTGGTCAAACCACTCCCGCACGCTCGCCTCACGCCTCGGCAAACCCCTCCCCGAGTCCAACATCAAAATCAGCACATCTCAAACCCTACAAGACGACCCCAACGCGCCTGCCCCCGACTCTCCCTCCTCAACTTCCGACTCTACAACCGCCATGCCTTCGAACCGGCCCCGCGCCCCCTCCGTGTCGCCAGACGGCCAAGAAAAGATCACAGCGGTCGTGAATGTGCCACAGTCACGCTACGAGTATACGCCGCTTGAGCCGCCGTTGATCGAAACGCCGCAACTGAGGGATATGGGTGAGGCGACGCCGCCGTTGGAGTGGATTGGGTTGCATCGCGATCGTCTGCCGAATGTTACGCATCAGATTGTTATTGTGACGTTGTTGGAGGTTGCGAGGGAGGTGGAGGAGGCTTATGAGAGGATTCTGGGGAGTAGTTGAGTGGGAGGCTGGGGGTGAAGAGGGGAGGGGAGAGGATGTAGGAGGGGATGGGGATGTACATATGTTAGCTGTGTCTTTTGTTGGAGTTTGAGGCCTGGGCTCGGTGCATTGGGTTTTGGCGTTTTGTAAAAGCGTGTTCTGCTGTATAATTATTCACATGGCTGTTAAAATGTGACTTGATCCTGCTATTTAGTATTCTCCTGGTCTTATAATGTGCGCATTCCCGTCTCAAAATGGTCGAGGTACTTTTCCTGCGATGTGCTTTAGATGAGAAGCGTTGACTTCGCGCGCTGCACAATGCAAAGGTCGTGTGCAGTGGTGTCTGCTCTCCAGAGTGATTACCACAATTCCTCTCTTGTACCCAATTCGCTCAAAAATGGGATGTCTTCGTATGACGGCTGTTGTGGCAGTGTGGTGACGCGTTGCAATTCACTAATCAGTGAAGGTGAACGTCACTTCCTTCGATCATGAACGCGCCTTCCTCATCCTCATCGCATAGCTATTACTCACCGTTGGCTCGCTTATCGGGCCATTCGCTGACAGAACACGAAAAGCGTCCTTCGCCACTAACCCGCAATGAAGACGTTGAGATACCTGATCTCGTGGTTTGAGTGAGTCCCCTCTCACCTGCGCTTCACCGCGGTTGACACACTGACATCATACACAAAGCCCAGATACTATTCCGGCCGTCACAAGTACACCAACCTCCACGATAACACCCACAACTGAAATCCAACAGCCCGAGAAAGATATCCTGATTCTCCAACCTAAGATGTCCACCTCCAACAACCACGCTGTCAGCAATGGCAACAGCACCCCCAAAGAGCCCACCTTCTACCACAACTCCGCTGAGCTCTTCGATCTGGGCATAACCCGCTTCGACCAAGACACCGCCGCAATCGGCGACCGCGACTTCGCGCTCCACGCCCAAGGCCCCGTCCTCGCGCGCGCCGGCCGAGCGCCCCGCGGCCTCGAAAGCCAAGTCCACGCCTGGAACACATTCCAATACACTACCGAAGAAGTTAATGAGCGTGAAGAGCTCAAGGGAGATCTGCATGGCGGACAGTTGCATCGCGAGAATAGGGCGGCTGCGGGTGGGCAGGGCGCGGGCGGTATGGGTGGCGGTGGAGGACGAGGCTTTGGCGGTGGTTATGGAGGTAGATGTGGGGAGAGGGGCGGTCGCGGTGCGGCTAGGGGTGGTAGAGGTGGTGGTGTGGGACGTAGTGGGAGGGATGATGGAATGTTGGAGGGGCTGTGTGCGGGTAGGAAGCCGGATTATGATTGTCCACCCATGGCAAAGGGGATGGCGGAAGAGATGGATAGGAGTATGTTTTGGGACGGACCGATCGTCTAGGAGAGGTGGGGATGTGCTGAGGGAGTGGGATGGTGATATGTGACGTTTTACTTATGCCTCGTCGTCGCTGATGAGGTGGGCTGCTAAGCTTATGCCTGATACGACATCGTAAGTACCTCTACGAGATGAAGTCGGGGAATGCAATGGCCTAACCGAGATATGACAAGACTCTCGTAGAGCTAATCCATCTGAAAACAAAGCATCAATTGTATCTACTTGTGTCGATGATACCGCCATCGTCAGGACCAGCTTCCTATCTCTTAACCTGAAAACGTTCGTCTCTGCTTCTTATTCCTAAGAGCAGTCAGCATCTTTCCAGATTCCCTTCCTTCTTCAGCAACCCAACTAACCTTTCATTCCTCCTGTGTTGCTTCCATAAACACCTCAGCAGATAGGCGTACATATACATGTCGCCATCGTCGGTGAACTGCCGACAATGCACTGCCCAGGGCACTGAGCTACGCAAGTTGGAAGAGCGACGCTTTTATTGCAGATAGCTCTATTGCCTGAGTCGCATGGAATAGCAACGGCCTTCGCTCCCATGAAGAGGGCAACAGCAGGTAGGAGGATAGTTGGAAGATACATGTCAGTGAAATGAAAACAGGGGTATGATGAGAGTAAGGGCTTTTGGTTACGGTGAACGGAGGTGATGTGCGGTAACGAAAGAGAATCATCAGATGTTATACAGATCTGAAACTAGGCTCTTCAAACGATGACTGTTCTGAATTGACGTTCAACTGGAACAAGGAATTTTCTCAGCTGATGCCTGCTGATGACGACAGCACACACAGCATTGTCCAAATTGGAATACACCTAACTTTCCTTCGAAGATCTACATGCGGTAACTCGCTAACATCACTTGATCTCAAATAATCTCGTCTGATTAGGGTCCCGATTCTGCGCAACCTGGTCCTCGCTTTCTCCACTTTCTCCGGTCGTCCAATTTCGTCCCCCTTTCGTCCGCGTTAGCCCAGCCACTTCCCTACAATCTTTGCTTCAAACTTACCTCTTTCCATTGCTGTCATGCTTTCTACACTGTCAAGTCTCTTAGCATTTACATGTCATCACTGTATTCGCCATCTCGCCCTTCTGTACACATGTCCCAGGACAGCTAGCCCGGCATGCAGATGCTGAGACCAAGGAACCGCACGTCACAACCGCAGGGGCAGGGGCGGCGGCTGCGAGGCCGAAGGAGAGAGTAAAGAGTGTGACGAGAAGGGTTTGAAGATGCATGGTCGTTTTAGCTGGTGGATTTGGAGGTGAAGAGTGGTGGCTGATGGTTGAGAATAGTGCTTTTGGTTCTTGGACAGATGAAGGTTTTGGAACATTAAGTGTAGGGCCTTTTGCTTTAAGGGCGGATAGGAGATTTCTTTTGGGAGTGGAACGTAAGGGATTGCTGATATCGAAGCATTGTTGCGCGTCTCACGTCAGGCAATTTTGGACATCACCCCATAGCGTCAGCTCCTCTCATATTGCCCACTGTGTCAACCACATCACGCCATCAAAATGCTTCAGTCTTTCTGTACATCGAAGCTTGTCTTGTCTCGCTATACCCCTGCCACTAACATACATTGACACCGCCCTTTTGGCTTGTCTTACGCCCACTCGCATTCTCGGTGTATCATCTGGTGTTTAAGGCATCAATGACCGATGCGCCAAAAGGGTCTTTAGACTCACTATTCGTCTTCCATCACCTCAACCCATTCTCTACCTGAACCCTATCTACCGACATACACAGATCGATCCCGGGTTCAGACTCGTGCCCGAAGCAACGCAGCGGCCTGGACAGTTTGCTTCACAGTAGCTTGCAACATGCACGGTGCCGCATGCAACACCTGATCGTGTTTCACCGGCAGGAAGAGCCATAGCGGTGGCAATGGTTGGGAGGATGATGACGAAGAGATGGTGTAGATGCATAGTTGGTATCGTTGATGTATGGATGAAGGGGTTGTGGAGTGATGCAAAGGAATCTGAGTGGACTGAAGCGGTATATATCTTTTCGTGTGTTCGGGTTTGAGAAGGTGAGCTATGAGGTGAGCGATGTTAGATCTCCAGATGTAGGGAGATGAAGGGATGAGTGATATAAGGGATGTTTTGCCAGGACACATTCATGCATGTTGCCCCTCATGCTTTCATAAATGCGTCAACGAGTTATAATTTACCGTGCCAGAGAACTGCACACTCTCGTGTCTGGTCCAACATATCCGATCCTCGATTAGGAAACCTACCATTCCCACTCCTTGGCAAATCCAACTTCGACCGCAGTCTTCCTCCTCACCGCGATCCAATTCCCTTAATTTAACCTGCGTACGCATCAGATGATGTGGTTCTTTTATCCAAATTGGAGATTGACATACCAATTATGCACTTCCAGCTCCACCTCCAGCTCCACCTCCGCCCTGAGCCCAAGGACAGTCACACCACACATAACTGCTCTGCTGCACGCACTTTCCAGGGCACGATTGCAGACAAGTGCTCATGGGAGCGACAGCTCCACACTCCACTATGACGGCCGCGGAAGTTGTCGTAATGAGTGTGAGGGTAGTGAAAAGGAGGGTTACGATGGGAACGTGCATGTTGAATGACTGGTGTTTGTGGCGAGATGGCGTGGAAAAAGATCGGGAGGTGAACTTGCGGAGGGCGATTCACTAGTAAGGAATGATGAGATATTTCGATCTGAGGAAGGAAAGAAGATCTTCAAGATAATAAAAGCTGGATGATGGGAAGATGAAGGGGGCGAGACGTCCCTTACGCCGGCAGAATGCGCTGACATGAAGGCACGGGTTTCGAAAAGATGTAATACGCATGTTGGAGGCGTATGGCACCGCATGGCCGGGCGTTATAGTATGTAACACAATTGCTGTTGGTTGAGATGAGTGAAATAATACCGAAGATGTAGGAAGCACCGTGCCGCCAAGGATAAGCTGACATATGCTGATGCGATGCGACAAGGGCAGCCATGTGTTCTGCGTAATGGGAAGGTTTCCAAATTGTGTCGCATTCTGAACAAACATCCTTAAGCCTATATTACCCTAGAACTGTTCAGTTGTGAGCGGTTCATCATGTGTATGCAGTAAGCATCCCTGTCAGCGCTCAGGACTTCTTGAAGTGACGGTGTATCAAGCCGCACAAACTCTCCCACAACACCTGGTCCGTGCCTCTTAGCCATTCGATGACCACCTCGCGCGCCAAGTCTACAACCCGAATACGGAATGCTAGCTCGATCTTTCGTGCGGAATCCTCCTTCATATCAACAAGTCCTTCCCTCTGTTTGCGTTCGTATGCACGGCGATAGGAGCGACTCCATACATTCTGGCTTGCCTCGCCGATACCGGCAGATGAGACGGGATCCCAGGTCCAGGTGAGGTCGAGTGATTCGAGTTGATCGTTGATAGCGTCTTTGGCAGCTTGCGGTTCGACTGCGGGTGGCAGGGCGATGGGATAGGAGGTTGGAAACGGTAGGTACTCGTTGGCCATTCGCTCTATACGTGCGTGGCTATTTCTTGGTCTGAGGTCGCCGAAGCTCCACGCAACGATCCATCGCTTGGTGCTTGATCCAACCTCTATAGCGCCAACCGCCCAATTGGTGATGCCATGCTTCTTCAGAAGATTAATAATAGCCTTAGCACTGTCCATCTTTCCGAACATGCTGGTATACCACTGCACCTTGTCCTTCAAAATGAGACTCTCGTTGACCATCTTCGTGACGAAGCCTAGGTCACCACCAAGACAGACCATCTCGTTTTCTGAGCCGGTACATACAGCGTTGGGTTTCCAGCTCTTTCCTTCACCCTTCAAGCTAGACTGCATGTCGGACACGTCGGTGAAGAAGGGTGGATTGCAGATGGTGAAGTCAAGACGGTCTACACCAAGGGCTGCCAGTGGTATCACTGGGTTCAACTCGGTGGTTTGGAGTAGCTTGGTACGTGTCATGAAGTTGTTGAGCGCGAGGTTGCGAGCTGCTGAGTCGAAGCTCTTCTTGTCGATATCAGTGGCGCACATTGACCAATTTGGGCGTGACCTCAGACATAACAAGGTGTATATCGCAGAGGCTCCGGTACCAATGTCCAGGCCTTGGACTTGACGATTTGGATCGTACTTGCTAGAATAGTCAGGTGATGTCGAGTCAATCAGGCCTTGCAGCCAGGCTACGTAATTCCAGCGATTGGGTATTGGTGGGCACAGGCGATCATCTGGCACGTCTAGTTGGAGGCCAAAGTCGACTTTCAGGATGGCTTTTGATAGGGTCTGGGCAGTCTCGGGGTCTTGAAAGTCCAATTTGCCGGACGTTCGCTGCCATAGTTGTTTGAATTCCTTGTCGCTCTTGGTAAGGGCTTTGAAATCGACGGTGTCGTATGGTGGTCGCTGCGCAAGATCCATTTTGACCTCTGGCGCTGACATAAAGGTGATTGGGCGTAGGAATCGCAGCGTTGCTGTGATGTAGTCTGCAAGATGTGGTGAGGGAGGCATTCAACGGGCAGGTGCCGGGAAGTTAACGCTTGGGCCAACCCGCCCTGATTGGCTAACAGGACCGGAGGAGATGGGACGAGGAAGGAGCCACCGGAGCATCTTTTACAAGCCAGAAACTGAAAAGGTGCACTGCCGCCTGCATTAGTACAAAAAGCGAAATTGACGAGATACCCAGGCAACGTAGACATCTAAGAGGTAGGTGAGAGCGTAGGAAAGTGTACAATTGATATACAGGAATTTGATAGCGTCGCCGCAACTCCCGCTCACACCTACTGTATGCTGTCTACCCAACGCCGAATCCATTATGCAATCAGATCAAGAAAGGCCCGTCGTACGCTCCATCGGCTTCCTGCAGCCGTACTTCTTCGAGCGTCGGCACGGTTCCGGGTCTGTAGAAGCCCAGGAGCATTTCCATGTCCTCCTCGGTCATGGAGCAGAGGTCGTCGAGCGAGTATTGTTCGCACACCTTGGACATCCTGCGTTGGCTGAGTCAGCGGATACGTTCCGGGTGCGATGTCGGGAACATACCATTGCATCCGCTTTGGGCCCTCCTCGATGTTCGGAGCGACCTTTCGCAGCTTCCTCCGTAGCATGCCGACTCTTTGCACGGCGTTGCCGATGTTGTATGGTAGCCCAGCTGCTATCTGCCTCCTGACGATGTTGGCCAGCTTGGGACCATTGCCGTTTGTGCTGACCATGATCTGCAATGGCCCATCGCGATGCACGCTGCCAAAGTAGAAGTCGCACTCGGGCGGGACGTCGGCAATGTTGGCTGCTATCCGCCTCTCCTTGCATAGCTTGTAGATCTGCGACGAGGCCTCCGGATCGTCGACGGCCGTCAGGACCATGTCAACGCCATCGAGGTCTTGGGGTTCAAACTTGCGATCGACATAGTCGACCTGGCCCTGTTCTATCCGGTAGGCGACTTCTTCGTTGAGGCCGTCCCGCGGAGAGACGACGGTGATTTTGGCGTCGGCATTGAGCACGTTGACTATGCGACCAGCGGCGACCTAGACTTTTGTCAACCGTCAATACTTTGTAAGGGGCCTGGGGGTGTAGACGTACTTCGCCGCCGCCGACTACCAGGACGCGCTTATTGCGAATCTGCCATGCGAGAATCAGAGAGCCGCCGCCTTGGATCTCGGGGTAGGGGCCTTTCATGGTGCGGAGAGTGTTGCGGAGATGGAGCATGCAGCGCGGAGATAGCCATGTCTCGATTCCGCGTCATTGCCAAGGCCGTGCTGGAGAAGGCGGCCGGGCTGGCTGGGCTGTAGAGTTTTCCTATCGCATGCAACTCGCAATCACGCAATAATGGTTCCCTCGCTGCCACTAGCCATGTCTACATGGTGCGACCACGGGACGGGGACGCGTTTCCAAGATGCCGGCATGTGGTCCTGCAGCGCATCCCTAGCGGCCCTTGCAACGGCGCGCCCAAGACCCACGCCCTAGCCTACCCATGCCGGCCCATGTACCTTCACGACTCCAGCAGACACTCCCGAATATGACCTCGCGCAGGTCCCTGGGCGGCGGCCGCGTACTCGGCAGCGGGAGGAATCTGTCGCCCGCCGCTGCACCTCCGCAGCCTGCAGCCGCCCACCGCCGCAATGCGAGCCTCCTCTCGCCCTCTGAGAGCTCCGTCTCGCTGAACTCGCAGGCGTCCAACAGCCCCGCCAGCACCGCAGAGCTTCGCGAGGACATCGGCAGCAAGGTTTTGGTGGGCCCGAGCGAGAATGCCGCGGCGAGTGCCTCCAGTAGACTCGTGTGCCCGATATGTAATGAGGAAATGGTGGGTTCATAGCACCTGCTGTAGCAACAACAGTCGTCTGACGAAGCAGGTAACATTACTACAACTGAACAGGTACCACCGCCACATATCCGCCCAGTATGTTAGCCCTGACCAGTATTAGACACCTCGACGACAACCACCAGAACCTGGTTGTGGAGGAGCAGGATGAGGTCAAGAACTGGTTCGAGGCCCAGATGCACAAGGCCAAGAAGTTCCAGCCGCTCGCAGTGCTCAATCAGAAGCTGAAGGGACTGGACGTGTTCGAATCCAACGACGTCCCCACGCCGCCCCAAATCTCCCACTCCGCGAGCAGTTCGACCGCCCACGTTGCCCACGAACCCATACCCGTCCGCCGAGACCCCGAGGAGGAAGTCACGCGATCACATTGGCAAAGGCCTGGCTACCGCGATGTCTGCTCAGACCCCATGTGCGCGAGGCCCGTCACAGCATCACAAATGGCGCTAGGCGGAAGTCAGCCGGCAGTCAACTGCAGACAGTGTGGAAGACTGTTCTGCGAGGAACACACCATGTACCAAATGAAGCTCTCACGGCAGGCCAAGCATGATCCTGTCCGAGGGGTCTGGTGTCGGGTGTGCGAAACATGCTACAAGTCGAGAGACGGGTACAACGATCACCACGGCTTCGAGCGCGACCACTTTGACGAATTCGCCAAGATCAGACGGAAACGGGTGGATAGAGAGCGCATGGAAGTTAGCCGGCTCGAGAAGCGCCTGACCAAGTTGACGCAACTTCTTGCGAACCCGCCTCCGATAGAAGAAACGCAGACTGCAGGGAGCTGGTTCTCACTACCGGGTGTCAAGAATCAACGCAAAGCCCTAGAGCAATCTATCATCACATGGGAAGAGGACGCCACAGTTCCCAACTGCCCATTCTGTCAGCAGGAGTTCTCGACATATACATTCAGAAGATCACACTGTCGCATGTGCGGGCGCGTCGTCTGCAGCGACCCAAAGACAGGCTGCTCCTCCGAGATAGGTCTCAACGTCGCTAGCACACAGACGACCGAAAAAGATGCTGCACAGATAAGTGTGGATGTACGCATGTGCAAAGACTGCCAGCACACGTTGTTCGCTAGAGGCGACTTTGAGCGCGAGCTAGCCGACAAGCCAAAGGACCAGCGTGCATACGAGAACCTTGCACAATTTGAACGTGGCATCCGATTACTCCTCCCACGATTCCATAAGCTGCTGCAGGCTTTGCAAGACCCAGACAAGTCACCTACGCCGCAGCAGTTGACTGACGCGACAAAGGTGCGCAAGCGATTAATGGATGGCTTTGCTCAGTTCGATGTAGCCGCGAAACGAATACGAGACCTCCCAACCGACTCGCCGACACAGCAGAAGCTACAAAGAGCAGTATATCAGCAAGCTTACAGCTTCTTGAGTTTACACATGTTACCACTCAGAGCGTTACCAAAGATCCTCAAGCATGCAGCCCCACAAGGTCGAACGAACGGAGGCAGTGCTCTCGCGTCTATCAAGTACAACGACCGCTCCACTGGTAGTGTTGTGAGCAGTAGCGAGGTCTCCGCAATGGAATCAGAAGAGAAAGAGCTCAAAGAACGACTGATCGTACTTGAGGAACAGAAGTTCATAGTATCTGAAATGGTCGCTGATGCCACCAAACACCGAAGATTCGACGAAGTATCCAGTTTGGCGCAGAATGTGGAAGATCTGAACAAAGAGATCGACCAGATCAATGGCCAGCTGGGACAACTGGACTTCGCCAGTGCATACCAGGGTGGCATGGCTAGCCCACAGCCTGGATGAACAGCTCCGAGGGAGTAACCTTCCGAAGCATAGCCAGACCCGTTATAGGGCATGATCACAAAATCGATTTCTCATAGCCCCCGCCACGATCCGATCATCTTGACAGCCGGCAACGCAGGAGCTACCATGATGCACCTCACTGGGGCTAGAATCTGTCATTGCCGCACACTAGAGATCGCGGCTAAAGCCTTCACAGCTGCCTGCAAAGCCGCGCAATCAGAGGCGCACGTACATGCGCAGGCAGCAGCGATGGGGCATCTTCACGCGAAGACGGTCCTTTACGGAATGCAGGCAGGCAAGGTCGGGCCTATTGTGAGCACCACGTCTCACGCATCCATAGTAATACACAAAGTAGAAACATGAATAAGCAATTCATCACCAGTGCACTTGTAACTTGACGAACAACAAACGCTTGACACGATATCCAGATTCTCGATGTCGCAAATAAATCGATGATGGAGTTTTAATGTTGCACTACACACCCAATCACCACACCGCGCAATCCTTCCGTCCTCATCCAACTGCACCATCTCTCGCACGCATTGTCCACCACAATTGCAATCGCCCTCGACGTCACGGCACCTCCTCCAACGTCACCGTCCAATTCCCACAGCATCACCGTCATCCCCGTCGTCATATCGGCCACAAAAAATTCCCTAATCCAGTAAGTCACAAGTCCACCATTGAAAACGGTGCCAACTTTTTCCCTTGCGCACACCCCCTCCCCCCATCGCCTCGCGTGCGCGTTGCCAACTTTGCCAGCCTGCTTTCGGCACGTCATTGCTCGATTCGGACACGCGAGGACAGTGCGGATCCGTGCGTTTTACTGTTTCCGGGTAAATCGGTAGCGCAGGGGTATGCATTGGGAATGGGATAGAGGCGCTAGTCGGGATGGGGATCAGGGGTGGATTAAGGGTGGGTAACGACTGGAATTGTTGTGGGGTGGGCATATGGAGATGGGAGTGCCATGAGGTGCTGGGCGGGTAGGATGGTGGTTTGGTTGGTGGCGGCGGCGGCGGTATCGTCCGAGTCAAGAGTTGCGTCGGGAAAACTGAATCTCATCACCACGACGGTCTTGATCGATCCTACGCACGGCAGCGGTGCGAGGGTTTTGCGTGTATGGGTTTGTTGGGTATCTTGAATACGTGAGTCGATGAGTTTGGCGATGCCGAATCCCCGTTCTACACCTCTACATCGAGGTGTACCTTCATCCCTCCTTTTTAGGATCTGGACACACGTCAGTAAAACCGCAACAACGAAACATTCCAACCACCACTTACCGTCTTGTAGTACTTCTCCATCTCACTTCAATCCATCTTTCTTGTCATCCTTCTTCTCACCAGACCTCCACCCAGTCAACTCCCAGATATCCTTCTTGACCTTCGTTTTCTGAGCGGCCTGATGTCCTCTCACCTCTGCTAAACGCTCAGAAACATCTTTGCGGTTCTCGAGCCGTTTCCTGCTTCTGGTGAAGAATGATTCGGATTTCAAAACCACTGGTGAAGGTGTCAGGGGCGCTGGTGTTGATGCTGCAGGACCACTTTTCCCAGGTCGTGAAGGCAGGGCGGGCGCTCCACGTTCCGTGTGCTCTGGTACCATCGGATCAAAAGTAGGGAAAGGTTCCACATCCTCTTCCGCTGGTTCCTCTACGGCTACCCCCGAAACCCTTCCTTCCGAGGATTGTCGCCGTCCATTCCTACTCCGTCCCCTCTCCTCCTCGCCTGACCTCGCCGCCGCAGATACAGAAGACGACCCAGACTTCTTACTCTGTATCTCGATCTCTCTAACATCGGAGCCGGGATGGACAGAAGCATACGTGGCCTCCTCGATGGTAGCATGCGCGAGGTCGGACAGGGAGGAGAGAGACGACATGGTGGAGTAGACGGATGGAGCTGGTGGCTTGGATTCCTCGTTGCCTGCATCGTGGGCGGTGTAGTTGGGTGGTTGCCGGGTGCCTCGCGCCGTAGATGTTGACCTTGCGCCGCTAGGCGTATCATGGCGGACACGGTGGTGGGCACAGGGGTCTTGCAGACTGACCCTTGCGTATTCTCGTAGAACAGAGTCTTCGTCTGATTGTAGTTCCAGGAGGAGGTCGCGCCGCGAACGAAGGGGTCGAAGCGAAGACGCTTTGCCTCCTTCGAGATGATGTCCTAGCAGGGACTGCGAGGGCGATGGGGCGGCAGAGCGACGCAGACGTCTTCCTCTCTCCTGGACTGACTGATCGTCATCTTGTCGCGCGACTGGATTGTCAGTACCATCACGACCCCTCCGCTCACGCGTATCCCGTCGTCCAGATGAGCCGTTCAGTGACTCCGGCGGCGTCAGGTAAGCCCCAGTATCACGGTCTGGCAAACCGCTTTGTCTCTCTTTACAACCCCCATCATCGATTGTCCTCGTACTATCCCCTCGATCGACACCCCCAGCTAAACGAGTCGTCTCCGAAAGCCAAGATTCCTCTGCTTCAAACCTCTTTTCATGCGCCAGCAACAACGCATACTTCATGAGCGACGCTGCGCGCCGTGGATCCGCGTTCGTTAGCGAGACTGATACGTCGCGAGTTTCTATGCGAATCTTTGAAGCTGCGCTACCTATCTTCTTAGACTGACTCACAGCTTTACCAGCCACCGAGGCAAGAGAGCTCTTCCGACTCGGGATCTGAGGGGCATTCAAAAAGCCTGACGACAGTGTCTTCTTGAGTCTGTGCTCGAATTCCTGCCGCTCGAGTGGAAGCCTTTCCCTTTCGATGCGTTGGCGGTCGCGGCGAGCCTGTCTGTAATCCTCTTCTATTTCCTTGTCGTTGACCACCCCCTCTGGGTATTCCTCATTCAGTGAATCAGGACGAGCAACCACTCTACTTCTGGGAATGAACCCACAGGCAAGCCACTCGTCTTTCTCCCCTAGCTTCTCATCTACTTGTAGTACGGTTTTCAGCTCTTGAAGGCAAAACCACAATACCTCTTCATCGTCTACGTTATCAGACCCCCGTTTGTCCTTGTCAAACCATACCGGGAGACGGACGTCTTTGTCTACGCTCACCCATGCCGCTGTCAGGCCACTGGTATCAACGGCCATTTTGGCAGCATCGAATGACCGCGGGTCTTCGCCCAGTTTGTCCGTGTGAGGATGTTTCCTCGAGGCTGTGGCTTCGCTCTCGTACAGCGAGATGAAGCTCGATGCGATGTTGCGCTGGAAATGGGCTTCGATGCTGGAACTGTTGAGGGCATTGTAGTTGAAGCCTCGTGATGAGCGTATTGCGTGTCGACTTGGTCGCTCGACGCAGATGTGGAGATGGGAGGGGAGGGTGTGGCGCTTTTTGAGGAGGGCAGCTGGATATGAGCGTGGGTGTTCGAATGTTCTGTTCGTTGTTAGTCTTTTTCTGGAATGGAACACAGATTTGCTCTAAACAAATCGATGACTATAATGTCTACAGTGTGATGTATCGGCTTTTGCTATTTTGGATATTGCGAACAACTCGGCGGTGCTCTGTGTTTTCAAGGTAACCCGGAAAACATGTTGTATCTTCCGCAAAGCTAAATTTAGTAACTTACATGGACATGGTTGATGACCGGTAATGTGGCGATGCTGTGACATTCACTCTAGTTAATGCAGGAGGTTGCGATAGTGGTCTCGGAAAGGCAATGTTGCAGATTTGCTTGCATTACACCTGGTCACGTCTTTGGTAGCGAGTACCGTTCTTTCTGGTTTGATCAGAATGAGTGGCCATACAGAACACTGCAATGTGGCACTATGTGGCTCGAGGGGGGCGACCCCGGAACATGACTTGCGACACAACAGGATGAACATTGGGATATCTGGAGACCATAGATTTCGTATTTGTATGTGTTAGCAAGACTTGATAATGCGAGGCATCAGAATTTAGCAGTCATGGTCAGGTGTAGTAGGTTTACATCGACAGCTGAGAGAAATGTGCACTAGAACCGCTACGTTAGGACTTGATCTGAGCCCTTGAATGATTCGACTTACATGCAATAATTTTCCTCCTGACTTGCAGACTCTCTCTTCTCTGAGTCTGCCGTGTTCTCGTCTCTTAATGCAAGTGCTTGTCGCCATTCATCCGCATCGAGCTGCTGCATCCTCATGTTCGCAATGAGAGGGGAGTTCAGCCTGGCGTTTTGCTCGTATGAAGCCCACTTTTCGCCACTTACTGTACTCGCAGAGTGGACACTGCGTCCGGCGTGATACGCATTGAAGCCGCCGCCAATCTTCACCCAGACTTGGAGCAGTCCGGAGCAGAAGATCTCCGCTATGACTGCTTGCTCTGGCCTGAAGATGAGGTAGATGACATATGGATGCATCCTAAAGTGCTGTTTGAAGATGCCGGTGTTATGCAGATAGGTGCATATGTCTTCAACGAGATTCATCACGGAATTGGAAGACTGTCGAGTACGGTGCTCTTCTATACGTTCATGTAAGCGTGCCGAATATCCACACTCGCTTGGAGGATAGCGGAAAGGTGTATCACGCAGCGATGCTGGCGTCTCGTGCCAACGTTTCAGAACACCTTGGCAGAAAAGCTTGAGATTTTTTACACGCTTCGTCCAGCGCTCGCAGGCGGAAGTTTCTAGATACTTGCGACGACCACTCGCTGACTTCTGCTTTGTCACCGGCGGATGAGTGATCGTGTCTATTTGCCATGCGTATTCCGAAACTTTGCTGTCATCGATGTAGTCGGCTACGTAGTCGCGTATAGCAAGGTATTGATTGGGAGTCGGCGGTATACCATCGCAGTCGGCCAACTGGTGAATATATATGGACGGCTGATTGCGCGCCGCCTCCCATATGAGGTCATATTCTTGCTGTAAGCTAGCGTCAGTTTTCATCTGCCGCACCAAGTCACCTTCTACTGCCGAGGCGAAGACCGGCGAGGCTGAAGCGAGGATATTTGCACATTCTGCGATATACGCGATACGGTTGTTCACGTTGATTGCCGTACTGCGTGCGTATTTGGGTAGCTCTTCCTCGAGCACTTCGGAAACGATGGGTTTATAATCTTGCGTACGAAGAAGATGCGCCCATCTTGCTCGTCGAAAATCGATAGGCTCTGTCGCCAAATCCAATCCGGCCGTTTTTTGAAGGGCGTTTTCATGGCTGTAGTTTTTGTTCCTTGTGGTCACCATCGATGGTAATGTCGAGATAATATGGCGAGTAGGAAGGCGCATAGGAAATAAGGAGCGGTACAAAGAATGGTGTGCGTTGAGCATTTGTTGTGAGGAATGGTTAAGGATTGCGCATGAACTAGAGGTAGCATGTTGGTCGCTGGTTTTTGGTGTCTTGCGAAGTTTACAGCTTGACATTGAAGTCGCGATTGCTCCAGGCGCACCTTCCATGCCCGTGAGTACGGAAGGACGGCATGTTCGACTCCCAGATTTGGCAATGTTGCGGAAGGGGCGAAGTCGCATATTGAAGCTGAAGATGCTCTCAGAGATGAATACATCTTTCTTGTTGGAATATTTGTATGTCCGTCTTAAGATGTCATATTGCCGGATACTTGTCCAAGCTCTGCGTCCGCTTTGTGTTGTTTTCAAGGTCTGGTTTCGCAGTGCATTCCATGTCTCAACAAATCAAGGCTATAGCGTAACTTTAGTTGTGACATACCGAGGCAATCTCATTAGCTTTTCTGTACTTTCGACATTCTCCACTGCTAGACCGTTGATAAGCCTGATCGTAAGAGTGGTGGTGTGAAGGTGTCGGGTTCCCGATGTACGCCAGTCAAAGCTTTTGGGGCCGTCGACAGCCATGTGAACGAGAAATTCGATTGAAGCGCACGCGATCACGACTCAGAGGTATGTGGTCCAGCGTGTGTTGCGGTAGGGTAGCAGCAGACGGGAAAGTTGAGGTGCCGGGTAGGTGTGGCGTCAGGGTTGTGGCTGGTGTAGCGCGTTTGAGTCAATGCCCCTCCAAAGTTATTGATAGAGCCCCTCCCGCAGCACACGAGCTCCTCAACCTCGACACTTTCCTGGTAAGTAACAATTCGACGCGTCTTCTTTCTGCTATAAAGTCACGTGTACATCCTGCTTAACGTACCTTCGATAACGCGTGTACTGACGTCGCGCAGACATGGCGGAACCTACAGCTCCCGCCCCACCTGCCGCTGAGGAGGAGAAGGGCCCTTCCAAGCGTGCGCTTGAGAAAGCCGCGAAGAAAGCCGCAGCAAAGGCCAAGAAGGCCGAGCATGCTCTTCGACCCAAAGAGCAGGCCAAACCCAGCACAAAGAGCGAGCCGACGAGCATCTTCTCTGAAGGCTGGTTGAAGCGCATCTACGAAGAGAAGCCCGTGTCAGAAGTCAGAACACGATTCCCTCCCGAACCAAACGGCTTCCTCCATATCGGTCACGCCAAGGCCATCGCCGTCGATTTTGGCTTCGCAAAACACCACAATGGCAAGTGCTACCTACGATACGACGACACAAACCCGGAGAAGGAGGACGAGATCTACTTCACTGCCATTCTGGATGTCGTCAAGTGGCTAGGCTTCGAGCCGTGGAAGATTACATACAGCAGTGACAACTTTGACAAGCTATACGAGCTTGCAGAGCAGCTTATCAAGAAGGACGGCGCCTATGTGTGCCACTGCTCACGTACGTCTGCATATCCATCTGCATATGCACAGTACTAACTTTGACGCAGGCGAGGAGATCAACAACCAGCGCGGAGGTCCCGATAACAGAGGCAAACGCTATGGCTGCGCACACCGTACGCGGCCAATCGAAGAGTCGCTCACCGAGTTCCGGGCGATGCGCGATGGCAAATACCAGGCTGGAGAGGCTTTCTTGCGTATGAAGCAGAAGTTGACGGACCCGGATGAGGGCAACCCCCAGATGTGGGATCTGCCCGCCTACCGCGTTGTCAAGGAGAACCACCACCACCGTACTGGCGACAAGTGGAGAATCTACCCTACCTACGACTTTACCCACTGCATTTGCGATGCGCTCGAGGGAATCAGCCATTCGCTATGCACAGTCGAGTTCCGCCAGTCGCGTATCTCGTACGACTGGTTGCTGGAACAATTGGACATGAAAGTACCCAAGTCGGAGGAGAAGGGCCCAATGCAGCGAGAGTAAGTAGCGAACTTCCACCTAGAACTTGCTCATGCTAATTCCGCGCAGGTTCGGACGCCTGAGCGTTGGCGGCACGATCCTCTCGAAGCGACGCATCCTCCAGCTCGTCGAAGGCACAACCGTCGAGAAGAAGAACGCGGATGGCACAGTCGAGACAAAGAAGATACCTGGCGTGGTACGAGGATGGGACGACCCCCGACTCTTTACCATGGTTGCGCTCCGCCGTCGCGGTATCCCAGCCAAGGCCATGCTTAACTTCGTTGATGAGCTCGGCGTCACGGATGCGCTTTCCGAAATCGAGCCCCCACGTTTCGAAGCCTCGATCCGCAAACATCTCGAGCGAACCGTACCGCGCCAGATGATGGTGCTCGATCCCATCAAAGTAGTCATCGAAGACTTTGCGACCGAAGACGAACAAGAGATAACAGTACCCTACGATCCCAAGGGCACCATATCCGGTGAGCGCAAGGTGAAGGTTGGTAGCGCCGTCTACATAGATCGCAGCGACTTCAGAGAAGAGGACAGCGCCGACTACTTCCGCCTGGCGCCAAACAAGGCCGTGGGTCTATACAATGTCCCATTCGCGATCCGTGCGATATCCTTCTCCAAGGACGAGAACGGCAATGTGTCTGAAATCAAGGCTGTCAAGGTGCCAGGTACCGAGAAGCCGAAAGCCTACATTCAATGGGTGGACGTTGCTACAGCCGTTCCGGTCACGGCACGTCTGTACAACTCCCTGTTCAAGACTGAGTCACCTAACACACTGGACTGGAAGACAGGTGGCTGGGCTGATGATCTCAACCCCAACTCCGAAATTATTCATGACAAGGCAGTCATCGAGCGGGGTATCAAGGACCTCATCAGTGAGACTTCGCTGGATCTAAGTGGATCTTCGGATGCTCTTGTGCGTTTCCAGGCGCTGCGCACTGCTTATTTCTGTGTCGATATCGATTCTACAGAGGATAAGATTGTGCTTAACCAGATCGTCAGTCTGAGAGAGGATAAGGGCAAATAGATGTGCAGAGGATTCCCGGGTTGACTGTTGGCATTGGAGGTGTGGTATTCAGCTCGGGGTTGTAGGGGCGTTGTTATGTAGAGTAGAGAATTCCCCCGAAATGCAGCAGCCATCATTCCCGAGGCGCTGTAGGGCCGTATGAATTATTCGCCCGTGTGCGTCGCTACCAGAATACGAGTTTTGGCCCCAGCGTTTCCCTTTCAGCCGCTTCAAACATCGGCGGAAAGCCCGAGGCTTATCGCAAACGAGGCGCACGTTGTATGTCGCTGTTGTCCAATGGCACGGGGCCTTGCATGTCGACCCCGCTGCCGTAATCAGAGTAGGTCTTATATAAGCCAACCAACATGAATTACATGGACTCAATACTACTTACGCGAGCTTATCTCCGGGCATAGGTCGCTGCTTCGGCCGATGAAGCGCATGATTACACATGACGAGGTGTGGTAGTCTGAGGCCGAACGGTTGCATTTGGTGTACAGCGAACATCTCAAACGCACAGCCACTGTCTCTTGACTTTGACGCAAGATATTTGTCTATACCCGTGTACTTTAGAGCCCCATACTCGATATCCGAATGCTGCAAAACGCCCCTCACGCGTCAAATCTCCCGGCAAGGCTTACCGCAACCATGGATCGCGAGTACGAATTCTTTATAACGACGGATAAGCCACATCAACCAGCTGGTGCGGAACGATGCATGATTCGGAGACTGGTGATGCGCAATCACTTCGACATGAAAACGACTAGACCACAGCTCAATCCGTCTCAGATTTCCTCAATCAGTACAGCCATGGCAAAGAAAAGGCTGAAGAATCGATTTCGGATATCTGAACCGCAAAACGAGAAGAGAAGGAAAGAGAGTGACGGAAGGGAACATGCAGGCTGTCCGGGGGGAAAGGGCGGAATAAAACAGAAAGTTCTGAGAGATCGGTCGAGCCTAATGACATCTTCGAACGCTGGAGAAGACGGAAAAGAAAAGAAAAGCAACATTACTAAGACTCGGGCCAATACCATCATAAGAGATTGGAGTGGACCAATAACAGTAAAGCCAGTGATGAAGCGTGGCTCAAGTGCTGATCGAATGGATTCCTTCGGTATTGTACCCATATCTGGAACGCCAGAGCTAGATGGACTGTTTCGATTATGTACGTATCCAGCGGACACTCGTTCTTCAACTGCGAAGGCAACCTCTAAAATTAGTGAGGCGTTGGCTGATACTGAAGATAGATGAGAACTCACCCAAGAATAATACAGTTGCCATCGACGCCCAGCACACATGGAAGTCATTCATGGTAAGAGATGCCGGCCTATTGCACGCTACTCTGGCCAGCTGGGCACTGTACGGTATGCTGGCGAACGAACACACTGACTTGAGGGTTTGCAAGTTAAAGCACAAGAATGAGGCAATCAAGGCTGTCAATTGCAAGCTTGCGGTGTCTGGCGGGTACATATCAGATGAGGTGGTTGGCACTGTGTTGACATTGGCGAATCTCGAGGTATTGAGCAAATGTTCGCTTGAACCTGTTCACGCTAATCGTCCTAGAATCTTCTTGGAGACTACGATGCAGCTCAACTTCACTTGACCGCGCTGAAGCGCATGGTGAAAGCACGAGGTGGACTATTTGCGTTCGGGCACAATGATGGCTTGTTGCGTGGTATTATCTGGTGAGCTCAATGGCCATCTATCGCTTGGTTTCACTGCTAAACTACTTGACAGGATGGACTTTCACACTGCATCAGTCTTCCGCACGCACCCATCTTACCCACATTTATGTCTGGACCCGGATACCCCTCCTCTCCCCAACGAGCTCTTAGAGGAAGCAGCGCATACGTCGCCCACGTCGCTGCTTCGCCTTTCTTGTGCCGCGATTGACTGCTTCAAGATATTCTATCGACTCCATCGGCTCGCGCTGGCAGTATCATCGCACTGGGTTGGCTGTGTCGAGCGGCTCGCTCTCAGCAATCTCCTCTACGAAACGCAGTTCATGATCCTCTCGGTACCTGATCAGTCACATAACTTCTTGTACTTTGACCGGACCATCCAAGATGAGCAAAGCGACTGCTACGATTACCTCAGGACTAGAGCGGATGCAGGGAGTGTGGTTGAGGCTATACTCGCTGCAGCTCTCATCTTCGTGTACGCGGTGCTTCGTGCCCTGCCACTGAACACGAAGATCTTCACTGTTCTTCTTTCCCGATTACGTGTCGCTATAGATCGACCAAACACACCAGTGCTGGAAATGTGGGGACGAGAGAAGAATCTGAAAATGCTGCTTTGGGTTCTGGTCGTTGCGTGTTGTGTTGCCACGGGCGAAGATCGCATGTGGTGGGTCGCGCAGCTATCAGAGCTGTGTGGGGAGGTGCATGTTAGAAGTAGACAGCATCTCGAGCAAGAAATGCGGCATGTCGCTTGGACGGACCTGTTTTTCGACGATAGGATGGATGGAATCTGGGCAGAGGTGATGCGGCTGCGAGGACCGACGCTTTGCAGAGGGTCGCTGGCGGGGTTTCCTGCGACCACTGTGGACCCTTCATTGTGTGACAGCTGGATGTAGAATAAAGAGAGTGAAGCCTTTCATGGTGAAAATAGAACGTATGAGATGGAGAAGTCCAGCAGACGGACCAATCACGGCGGACGCTAATCCGCTTTCAATCCATGTTCGTGAATGTTCTGCCACGTGCATCGGGCATAGCAGCGCCGACGGCGGCGGGCGCGAAGGCAAAGGGTCGAGATAATCTTCGAGGACTGACGTTCGTCTGGACACGACAACCACAACCATGGCCCCGCTTGTCGACAACCCCCAGATCAAGCAGGCCAGCCTGCACAACCCGCTGCCGCTGCAGCTGCACACGTACATCTGGCCCTTTTTAATAGTATGGCCAGCCTTCTCCGCCATATACTTTTCGCCGCAGCGCTACGAGCAATACATCCAGTCGTCGGAATGGACCTTTGTCTGGGTCGCCAGCATCACCACCTTCCAGTCGCTCTTCTGGCTCATGACGCACTGGAACGTCAACCTCAAGAGCGCCTTTACCACCACCTCGGCCAGCGACGTGCGCTCGGCATCGCTTATCAAAGTGCAGCCCGTCAAGAACGCAGGTGCCGCTGAGATTGTGCCATTGGTGCGCGACAATGTGGGCGGAAAGTCGAACCTTTCCTTCCTCTTCCAGAAGCGACGTTTCCTCTACGACGCCGACAAGGGCTCCTTCGCCCCGCTCTCCTACCCCCTCGACATCGAACCCAAGCCCCAGCTCAAGACGTTCCAGCAGACCCAGGGCCTCACCTCGCCCGCTGAGATTGAGCGCCTCACCCAGCACTATGGCGACAACGCGTTCGATATCCCCGTCCCGACCTTCACCGAGCTGTTCAAGGAACACGCCGTCGCGCCCTTCTTCGTCTTCCAGATCTTCTGTGTTGGACTGTGGATGCTGGATGAATACTGGTACTACTCGCTGTTCACGCTGTTCATGCTGGTCGCTTTCGAGAGCACCGTCGTGTGGCAGAGGCAGAGGACCTTGAACGAGTTCCGCGGCATGAGCATCAAGCCCTACGAGATTCTGGTGTACAGGCAGAAGAAGTGGCAGGAGATCATGAGCGACAAGCTGCTACCCGGCGATGTCGTCAGCGCAGGCCGGACCAAGGAAGACTCTGGTGTGGCATGCGATATGCTTCTCCTCGAGGGCTCCGCGATTGTCAACGAGGCTATGCTTTCGGGAGAGAGCACACCGGTGCTCAAGGAATCGGTACAACTGCGACCTGGCGATGCGCGCATCGAGCCTGAGGGTCTGGATAAGAACTCGTTCCTCTGGGGTGGCACCAAGGTGCTCCAGGTTTCGCACGGCAGCGATGCTGAGGAAGATGGAGGCAACGTCACTAGGCTTTCGTCTGGAGTCCCACCACCACCAGACAAGGGCGCTGTTGCTGTTGTTATCAAGACTGGTTTCGAGACCAACCAGGGCAGCCTCGTCAGGACCATGATCTTCGCTACCGAGCGCGTCTCCGCGAATAACGTCGAAGCCCTCTTCTTTATCCTCTTCCTCACCGTCTTCGCCGTCGCTGCCTCGTGGTATGTCTGGCAGGAGGGTGTCAGGCTCGACCGTCAGCGTAACAAGCTGCTCCTCGACTGCGTCCTCATCGTTACCAGCGTCGTCCCTCCCGAGCTTCCCATGGAGCTCAGCTTGGCCGTCAATACTTCTCTCGCTGCTCTGAGCAAATACGCTATCTTCTGTACCGAACCCTTCCGCATTCCCTTCGCTGGGCAAGTCGATGTTGCCTGCTTCGATAAGACTGGTACATTGACTGGTGAAGACTTGGTCGTAGACGGTATTGCAGGACTGTCATTGGGACAAGATGGAGCTACGATTGCAGCAGACGGTGCGCACACTGATCTCGCAAAGGTTACGGACGTCGCTACTGAGACAACACTGGTACTTGCCGCTGCTCACGCCTTGGTCAAACTCGACGATGGCGAGACTGTTGGAGAGCCCATGGAGAAGGCAACCCTCCAGTCTCTCGGCTGGAAACTCGGAGCGAAGGACACCCTCCAGGCCACCATGACTACCGCCAAGTCTCAAGCCGAACTCGTACACATCCGCCGCCGCTTCCAGTTCTCGTCCGCTCTGAAACGCCAGAGCTCCGTCGCTACCGTCATCGTCAACAACACCAAGACTGGCCGCAAGGTCAAGAGCACAATCGCTGCAGTCAAGGGCGCGCCCGAAACTATTCGCAAGATGTTGGTCAACACCCCGCCGAACTACGAAGAGACTTTCAAGCACTTCACCCGTAATGGTGGCCGTGTCCTCGCTCTCGCATACAAGTTCATATCCGAAGAGGGAGAGTGGGGCCAGAACCGCATCAACGACCTCAAGCGTGAGCAAGTTGAGTCTGACTTGCACTTTGCCGGTTTCCTCGTCCTTCAGTGCCCTCTCAAGCCTGACGCTGTCGAGGCTGTTCGCTCCCTTAACGAGTCCAGCCACCGTGTTGTCATGATCACTGGTGACAACCCGTTGACCGCTGTCCATGTCGCTAAGCAGGTTGAGATCGTCGACCGCGATTGCTACATCCTCGACGCACCTGAGAATGATGAGTCCGGCGAGAAGCTTGTCTGGCGCAGCGTTGACGACAAGGTCAGCATTCCTGTCGACCCTACAAAGCCCCTGGATGCCGAGATCTTGAAGTCCAAGGACATCTGTCTTACCGGATACGCACTTTCGAAGTTCGCTGGCCAGCCTGGATGGAAGCAAATTCTGCGATACACTTGGGTCTACGCTCGTGTCTCGCCAAAGCAGAAGGAGGAAATTCTTCTTGGTCTCAAGGACTGCGGTTACACTACACTTATGGCTGGTGACGGTACCAACGATGTTGGTGCGCTGAAGCAGGCTCACATCGGTGTTGCTCTACTCAACGGTACCCGTGAGGACCTCGACAAGATCGGCGAGCACTTCCGCAACACCCAGATGAAGAACGTCTACGAGAAGCAATGTAACCTCATGACACGCTTCAACCAGCCCCAGCCACCTGTTCCGATCATGATTGCGCATCTCTACCCACCTGGTCCCACCAACCCTCACTACGAGAAAGCTATGGAGAACCAAGCGAAGAGGAAGGGCCTACTTCCAGGAGCGAATGGCGTTGCTAACGGATCGGCATCCACTGGAACCCTTGTTCAACAGCAGCCTGGCCAAGTTCAACCTCCTCAGGCCGCCGCCAACTTCGCTCAACAAATGCAAGAGAAGATGATGGCACAAGAGATGGAAGAGTTGGCCGGTGAGCCCCCGACCATCAAGCTTGGTGATGCCTCCGTCGCTGCGCCCTTCACCTCCAAGCTCGCCAACGTCGTTGCCATTCCCAATATCATCCGTCAAGGTCGCTGCACACTCGTCGCTACAATCCAGATGTACAAGATTCTCGCGCTCAACTGCTTGATCTCCGCCTACAGTCTGTCAGTCCTCTACCTGGACGGCATCAAGTTCGGCGACGGTCAGGTCACAATTTCCGGCATGATGATGAGCGTATGTTTCCTGTCCATCTCGCGAGCAAAGACCGTCGAGACGCTGTCGAAAGAACGTCCCCAGCACAACATCTTCAACACATACATCATCGGCTCCGTACTTGGACAGTTCGCTATTCACATCATCACCCTCATCTACGTCAGTCAATACGTCCAGCGCGTTGAACCCAAGGACCCCAACCCGGATCTCGAGAAGGACTTTGAACCCTCTCTCCTCAACTCAGCAATTTACCTCCTGCAACTCATCCAACAAATCTCCACCTTCGCAATCAACTACCAAGGCCGCCCCTTCCGCGAGTCCATCCGCGAAAACAAGGGCATGTACTGGGGTCTCGTCTCCGTCTCCGGTGTCGCCTTCTCCTGCGCCACAGAGTTCATCCCCGAACTCAACGAGAAACTCAAGCTTGTTCCCTTCACCACCGACTTCAAGATTATGATTACGAGCATCATGGCCTTTGACTTTGTCGCTTGTTACATCATTGAGAAGGGGTTGAAATATTTCTTTTCGGATAATAAGCCAAAGGATATTGCGGAGAGGAGACCTGATCAATTGCAGCAGGAGGAGAAGAGGAAGGCGAGGGCGGAGATTGAGGCGCAGCGCAAGAAGAATGAGGAGGCGGAGATGAAGGCTGCGGCTGCGGGGTTGGTGAAAAGGTAGACGGGGGGGTTGGGGATGTAGATGTGTAAATGTAGTAGGTTTGTGGTAGATTAACTTTTGGAGAGATAAATTTAGTGGTTTCTCTGCTCAGGCACTGTTGTGGGTTGACGTTATGCCGATGAAGAGATCATGCCTGGGCCATTCTATTCATAAAGTTGAGCAACCGCTCAATTTGAACCGTGCGCGTGGCTAGAATGCCGATAGAACGCGGGAATGTTTGCAAGCGACCTCACAGCCACGATAGTCTCCTGTTATCTATCAAACCCGTCCACGTTGCCGAGTGCTCTGAGTGCCTTATCGATTGAACCAAGCTTTCATGGACGCATCGAAGCTGTGGTAGGGGTAAAGCTTAGCGCTACCGATTTGTGACTTTGGCACATGTAGCGCCGGGTCGAAACGCGTTCCAAGACCTCAAGCCGCTGGAGTAATTCTCCGCATCGTCTTTGCCTTTTCCAACCTAAACTTCGCCTATCCATGAGACCTTCAAGTGTGCGCCTCGCGCATCCGCGGATCCGAAGCCGATGGTGCGCGTCATAGCTCGGATCGAAGGTGCCTGGCGTGGGCACCGTTTCTCCTGAGTTCGGACCAGCAGCGCTATCCACGTCACCACATTCTGGAATCTCGGCCTGCGACCATGATGGACGATGCATCCGGTGCTGTCAGCAACGACCTCATAATTATGGTAGTGCGCAACGCCAATGGATGGCACGAGGACATGTGTCGACCATACACTCGTATGAGGGCGTCGCACTCGTGTTAATGAAGGTACTATTGACCTGTACAGCCACACAGATGCCAAAGATTTTCGATAAATCTGCGTGTGCCATGTGGCACGCCCATCATGAGATGTGCAGGTTCATCTCCCGCGGCGGGGATGATGTCGATGCTGGGTTATTTTTATCCGGATACGACCCTATACCGGGGCTTGACGTCGCTGTCTGGCCGTTGAGTATTGCTTCTCCACATGGGCCAATGATTAGCGAGGACGGGGCAAAAGGGTCGTTCCCTGTCTTGCCGCATCGGGCCTTCTAGAATGCTTGGAAAGCTTTAACAGTCGACTGCAATGAGAGCAGTAACAGATGAAAGGATGCGAATGTTGGGAACGGTATGAACAGGCTGTTGTTGAAGAACCTGCATGCCAAGATTGCTTGACCAGGCTTCAGGGTTGGGGATCACCGCCGGCATCCGCGTTCCTGCGTGCCTGCTCGTTCGAGAAGGCACTAATTAGCTCCGACCGTGCGGCTAATGCACGTCCGATGAACAGCCTTCGGACGGCAGCGACGTCTAGATCCAGCAAAACGTCACCGGCGAATAAATACTTCGCTGCGTCCTCCTCACCATTCCTCGCCCACGCCGCTCTCTCGCACCCTTCTCGCTTCTCAAGACTTCCTTCTACACTTTTAATATAGTCTTCTTCCTCCTAATACCACCACCATGCGCGTCTCCTCCACCATCCTCGCCACTGCAGGCCTCTTGACCTCGGTCAACGCTGCCATCAAGGGCTTCAACTACGGCGCCAACTTCAACAACAACCAGGCCAAGGTTCGCGCCGACTTTGAATATGAATTCAACGCCGCCAAGCAGCTTCCTGGCACCAATGGATGGACCAGCGCCCGTCTGTACACCATGATCCAGCACGGCACCCAGACGGACGTCATTGAAGCCATCCAGGCTGCTATCAACACCAAGACCGGTCTCCTCCTCGGCATGTGGGCCTCCGCCGGTCAGGCCAACTTCAACAACGAGATCACTGCTCTCAAGACTGCCATTGCTCGCTACGGCACTGCCTTCACTGACCTCGTTGAGGGTATCTCCGTCGGTAGCGAGGATCTCTACCGTGTCACCCCCACTGGTATTGAGAACAAGTCCGGCGCCGGTGCTCAGCCTCAGGAGCTCGTCAAATACATCAAGCAAACCCGTGATGCTATCCGCGGCACTGCTCTTCAGGGCAAGCCCATCGGTCACGTCGACACTTGGACCGTCTACGTCAACGCTACCAACAACCCCGTCATCGAGGCTGTTGACTTCATTGGCATGGACGCGTACCCCTACTTCCAGAGCACCATGAACAACAACGTCGGATTCGGCAGCCAGCTCTTCTTCGACGCCTACCACCAGACCGTTGCCGCTGCTAAGGGCAAGCCTGTTTGGGTTACCGAGACCGGGTGGCCCGTTAGCGGCGAGACACTCAACCAGGGCAAGCCCAGTGCGGATAATGCCCGCATCTACTGGGAGGACGTTACCTGCCAGCTCGTCAAGGACAACGTCAACTTGTGGTACTACATCCTCCAGGATGTCCAGTACGGCAACCCCGTCCCCTCGTTCGGCATCAAGCCTGCGGGTGACCTGATGCAGGTGAAGCCTTTGTTCGACCTTTCTTGCCCTGCGGGTTCCACACCCAGCAACCCGTCCAAGAAGGTCTCTACCGATGGCACTTGCGGATCCCAGGGAGGTGCTACTTGCGCTGGCTCGGCATTCGGCAACTGCTGCTCGCAGTACGGATGGTGCGGAAACACTGCCGGACACTGCGGTACCGGTTGCCAGAGCGGATCGGGCACTTGCTCCAAGGTAAGCTAGTACCTTCCCATGCTCCTCTTGTCACCCATCCTCGCGTCGTCCCTATATATCTCGTCTCTGCTCTTGTCTCTTTCTTGCCATTGCCTTTGTTCCGTTTCCGCCCCATACGGGGTTGTACGGACTAATGGCTATGGGAAGAAGTCATCAAGTAGCAGCGGAAGTATCGGGATGCCAACGGGAATCGGACCGTCGAGTAAGAGGGCTGAGGGATTCTCAAACCAAACAGTCAGAAGCTAACGTTCCTCAGTAAATGCTCCGACATCCCAGCCCACAATTGTCACCATTCCAGTCATCAGCTTTGATCGTCCGACCCAAACAGTCCAGACTTCAGCACCGCTTTCCGCTTCGCCCACTGGAATTAGTCTTGAGAATATCGAAGGCCTACCGCAACCAAGTTTTACCTCTCTTCAAGAACCATTTGAATATCCCCACCAGCTCATCCCCATTGACAAGTCGGACCCTACCAAGGTGATTGGCAATGGATACGCTGTCCAGCTATCACCTACCATATCAACTGTCTTCGTTTATGATATCCGCCCTGAGTTCGCCGGCAAGACTTGCACTTTGGGCCTACACATGCCCCCGTCATTCCCCGTACCCGAAACCGCACCTGTACAAATTCGCATTCCGGGTGGTATCAGCGTATCTCGCACCGCAAACCAAGTTCCCGATACTGTTTCCATGCGGAGTGTCGGCAACTCAAGTCTCGTCGGTGTTGTACAACTCATTCAGCCTGCTCGTCAATACAACATCACTAGCTTTCCCTGCGAAGCTGGTCAGCGGGTTAGGTACCAAGTGGACTCTACTGGTGGGCTAAACATGAATTGGTTTCAGATGAAGTACCCTGCTCTTGGGCTGTTTATGCTGGTCAGCTAGATCGAAGGGTGGTCGTGAGGCATGGCGAGGGTGTGGAGAACTGGGATGTTAGCTGTATTATTACGAACAGAAAAGTCCTAGATCCTTTTAATGTAATGTTTGTACCGAGGATACATATCTTGCTTGTAGGGGGTCGTGTGATGTGCTATTGTGCGGTTTCAGTCTTAGCCAATGCGTTACGAGTGAAAATGCAAAAAAGCACAGCACATAGGGCTATGGGCATGGGCGGAAACAGGTGTATCGCTGTTGTAGCACGATCAAGTGTCTAGTCTCTGCAGTCACGTGGCTGAACAAGAGTGGATGATGAGATGACAAGATATTGCTGACTGTGAGATGTGATATGGGAACTAAGAATTGAGACACGAGCGGAAGTAAGTACACGCTACTACACAATCCACATGAGCTTCTCACACTAGGTCCTCTCCCGATTTCCTTCTTATTTCCTTCTGCTTCTTTGCTCTTCGTACCTTTGCTTTAGGCTCCTCCATTCATATCCACCTTCTCCAACGCTCATACGCTGTTCTCGTACTACTTATCGCCACTCCGCCGTACATCGTCCGCCAATTCCTCTTTCTTCTTTTCGTGGGCAGCAGAAGACAGCATTACACTCACGACCCTCTATTCCAAGGCCGCTTGGGTTCAGCTGAAGGAATCGAGAGATCGGTGGGGATGGAGCGTTGTCAGTCCCTATCCGAATGCCTAGATAGAAGGTAGGTTAGAAGCTAGAGTGCGATGTAGACGTGAAATACTACAGTGAATCTTGGGCAGATAGGGAGATTTTCTTCCCTTTTTGAACCTCAGGTACGCATTCTTTCCTCTTTGCTTTGATATACTGTTTTGTCAGGGTGTCTTCGAATGTCGACAGCGATGTTTCAAGACAAATCCACATACCTTGCAAAGTCCTGCCGTCACAAATCTTGTATTTGGAGATGTGAAATGTTGTGTATATGTGAGAGATAGACTATCCGATTTAAGAGCATTCAGACAACTTTCCGAAGCTGCAGAGGAGGAAAAGACATCACGGTGCTTGGATCTAAAGACGTGAATTACTTTTGCGGGCTATGATCTGACCGTGTGATGACACCATTAACACAAACTTGGCCGATTATGTCGAATGTTAGGTTGACTATCTTGGTCAGTGTTTGACGAGGCTTATCGCCTGTCAGTGTCTTCCTTGTCCGCATTATTGCTCCCCTCATCTTTTTCACTATCTTCTTCGTCCTCATCCTCATCCTCATCCTCATCCTCATCCTCATCTTCATCCTTGTCTTCATCTTCCTTATATTCTTCGTCCTCACTGCTGTCTTCCTTATCCGAACCAACGTCGTCTTCCTTGTCATCACCTGCACCTCCAAATGTCAGATTCGACGCCACCACTATCGCTCCTGGTGCGTCGACGCTAGGTTTTCCAATGCATTTGGCACGGTGATTAGCTAAGACGCGCTTGCTCTTCTCCCGACGACGGGCATTCTCCCTGTCGCTGTCGCTGTCACTGTCACTGTTGCTCTCGTCAGCATAATCCAAAGGAGTACGGTTGTAAGTATCTTCTTCATCTGCTTTGAGGCCGATGACATTGATGAGAAACTCTAGTGTCTCTTCCTTGAGAGAGCCATGTATAGCTGCGTAGTGTAGTATGGTCCTTCCCTTCTGGTCTTTTCTCGCTAGGTTGACACCATACTCATTGAGCATCCGCAGTACACGAATCTCAAAAGTTGATTTTGTCGCCCACAAGTGCCCAAGGGTTCGCCCTTCTTGGTCGACGAATAACGAATTTCCCTCGATGTCAAGTAGCACCTTGCAGGTATCAATGTCTGCACTGCTTTCGGAACACTCGATGAAAGCTGCAAGGGGGGAAAGCCCCGCATTATCAAGCTCTAAACTGTTTGCCCCCTTATCCAACAGCCATCGTACCGTCTCAGTTTGCTGTGTTCCATACACAGATAACGCATGGTGAAGTACATTTTGCCCACTCTTGTCTTTCGATACTATAAGTTCGACGGTCTTCGCCTCTTCGGTCTCAAGAATAGCGATCATAGTCGCAAGACTTCTGCTCCGAGCTGCGTAATGAAGTACGTTGCGACCACTGTTGTCAACCGATGCCACCGTCGCACCATTGCTGAGCAAGATCTCGACTGATTTTTGATTACCAGCTTCACTGGCAAAATGTAAAGGGGTTTTCCCCGTCCTACTGCGACAATTTATTTTCGCCCGTTTGAGTAACAAATGGGAGACCAAAGCTCCACTTTCCGAGTCCCCATACGGGACGCAGTGTAAAGCTCTTTCGCCCCGCTGATCCTGTTTGCTGACAGAAGACTTAGAGTATGCTAGTAGCAATTTAACCGTCTCGCTAAGTCGTTGAGGTCCCTCCCAAATGCTTGCAGTGTTCCAGCCATCCTGGTAGCTTGTTCCAATGAGTTTCCCACGCAGCGCAAGATGTAGAGGCATTTCACCGTACTCTGAGAGGGCTTTGGGGTTGGCGCCGTGGACAAGAAGGAATTTTGTCATCGTTGCATTACGAGTCAAGGCTGCGAAGTGCAAAGGAGTCAGGCCAGCCCCGATGGATCCAGAGATGAGAGAACTACCATCCATTGGATCAAGATGAGTGTTATTGACAGGAATGGGCCAGGCCTTTCGATGAACGCTGGAGTCAATCGGTACCCCTGCATCGATGAGTTGCTTCGCGATGGTCTTATATCGACCTTTCACACAATAGAGTAGTGGAGTCATGTTCGCAGCATCGACCGTATCCAATGGAGCCCCATACTGTTGCAATGCGTTGACCAGCGAAGGCGTACACCATGATTTGTTGATAGCATGGTGCAGGGCACCTTTGAGTTGGGTGTCTGGGCTGACGTCGGCGCCTCTTCTAAGCAACATTGTGGCCATGGCTTCATCTGCACGTTCGAAAGCGGCATGTAGCGCACTACCGTACAGCCCCCCTTTCGCGTTGACGTCGGCGCCTGCATCGATCAGCTGCTCCAACACTGCCTTGTGGCCTGTGTCTGAAGCAGCATGAATCGCGCTCCCGTAGTGTCCACCAATCGCATTGACGTCGGCGCCTGCATCAATCAGCAGCTCTACAACTGCTTTGTGGCCTCTGGCTGAAGCTGCCTGTAGTGCACTGCCGTGCCATCCACCCTGCGCGTCGACATCTGCGCCTCCAGCTATGAGCAGTTTCGTGATCGTGGTTAGGCCTAAAAGGGCTGCGTAGAGAAGGGGTGCCGCTATACTTTCCAGACGTCGCTTTACGTATGGCTCATCCAAAGGAAATTCAGGGTCATGAAACCGGATCCAGTTAAAATATGCGGGGTTTTCGGTCGACAACAGTCTTAACGCTAGCTGACTTAATTCTTGTACCTCGTACCCTATTTTGTGGTAGTGATTGTTCCAGAACTCTGCGGAGTACTGAGCCAGCCTCGGAGCCAGCCTGGGAAACCCGCGAAGCTCGTCAAAGATTGGTTGCTGGAATTGGCTCAGGTACCCCAAACAGCCTCTCGTCATTACTTTGTGACATTCGACCTCTTGCACGCTATACTGACTTGTTGGTCCTTGTTTGATCCTGTCTGACACAAGGTACTCCTGGACTGAATAGTGTGCGAGAGTGACACACCAATAGGCAGGCCTTGACTCCCCTATTCCCGTGTATAATGTACGAGTGACTAGACTAGAACAGATTTCCAGTGCGTCTAGTGGGTCCACTAGCACTTCATCACGATCGAACACTGGTTCGCGCGTAACGTCAATAGCGACGACTTCAGCCAGTTCTTTGACACAGAGTGGCCTAGCAGAGAACGTTAACCACTGTAAAATTCTCATTGCGTATACGCGGTCGTCTTCGCTTATAGCGGAAAGGATGCGTTCGTATGTCTGGTCCAGCGTTCGTGGTAAAGTAACGAGCGACTTTCGCAACATCGCTAGACTGCGACACTTGGATATCATGTCAAGCTGACATACAGCCCATCGGAACCTACACCGTCGTCAGTTCTATCAGTATAGAAGCTAAGTAGAGAGATACACACATTCCTTGAGCTCCGCGCATTAGTGCTGTCTCAATCTCTTGCGTAATTTTGGCGTCCTTGTTCCACTTTTCTAGCCGCTTGTCGTCACGCAGCCTTTGTTGGACGAACCGTAATATGTCTTTATCTACAACGTCTCTCTGAAGGCAAACAGTGTCATCTTTCACGACAAAATTCTGTAAGGAGGTCTCAATATCCCGCTCTTTCCGGCTGGTCATAAGCAAATGTAGGATGCCAAGCTGCCATCCAGCCATTATTTCCAGCATGTCCATCAGTTCTGGGCGTTGCGTACATTCATCAAGCGCATCAAGAATAACGTAGACATGCGAAAACTGTCGCACCACCTGCGATAACACTTCTAGAAGTGCATGCAGAGACGGCTGTTGTTGTCCGTTTCCGCAGGATGAGAACAGCGCATCGGCGCACTCGGGTACCGTGACCGAACGCTGCAGGAGCTGACTGAGTATTGAGCGAAGCATTAGGTCTGCATCCTGTTTCTTCGCATCGTTGAAGTCGAAGTAGAAGTATACCGTCACCATACTAGTGTCGTCATGGCAGTGTTGCAGCAGATGCTCAATAATCGTAGAGCTTAGGATAGTCTTTCCACATCCTGGGATTCCGTATAGCCAAAGTCGCGACGCGGCTGTCTCCTTCCAGTTCTTCAACTTTTTGCCTTCGATCAACCATAGTCCAGTCTTAGCCTGTCGCTGTTTGTACGCTTTGTTGTGGTTTGTGGACGGATCGGGCGCCGAAAGCCATTTGCATATCATGCTAAGCCTGTCTGAAGTTCGGGTGCGGGCCATACCATCATACACTGAAGCATCTGCAATGTCATCAGAGCTCTCCTGAACCTGCTTTCTTAATCTTTTCAAGGCGCTCTCTTTGCCTTCGCCATAGATTAGTGGAAGGTAACAGCCGAGTATGCCTAACAGACAATACGCTCCATCCTCTTCGCGTGTGGTCTGGCGATTCCGTGCCCAAGCGAAGCGTTCAGCGATTTTGAACTTTGACATGTTGCTCCCTGACAAAGCTTCGATGGGTATCTCTGTAACCTCATGGATAATCTGCTTGAGTGACTCTTTGTTCCCTAGCAATGCCCCATCTCTAGAGAAGAACTCAACAGAACATGGAGCAAGAAGCTCCTGAAGTGTCCAGCCTCGACGAAACCATTTGCTCGCTCTGAAAGCCGCCGCAGATCCCGTGGTCGTCTCGCAACTACCCTCCAAAGATTTTCCCCCGACGTCGGAAAGGAAGACGTAACACTTGTTCGAATTTTGATACCAGCGGAACATAGAGTTGATAGCTTCCGAGAGCTCAGTGTTGTTTGCCTTGTCGATGCAGCATGTGTCGACCCAGAAATAATCTAGCCCATCACGCTTTGCCTGCTGTGCGCAGAAATCAATCTTACTCCAACCGTCCCTCTTCTTTGCAACAACATGCTCTGTGTCGCTAAGGCTGTTCATGTCGCCGAACACTACTTCTTGCTCCGCCCAAGTGTGCGAAAGGATCGCATAGGGAGGAATCTCTTCGCTACGAATGATGTCGTTGGTGAACTTGAGCTTCCCATCGCTTGTAACATATAGCAGCCGCATCGTGTTGGGGATCTGTGGCCTGAAGCTGTAGGCGCTTGCTGTTATCTTTATGTACGAGTAATAAAAGGCAGTCTTGGAGCCTCGAATTAAGTTTGATCGATACGATAGTGCACTGCGACTCGCTCTTGCAGGGCGTGGAAACTGCGATTATTCGGCGTAATGCGAGTGACAGCAGCAGTTCGTCTAGTAGATGGGAAGGAGAATTGGCGTCCAGGAGCTAATTGTTGGGACAAGCTGCATCTTCATACCCCGGGCAGGGGGCGCAGGCCGCCTGCGCCATGACGCGAGACTAGCTGGGCAAGGCTGGCAATGCAGGATTGCGCAGCAGGGCTAAACCCCAAACTGAGTAGCACGAAGCAGTTCTTTTATGGTGCAGATAGCATGATGTGCAGGCTGGTCTTTAATGTAAACTGACTCAATGCGTTTTTGTTTGAGGTTTTACGGGATTTGGAGACCTGCCAAGCCTCTCGAAGTCGTCACGTGCTAGCGAAGCCACGCGCACCTCCGACTCCACCTGGGCATGATCATACCCTATTGTAGGTTCAGTATACCAAAACGCCACAAGGACCAATAAAATCGGGTCAATTCGACATACTTTCGGGCCGCAACGTCTCGACTGCAGCTATCCCGCTCCCGAGCAGCGTGTAGAAAACCATGTAGTTGATCTACGGGTAGGTAGCTGAGATCAAAGAAGTATAAGGACTTGGTTTCTGCGACTGAATACAACTCGCTTTCGTCCGGCTCTGGTACCACGCTGTGCAAGGAAGAGATCGAACACCTATCACAGAAGATAAAAGAAGGTGATAGTCTAGAAGTCTACATTGCTCCAAGCTTTTAGTCAACTTTCATTACCACACTAATGCAGACTGTAGCGCGAATTTCTAAAATAACGAAACTTCTCTCTTGGGAGCACTGTGTTGTATAAACATGGTATGCATTTCGGAAGCCGAGGGTAGCTCGTCGGCGAGGGGTCATCGCAGTACTACCTGGGTATGGTTGTCGCGAGACTGCAGTCTACTTGCCACTCCATTCAATTCCTCACTCTTCTTCTGTGGTGAGATTTTTTTTTTCGCTACCAACTCAACCAGAACTTCTCTTCTATTTTGCTTCAACTTCTATCACTACTGCTTACTGGTGGAATTCGCACCTCATGCAGATACAAACGTTGTGAAATTAGCCCTCTGTGCATTACGCCGACGCCGAACCGGGCATTGAGCTTCACCGCGCATTACGCCGCGCAGCTACTGCGTACAGTCTAGGCTACCTCGCTTGGAGGGATCTATGAAGTTGTCTTCGAATTGCTATTGGATAAAAGCTCTGAAGTTTCATATTGGGAAGGAGGATGGACTCAATGATGTTGATGGGCGAAGGACGGTGTGGTAGAGAGCTGGTAGATGGGTTGGAAAAACTATTGAGAAAGCGTCTGCGATGCATATGCGAAAGCGACATCATGAGATCGAAGCATAGAGAAAAGCTTTTGGGTTGCTGCCAAGTGTGGAGAAGTCGTGAGCTTGTTTCGTTTCGTGAGGTCGCTGTAGTCAAACATGCGGAGGTGCGTTTAAAACAGGGGTACGGGCCGACACTTGCTGTTCATAGACCCCAGAAAGACCTGAGCAGATCTGGAGTAGCTAACCATCTTGTGTTCACGCTCGTCTCGTGATGATTCGGTTGCAATCTATTCATTTACATTGTGGCTAAAACTGAGTCGTGGGTGCGAGAGACGGTTAGTATGGCTTCGTTCAATGGTGATAAGAAGCCCTTCTTCCCTTGCCCACCTCCTCATTGTGCCTCAACTTGAACCTCAATATCACAAGAAAGCCATCATCCAAACCCCCACACAGTCATCATGCAGATCTCCGCTCTCATCCTCCTCTTCACCGCCACAGCCACGGTCTCCGCCTGGGTGAGTACCTAGCATTCCTCCAACCAGCCCAACCCAAGACTATGCCCCAGTCTGAATCGAAGATCCATCCTCTTCTTTGTTGAAAGGCATTTCCATACCCATCCTCTCGAACTAACACCCAACCCACAGCAATGTTTCGACCACGACGAACACTTCACCACAAACCACGCCCAGCTAGCCGAAGGCAGCGATCCCAACAATCAATGGGGATACTGCCCGTCTAAAAAGGGATGCTGCGCCGATGGCAAAACGTGGTATGCATGCAAGAACGTAAGTTTTAGCCTCGACTGCCCGATGTGAGTGGTGTGCTAATTTGATGAGCAGCTCTGTGCGGGTGGCGCTGCTTGCAGTGTTAGTGGCGGCAAGACTAGCTGTTAGAGGGTTTGTGGGGTTGAGAAGATGTACATAGAAAATTTTCACTGGGTTTGAGTATGGTATAGCATGAGCCTGAACGTAGGAGTGCAATCGATTCAAGGCTGGATGCCGATGTGCCTTAAGTTCAACTTCCTCATTGACGTCTGCCATGCTATCCAAGCTCTTTGTATCGTCAAACACCACTTCTTGCGATTTCATTAGTATGTAGCAAGCCCTGGACACTTTCGAATATAATAAGATGGAAATTGGATAATATCCGTACCAAAACGACTGAACTCTAGTCCATACGCTCTCAGAACACCTTAACGCCCATCCCACCCAACAAGAAAGCTTATGATATACGTACAATACGATATCCCCGAAACAGCAGGAAACATACTGCCACTCACGCTACAACTAGCAGATATGACGCAGCCAATGTCCACGTCTTACGCACCACCAGCCCGTCCCGTAGTCGTAGCACTGCTAGGCTGATCATTATTCCAAGTCAAATACGTATGATCCCCCAACTTCCTCGGCTTGATCAAATGCGTAGCCAGGAAGACCGCTCCTAACAGGATGCAAATACCGCCGACGACAAGGTATGCGATGCCGAGGAAAGGGTTCTTGCCACCCATGACGGTGCGCGTGGAGATGAGGATGGATTTTGTGCCGCTGTATTTGTCGACGGGGTAGCCTGGGTGGGTGTTAGTATGATGGAGGAAGGGGAAGGGAGGGATAACGTACGGTCATAGATCTTGAGACGGTAAGTACCAGCAGTCAAAACATCCTTGTCGTTGCGCTGGTACAATTTACTGAACGTAGGCAGACCTGCGGTCCTCATCCAGACCTGGAATTGCTCCCAGGTATGCAGGTTGGGCAGTTTGTCACCGTAACGGCCGTTCTCGTATTGTTCCTGCCAGTTCGGTGGTGGGACAACATCTTCAGGCTTGTACTTTGTCTCGCCATAGAGATCGCCTTCGTGGCTCCACGAAGTTCCCTCCACAGTCATGGTGTAGTTCTGGCCACCAGCATTCGTGCCACCCGCGGGGTTGGCGAGCGTCAACTGGCTGAATGTGTCGTTGAACATGGAGTTGGCGATAAGACCGCAAGGGTAGTACGGTTTGCCCGTCTCGGAGTCTACGTCCAGCGGCGAGCAGTCGCCCGAGCTGAGATCGCTGGCACTGCGGGCATCACCCTTGAGTTGCTGGATATCGACGGACTTGACGTAGCGGCGGTGGTTTTGGTAGAAGTTTGTGAGGCGGTAGTAGAAGAGGATCGGCGGCTTGATGTCTTCGGGGATGTTGAAGCTGAGGATGCACACGTTTGTCTCTTGCTCGACGCCAGATTCGAATTTGTAGTTCTCGCGGCCCCAACCCCACATCGCCTGGGGGTCTTCCTTGGATCTGAAGGTCGCGGACACTCTGCCGCCGGGAATTGGGTCGAGCGGGTTCTCGGCGTTGGGGTCGAAGTTTACGGGAACTTCGGGCGCGGTCGAGTTGCAGTTTGTGTAGTCGATCGAGATCTCCTGGACCTGCGCGCTAGCATATAGAAGCAGCCCACCGATGGGGGCAAAGATAACTCCGACGATGAAGAAGAGAGGCAGCACGGTCTTCGGCGTCAAGATGGGCCTGTTGCGCGGTTAGTCGTGGGTGTTGCCGTCTCCCGCCATGTTTCCACCTACTGCCATGCTTTCAAGCGCTGCTGCCTGAATGCAGTATCTAGTATCCCATCAGCATTGCCCTCCTTCGCGCATGTCTATATCAGGCTTACTCGGCGGCCTCCTGCTCTTGGTCTTCTTCGGCTCGTCGCGGCTGGGGTCCTGGCTGCTGATCGAGTCGGTATGCTCGACCTGCTGTGTGCGCGACATGATGGTGGTTCCGCGCGACTCGGCGAGTCGATTGGTGGAGTGAAAGGTAGTCGTCGCGGGCGGGAGGAGTGGTGAGAACGCGCGGGTTTGAGGTCGGCCAAGCCGTTGTCCCAAATTAGTGACAGAGCAGCCGCGCCACGCCTGCACGCCTGTGGAGCTTACGCATCCCCGCCCGAGACCCTGAGCCCTTCACGGACGTATCACGGACTCGTCATCGCGACAGCAGCCATGCGACACTTCAACACTATAACAAGACATTAACGGAGGTTCAATCAGTCATGTAGAGGCATTGCGTAGAATGGTCAAGTTTATGTAGAGATAGTGCATTCTGGTCTAGTGCCAAATATCGTAGAAAGCCTGCATTTGCGGCGACAATGTCCATTCGGACTACAACATTCGTTGGTGGGAGCTGAGGGGTATCGCATGCCGTTAGATAAAAGAAAGAAAGTCGAGAAGCCCAAAACGCCATGAGGGAGGACAGTATCCACTCCCGAACACCTGTTCATGCCAACAGTGGTACCCATAAAACCCATCGAAACGCCGTTCGTAATTCATGCGGAGGAGGACAGCCATCACCCCTTGTAATCACACCAGTCTTATCCAAAAGACGCGAGCCCAGTCAGGTGGGCCGCTAGATGCAAAGTGCAACTTGATGCATCGTAAGCAAGAAGAGAAAAGGAAAGTAAGAAAGGCTATGCGATGCGGGCTCAGAGGTACTGGCGGAAGTAGTCGGGGTTGAACCAGCCTACACGGTCATATGACTGCCACAGTTTGCTAGCCTTGTTGACGTCAATCTTGCATGCCTGCTGGGCATCCGTCTTGCGGAACTCTTTGCCAATCTTGAGAGCCTCGATGCGGGCCTGGAAGATGCGTCGCTTGCTGGTGAGGTAGGTGGCGCAGTTGAGGCGGAGTGTGCCAGCGAGGTTCAACTCAGCCTCGTGCAGCAGCTCGCGATCGGGATCGTCGGCGAGCGAGAGCGCTTGCCCTTTCCACTCAGCCTTGAGCGCCTTAGTATTGCCCTTGGGCAGTGTGTCCAGGGGTGGAGCATAGTCTGGTATGGCAGCGTAGTCAGAGTCGTCGCGGTTGGTGACTGGCCGTGCCGGCTTGGGAGAGGCTGACTTGGTGGTTGGGGAGGTGTCGAATGAGTCGTGGATCTGAGTAAGAGGCGTGCGCTTAGGCTTGGGTGCGGCACGAGGGGTGCGAGCAGGCAGCCGTGGAACAGCGACCTTGGGCTGGCGGAGCTTTGAAGATGGCGCAGGGGCGAGCTTCTTCAAGGCTGGTCGCTTCTGCACACGGCCAGTACGGATCTCGTGGATTTGCTGATCGAAGGCCCGTTCCTGAGCCCACCATGCCTTGGGGTTGTTGCAGGCCTCTTTGAAGACAATGGATCGGACTTTCGCAACCAATTCGTAGTCAGCGCGGCTCGGCTTGCTCTGTAGTTGTGCATAGTCCTGTGACTTCATGTGCGCAGTAATGACATCTTGCGAGGCTGACTCGGCTGACTCGTCGGGGAACAGCGGCATGTGAGCAATTGGTGCCGCTGCATCAGCCGAGACGAACAGCTGGGGATCGCGTGTGCATTGCTCCTCCGAGCTCTCCATGTTCTCCTTCTGTGACTGCGTGTCGTATGGCGAGATTGGTGGGGAGGCGTAGGCGATGCGGTGGGCGGCTGCTGCCTGGATAGCCATGAAGTCGGTCTTCACAGCAGACTGCGAGGGTGCTGAATTGAAGGAGGAGAAGGGTGATTGAGGGTAGGCAGGCGGAATTGACGTGCCAAACGACTCTGATCGCTTCATTTCAGGGGGCGAGAGGAGGGAGGAAACGGTGAGCCGATTGCTCGGGGGTGTCTTATAGTGCAAGTTTGCCATTGCGGTGTGGTGCGAAAGTTTGTCCTTTGGTTAAAGCGCAACGTCGGGGCGGTAGCGATATATGAATGTGTCCAGGCAGCCACAGGAGTGTGGTGCGTTGGTAATGCGATCAATGGTAGAGTTATGAGTGGAAGAGTGGGAGCCTTGGTTGAGCGAACGGCTTCGCCACAGTTATGCTGTCAGGTGTGCCCGGGCGCAAACGTGACCGTGGAAGCCGGCAGAATGGTCCGACCGACTGCTTATACCAGTTATGCGAGCGGGCAATTAGTCAGGCAGTCTTGACAATTGAAAAGGCAGTGCGGAGTTAGGACGATTGAATTGCGTGGTAGGTTAGTCGTCCCGAAACAGACGGGGTGAGCGGGCGAGTTATAAGAAGCACCACCCAGGCGCGTCGGGGGTTTCAGTAGGCTACAGGATGGACAAGGCCAGTGTGACTGTCCTTTGAGACACTGCGGCCCATGTGCTAGCGAACCAGACAAAGAGGGTGTGCGGTTGGCGCGTGCCAGCAGGCTCTCATCCTCCCAGGCCAGGCATCATCCATATGAGGAGCGCCCGTTGCGCGCGGCCGGCAGCTGACGAATGCGGGCGGCCAAGAAGTGAATAGAAGGAAGACGAAGGGGGCTCCAATTAGAGCGGCCAATTGCACAGCGACGCGTGAGGCGGAGCTGGGAGCGCGCAATGCTCTCTGACTGTCTGAGAGATTGAGTCACTGCACAGGCGATTACTTGTCGCTCCGTCCCAGCAAACCGGGCTAGTCCATCGGGGCCGAACGAACCGTCGTCCCCATCGTCACATCATCACTGCGCTCCAGGGCTACATACACGTTGCCTGCCCTCATTGCGCCCTCTCTGCAGCGACTGAAGCCTGGTAGTGTGTCATTGGCACCCAATTCCAGTCAATTCCCAGTCCTCCCCAGCCAGCGTGTCACCGCAGCGCCCAATGGCGACGGTAGCGTTCCTAATCCCCATTCCCCTCTACAGATCGCTTCCGGTGGACAGTGTCCGAGTCACCGCTTCCGTCATCGTTCCTCGTACTACGCTATTGTGCAGTCTGACCGCCGTCGATAATGCAGAGATGACTATCCCACATGCTCCACATTCCAGCAATTGACCCATCATCGACGCACTCTCAGACGCCAATCGACTGTGCTTGACCCTGCGCTTGACCTGCCAGAGCCCGATTCACTTAAACTGCCTTTCGCGGCCAGTGGCGGCCGAATTGAGTGCTCATCTGCATGGATCTAACCCCCCCTCCGTCAGCGGCGGCTACCGAAGACTGCTTGCTCACCGAGTTCTGTGGAATGGCGGTTCCCTTTCATGGTCTTGTGACATGGACACCACCAAGCGGCTGTAGTCGACGCCACTGGCGTGGAGCTGCAATGGGCCAGCGCCGACTAGAAGGTTCACTCAGGGCAGCTCATGTCTCGCAGCGGGTAGCATGCGATGTGTGCATCGTTAGCCCACTGCGGTACGTTCCCGCCATGTTATCGATTACCACTCGTCTTAGCATGTGAAAGTCCCCGTGCTCAGCTGGTCAAATAACTAGGTCATCTACACCATGACGCCTGTCCACCTGAACACCTCCCACGCTCTCCGCACACAGTCGCTCACGGGGCAATCAGTCTTCACACCATCTTCTGTTTGGTCAAGGTCATCCTTCGGAAACCCGGGGTGTCTTATCGTCGTTATCGTGCTGTGGGGGAGGGGTATGCTAGAAACCCCTCAACCCTCATCTCTCGACGGCGCTGTTACCGCCAGGTTTGCCATCTGACCTCAGCCGCCTGATACCGTCTCTTGCCTTGAATTCCAGCCATGTCAATCTCCCAGGATATCGCTTCCGCTGTACCCCTCACCATTTGCGCCGACGAGCGCGGCCCAGACCGATGCCGAGTAGGTTCCGCGGACAAAGCAATCTGATCCTGACTCAATAGACTTTGAACTTCTCGATCACGGCGTGCTTTGCATAACTCAATCAATAGTCTTGAATCGTGACGACCACAGACTGTCGCAGTCCGTCTAGAAGCCTGGCCGCGCCTTCTGCGGGTAGATCTGCGCATCAAGGGCCAGCCCAAATCTGGTCAGCCGATAGGACAATGCGAGCAGATGACTTGCTGCCCCATCTTGCGAGTTCCCACTACGCCAGCACCATGGGGGACCCTGCATCTGTAATGCTTGTAACCTGCCACCCATTCAACGACAACAATGGCGAGCTGCAGGACCTTGTTTCATGGCTCTGCCAAAAGAGAAGGCTGCGCGCTCCTTTCATTACCACGTTGCTCAATGGCGTCATGGGTACATGGTGCCAGGTCCGCCCTGCATCAAAACAAATGCGAGGCTGCCAGAAATAGACTGCTTCGGCGACTGTCAGCTGCAGGCACATCAAACCTGATGTTGAATTGACCAACAATCTCGCAGTCGGCGTAAGCAGGGCTGAGGGCAAGTAGAGCAGTAATGACGCACACTAACTATGCTTCACCGCTTCGAATCGTACCCATGAGATCGAGATATCATTATCGCATTCATCGATTTAGCTGTAGGAGCAGGAGAAGCACGTTACAGAGCATGACATCCATGGGTTGACGGTTTCACGTGCCTTCGTGGGCCTCGCCCCGCGCTTTCCCGCGCTCCCGTCGCGACTGCCTCAGCATTGACTCAGTCCACCACGTTCCCCACATACGTCATCTTCAATTTGACACAGCACCATGCACTCATACCATCGCGCGTTACAATGGCATCGCCAGTATTGCCATCCAGCCGCCACTTCGTAACGCAGCTACTGGATTCGCTAGCAGCTCCGCCGTCAATTGACAAGGCTACTATTGACAAGAAGAATGCCGACACAAACCCACTCAACAATGTGCCAGACGCGACAAGGAAACAACTACTTTCGTTGCAAGTCCTCTTCCCAAACGAGTTTGTGCCAGCGTTGGACCTACTTGATCGACGGCTCGTGACACGGTTTCGTATCTGCGATGAAGCAGAACTTGCTGCGTGGGCGACAGCTGCAGAGCAAAACGATGTGGTGACAGTGGAGGATGTACAGATGCAAAACACACAGGATACATTGCCATCACGTCGCGAAGACGCACAGCAAGAGCAAGCAGGCACCCACGCACACGCTGGAAACGCAAACGAGTCTACAGATCAAGACGAACCATCAAGCCACACCACCACCACTACTACATCATCGGAAACCTACAACCTAAACACAATATACTACGTCCGCTCCGCCCAACACCGTCCCTCTCGCTTCTCTACCTCCTACGACACCCTAACGACTTACCAAGTGCGTCTAACAAGCTGGAATTGTTCCTGTCCTGCATTCGCATTCGCTGCTTTCCCTGCTGGCCAAACCTCTCCTCTTGTTCCTCTGGACAAGCCAACCACACAGACTCAAGATAAAATGGGGGACAATGCCTGGGTATTCGGTGGTATAACACTGGGTTCTGATATGCCACCAGTGTGTAAACATCTGCTAGCATGTGTGTTGGTAGAGAGGTGTAAGGGATTGTTCGGGGGTTTTGTGGAGGAGAGGAATGTTAGTGTTGAGGAGGCGGCCGGGTGGGCTGCTGGATGGGGAGATTGAAGACATTTCACTGGAAGTCGTATTTACTGGACTGATGTCTCGATGTCTTTGGACCAGATCGATGTACATGGGCATCGCAGGGAAAGGTCTGTGTTGGGAGATGCTGTTTGCGATACCCCATGCCGCTGCAGCACGGCTTAGATAGAAAAGAAAATAGCACCACAATGATCTCAGACGACTTCATGTCATGTTCTTTCGTCATATCACATCTATCATGCCATTATGCCATAACATGTCTTGAACATGCCCAGATCTCGCAGCCGAAAGCCGCTTCCGACCCTACTTTCTTCACATCGGCGCCGAGATAGTATAATACACATGTCTTCACCCTCCATCCTCCTCAAACGCTTCTCAGCTCTGCGCTTATTTCTTCTTCGTCTCCTCCTTGGCCTTCTCTTTGCCCTTCTCCCCCTCCTTGACCTCGCCATTCTTCTCTCCCTCCTTCTTCTCCTTGTCACCCTCTTTACCCTCATCCTTCTTCGCCTCCTTATCTTCCGCCTGCTGCTTGTTCTGTATCTTATTCTCGATCAAGTCGTGGAACGCGGTAATTGCGCGGATCAAACTAGACAGGTAGATAGCCATGAGCTGGTCGTTTGTCTTGACGCTCATAGCGCGGGCTAGCTCGCCGTTGTCGACTGCGCCTGCCTGGCCCGCAGCGGATCCAACACCATTTGTTGCGCCACCGACAGGTGCGGCCTTGGGTGTGGAGAGGTTGGGCAGCAGGTTGAAGACGTCTTGCAGGTTGCCGAGAATGGCGTGGTTGACGGGCAGGTCTTCGTCGAGCACTTTTTGCAAGTATTGGCCTATGTCTCGTAACCGTAGGTGCAGGCCTTGGAGCGATTGCAGTTGTGAGGTTATGCGTGTGGAGAGGGTGCCGACGGCGACGTCGCGGATATCGCGGAGGAGGTGCTCGACTCCGATTTCCTCGGCCTCTTCGGCTTCGATTATTGAGGGTGTGTGGACGAAGGTCTTGGAGGTGGTTGTGCCGTCCTGGGTATGTTAGCATTGGGTCTTTCAAATGAGAGACTGGCGTCTCTGTCGTTGATGTTGCCACCACTGAGCCTGCTATGCACTTACATCCTTAATCTCCTCCACCGCAAAGTAGGCATCTGTAGGTACGCCCACCTCCTTTGGCTGTACATCGATGATGACGAGTAGCGGGTTCGGTGTGTATCGCTTGAACAGCTCGTTGACCTCCAGATCCGACGCCCGCAGCTTAGGACCTGTGTGATACCAGCCGATGAGCTTCTCCCGCGCGTTGACCTTCTTGAACATGTCGTTCATCGACTCGACGTAGTTGTGGTCTAGAAACCATACTGATGGGTCCTTCTCGTCTTCCTCGAATGGTACTGCAGGTGTGTTAGCTGGCGGAACGTCTCTTGTCCTATTCACCGTTCAGGCGGCAAACGAGACAATGGAGGGGCTACACACCCGCGAAGCTGTTGGATACCCGCACATTTTTGCCGTCGTTCTGTCCGAGGAGTACACCGACTACTCTCCTCTTGGTTCCCTTTGCTTGTCGGCCGTAGTGATCTGCTGCCGAGAGGAGGACGAGAGGCGCGACGGAGACGTTGCGGGTCACGAGCGACAGCGTCTCAGCTGTGGTGGCGGGCATCTTGGGGATGTGGACTCAGTATCGCCGGGTAGGGTATTAGGAGATTGGCAGCGATATTGGTGGGGTTCGTGGGGGAAGGCGGTGATGGTGGTTGTTGTTGATGCGGCTCTGCGGTGTCCATCGAAGCTTTCGGAACTGGACATGGTGAGGGTGGGTCAGAGCTCGCGCGCTAGTACTTTCAGCAGTGCGTCAGTGAGCGACATGGGAATTGTGATGGTTTAGCACAGCTAAATACAATAGATAAAACATGTCAATTGAAACTCTTGGGCTATAATAGTGGCAAAGATGTGGTATCTGAAGAAAGGATAATGTACAAAAAGCTGAAGGCGAAGACGCGAAACCACCCAAGATCAGTCCAGCGATCAAATCATGCACAAGCGAAGGTCAAACATTATCGCATTAGTCCGGAAAGTGCGTGACGAAGAAACAATCATAGCGTAGCGGTGGGGAAGTAGTACTGATCCCAGAGGAACTCGTAGTCTTCGATGACACCGCCGACCATGTCGAGAAGAGGCTTGCCCTTCAGCGATGCGGTGATGCTGTGGATCCAGGCCCTGTTTACTGTCAGTCATGGATCAATGGACGTGAACGTGAGAAGACTTACTTGGTGATGTTCTCGTAGAAAGCGCCGCGCATGGCCCACCATCCCAGGGACCAGCCCCGCTTGCGCAACTCTTCCTTCTCCAGTCCGGTCAAGCCGCGAAGGCCTCCAGCGAGACGCTCTTGGAAGTCCTTCTTGGCCAGTTGACGTGCGCCGTATTCCATGCTGACGCCGATCAACCACGGCCTCCAGCTCTTCCTGTCGCCACTGAAATGTTGCATAGCCAGGGCGTAGGCAACCGGTCGGAGAATGTACAGTGCTTCGGCTAGCTCGCCCTTTCCACTCACGCGGTGAAGTAGTGCCTTCGGGGGCTTGATGTCGTCCGCAGTCAACACCTTGGAGAGGAGGTAGCTTGAGATATCCGAAGAGTCCGGGAGGCTCGGCATGGACAGGCCAGTTCTAGGCATTGCCCAGTTTTCTGCCTCGACTGAGCGTTCACTTGGTGGTGTGTCCATGCCATCGGCTGATGCCGACGACTCTTCCAGCGAGCTTGGATCAATCTCTCGTTGTGGGAGCGGCGGCGACAGCAGTGGTCTTGAGTTGGTCAATCGAAGCAGCAGCAACCGGCATACTGCTTTAACAATCTCCAGCAACACCACCACGCGCCATCGCACCTTCTCGCCCTTTCTCTTCGCCGCCATCTCCCATAGTAGTTCTGTGTATTGGATCATCTGGAGCACTAGCGCAATCCGTTTGTATGTGGGCGAGTTCTGCGTCCAGAACTTGGTGTATCGATGATGTGGGGTGAGGGGCTGCCGCCGCGTTCCGGGCATTTGTGCCATGGCTTTTGAGAGAAGAGAGTCATGATATAGGGAGAGTACTTGGACGCCGCTGTGTACTGTGTCGTGTTAGTCGAGATGGATGCGCGATAGCCGGACGCGACCTACTTGATTCAGATGCGACTTCAGATTCCCGGAAGCGGCCTGTTCGTGATTAGCAAGACGCGCATATATGAATTCTGACCTTGCGTACCAGGAATGATATATGTGAGTGAGCGCAGGGCCGATTCGATCTGCGTGACGGCGCTGCTGTTCTTGGTGATGAAGTCGGAGTACATGCCCAGCCACTGCGACGGCATGGACAGCACCTCGCCCGTTTTCTGCGTCGCCTGCCTGTACATGTCTGCAGTCGTCCCAGCTGACGCGCCGAGATGATGCGATTGCGCGACGTCGTTGTGGTGGTGCCGGGGAGTGCACGTGTGTGTAGATAGGAGCGATGGGCGAGGGTGAGATCATGGCTCCATTATCGCGTGCGCTACCACTTGGGCAAGTACCGAGGCAGCTGCGGCTCAGCTACCCCGGATGTTCGTCTCCACCTGCACTCGGACGAGAGAACTCCCGTTTGGCCCCTTTTCGTTTGGAAATGTCAATTTGAGAGAGATGGTTGCATCTCATATGGAATTATGTGTTGACTGATGCTATGCAGGATGCCTCGAAGGGCATGAATAGGGTGACGCCTGGTCTCAAAGAGGAACGTTGCTAATCATGTGACTCCACGTAGGCAGAAAAACACGTTGTATCCTTCTCAGCTCTTTCAAAGTACGTAGATGACCGTTGTATAAACACAACAGAGCCTTGCTTCTCTATATCCGGTTTTCATCTGCACTACCCACTGACAGTCACCTCACAATCTACGTGTGCGATTATCCTGTGAGACATATACCGAGAGAAAGGATCAAAAACCATACAACACTCCCACTACCCATCCCATAACCTCACATCATGGCTTCCCAAGCTAGAGATTCTATCCCAGTGCCTCAAGTCCCCATCAACGAAAAGTACAAATCCCTCTTCGGATTCATCAACGCCTTTGTCCGCAATTACATGTCAAAATACGACAACTCCCACGACTACAACCACATCCTCCGCGTCGTCTCAAACGCAAACCGCATTCTCCAAGCCGAACTCGCTCGCGACCCTTCCCTAACCTACGATACCACAGCCCTCTTCCTAGCCGCCCTTCTCCACGACGTAGGCGACCACAAGTATGTCCAACCAGGCCAAGAATCCGATTCCACCATTCTGGATATCTTAGTCGATCATGGCTCGGGTTGGGAACTCGGTGTAATCGTACAAAAAATCGTTGACAACGTCTCTTATTCACACGAGATACGCGATCCTGCAGCCACTGCAAAAGCTTTGGCAGCGCATCCCGAACTAGCCATCGTACAAGACGCAGATCGTCTTGATGCCATCGGTGCAGTGGGGATAGGACGTTGTTTTTCATTTGGAGCGGCGAAGATGCCAGACCAGCCAATGGATAGGGCGATAGAGCATTTTGGGGAGAAGCTGTTTAAGTTGGAGGACATGATGAAGACGGAGACTGGCAAAGAGATGGCGAGGAAGAGGACTAAGGTCCTAGAGGAGTTTGCGAAGCAGTGGGAGAACGAGGCGAAATTAAGTTTTGAGGTCTTGTAGTAGATATTGTTTGACTCGGACTGGAAACTCTGTCCAACGGATGACTGGAGTTGATGCCTACGTAGATATTACAACTCCGTAGTAACATCACGATGGACTACATGGTAAAGGGGCTATATTACACTGGCAAGCTGGAGTAAAGGCGAGAAATACATCATGTCGAATGATCCTGATGATGTTGATCTGAACACAGTCATGCAACGTATACACAACTTTTACTACTTCAGCCGAACCACCTCGAGAAGGTAGTGACAGGCCTCCTCACGGGTACTGCGGCCCTTGGCAAGGCGGGTACGGAGCCAGCCGCTATCGATCGAGACCTAAGATCAGCAACGTTGTTCCCCAACATGTCCAGATCTCGGTTGTCGGGAGCGTAGACGATAGACGACGAAGAAAAGAAATATCGAACATCAAGTCCGCGGGTCGTGACTTTTCATCATCCAAACGGTGTGCTGGTATCTCGTAAACTCGGAATATACTCCGACAGAGTTTTACGGTACATCTGCCTGAATAATCTGAATGCAATATCTCTCAACCAAAGGGTACGGGAAAGACTTGACTGGAACGGCCTTCTTCACCGATGAGCATATGCGGGCCGAATAACGTAGCGTTCGCTCCATAATCATCCAAGCCACAAGTCGCATGTGATGAACAAGAAACTATCCCGACTACTTGATTCGCTATATCGATTCAAGCCGTTTTAAGCGTAGACACAACAAAGCACTGTCGACTCACAGGTTGTGCTCGTCATAGTTGAAGATGTCGTGGAGTATGAATTCACGGCAACGTAAACAATGATGATGGTGTTCAAGGACTTGTAGGTCTGGGTCTGCGGGACAAGTTCCTAGCCAATTAAGCGCAATGCAAGCTTACCAACCTCATCTGGAGCGCGTGCCTCTGTCTCCGACCATCCCACTACGTGTCGCACGCTCCATCCGCCGTACGCTTGTTGACCACAACCAATTGAGCTTCGGACCGCGCTCCGATGTCACCATTTCCTCATCGGTAGCATGCACCCTCCGCTTCGAGTACAGGTCCGACACGCACTGGCACACGCTAAGGCATACCCCATCCGTGTTTGCGTTGACGTCTGGATTACCCCAAGGAGGTATTCCAGCCTAACCTGTCGTATAATGCAAGCTACGGCCTTAACTTTGCGAACCTGCACGATACGAGACCAAGACCATTGCGGCCGAGACACATCTATGCTGCCCATGCAGATTGAGCCGCAGAAATCTCGATACGGCTAACAGGAGTAAAGCCCTGCTTGGATAGCTGCAGGTGGACCGTTAGTAGGACGAATGTGGAATGACCATTGCATCTGCTACAGTACACCATCGAATCTCTTCTAGCATATCCTGTTGACGAATGAGAAATATCCACGGAGTTCCTGTACCGTCGCCAATCACATTGGGGTACGCGTTCCAAAGAAGGAGACCTCGGGATGATGCCATGCCAGTGCTGGAGTGCCCACGGCAAATACATGAGCGTCTTGCGCGGAATACAATACCAAGACGGATTTTAAACAAACACTAAGATCGCGGCACGCAATGCGAATTTCCGGGTTCGCATTCCAGCACACACGCAGAAAAGCTGCTGCGCAAAAGATGAAGTTCGGCTACGTATCCAATCGCATCGTCGACTTCCGATTGGTGGGACGACTTACCGCTTTCCAATGAACATCGAGATCTTCGAGGCCTGGCCTTTCCGCAGCATCGATATTCCAAAATTCGATCCTTAAAAGATGGATGACCGGAATTCTGGGCCCACCGTGATCGTATTTATCATTCCCAGCCTTCTCCTTTGAGGTTTTCTTCTGGGTTGCCCCTTCCTGCTTTTTCCCCCCTCGAGGCCATGCGTCCCCTCAGACCACTCCTCCCGTCTGCTGTTCGCCCGCGCAACGAACCACTCCCTCCTTTACCCCGTGATCGCGTCGCTTCCGCTTGCGATCAATGTCGCGCGAGGAAGATTAAATGCAACGGCGAACGACCAGTCTGTATCGAATGCGTCAAGCGGACAACGTCCTGCCATTACGCTACCCGGTCGTCGGAAACACAGGGCCAGGCACTAAAACGGAAATACGATGCCTTGGAAGCCGAGAACGAAGCCTATGTCGAACTGTTCAAGTTGATCCGAGCGAGCTCAGACAGCGAGTCTTATGAGCTGCTGAGGAGGGTCAGGAAAGGGCATGATGTTGAGGCTGTGTTGAGGGAGATTAAAGAGGCGGACCTGCTTATCCAGCTCAATCCGAAGCCGGAGACGCGAGTTCAGATTACATTGCCCAGTTTGGCGAGTATCATGTCGAGGCGCATGTCTATGCCGGATAATCCGTACTTTGCGTTGGCGGCGACAAGTCAGGCGTCGTCGAATACGGGACATGGGTCTTCGCCGGATAATCCGGCGGCTCAGTATCCGAGTCCGCCTGCCTAGTCGTCCTTGGCTGTCATTCGGAAGGGAACTTCTTTAGGAATCGCGGAAGACGAGCCTAGCAATGATCGCTAACATAGCTGTTATGCTACCCCCCAGCTTCCTAAGCTCTGGTTGTCAAGAGGACAATGCTCGTTTCTGTCTTCGCAGAGAAACAGGGAGTTATTAGACTCGTAGGTCTTGTAGGTATCTATCTCCGGACCGACTAACTTCTTCAGCAAGTATTCAGCGAAGACGATGCACACCTGAGTATCAGTGCTCGCAAGAGTAAGCTGTAAGCCGAACGCCAGTCCATGTGTTGGTGGATCATCCAATCACGTCTCCCGCATTGGAACAAGACATACGTCTGCCTTATGGATAGGGCTACTGACTTAATTCTGGAGTCATAAAAATGGTGGCGCGTCGGCGACTATGATCCCAGCCGCAACCATCTGGTCTCTCGCGCTCATCATTGAGACTGTACTCTGGCAGGCTGTCCAGTCGTTCTTTCCGACAGGATGTGCGCGGTATGGACATTGTCCAAGATCGGGCATGATGCAGCTGGCAGGGAGCTATCTTCGCGGTTGCTGAAGTTCCGCAGCGAGATAGATGTAAGGAAGTCGCGAGACCATGCCTCATCATGTCATAACGACGCCAGACTTGGCGTCACGTGGACCAACAAACGGTCTTGCCTTCACCTCCGGTGAGTTGCGATTTCGCTACACAATCAATCTCGTGCTCTCTCCGACGTTGCAGGCCTTCCATCCTCCCCGTCGCTGCTTCAACAGCGCGACGATATCTATTCTCTAAGTAGACCCTCCCTAAGGTTCACAGGTGCCTTTCGCCGACCTTCCAACGATGAACGCCACAGCCTGTTTTAAGAAAATGTGTCAGGAAAGGAGGAATGAAGACACCTACCCTTCGCTTCGAGGGATTCACAGTTGTGTCCATACCAAGGAAACGCTCCTCCAAGGTTAGGAGATCGATCAACAAGTCGCTATTCCACACTTTCCCCGCCTACCTGCCGAGATCCGCGCCAAAATCTGGGCCATCGCGCTAGAAGATTGCATTTACATACTGGACAAGTATAGTCGTGTCCTCTCTCGCCTCAACACGGTCAAAGCCAGCCAGTTCCGGGGAAAGATCCATGTCAAAACATGCCGAGGCTATCCTACACTCTTTCTCCTGAACCGCGAAGCCCGCTACGAAGCCGCTAGAGCTGACGGAGGGAAGTGGTACCCTCTGGGTGTTGGTGCTATAGAGATCTATGCAAATCCGAAGAAGGAGAGTGTCTTCATCTGCTATACCTACACAGCTCTCTGGTCTTCCTCTTTCCACCAAATTGCAAGACGCCACAATAGAAATATGAAGTTGGATGGTTCATGGATGGATGATCCATCTATATGGTTTGAGTATTCAGACTCGGATTCGGATATGTGAGGGGAAAGTTCCTAGGAAAGCACGACAGGAGGGGCGCGAGCAGGTTGGTACTTTGACTTCTTTGTGGGAGTCAATTCTTATGTTCCGGGTACACCTGCAGGTGGTGGGAATTGATAAATCGGAAGACCTAGCGGAATGAGGGGACATGTAGCGACTAAATCTAGTCTGCTCTCTTCCTGCCATTGCGGCGACGGCACCTGCGAGTTAGCTTTCAGAAAGCATGTAACTAGTAACATGATAAACACAGTTTGTCCACCCAAGGAAAACCGAAAACGACCTCAATACAGCCAGTCTATCACCACACACCAGTTTCATCCAGGGGTAGCATCACAGCCTAACACTATCCCTTGAAGTCTACATTCTTAATCTCTCATCCTCGTTCGTTCCTCGCAATTCTTTTACGCAAGCAGTAACAACCTTCACACAATCTCCCAACTTGAATCCACAACGCTTAGCAGTATATCTCTGCCTGATAGTCTCTTTACGACATGTCTGGACACTATTATACAGTACAACATTGTGGTACTGCGTTTGCCAAGTAAACCAAGGAAAGATTGCTAGGATAGCGTTAGAAATAAGAACTACTCTTGCGTTCTTGGGGATGTCGCTGTTAGAGATGAAGACGCTGAGGAAGAATACTAGGACTAGGATCAGCGCTTCGTCGAAGGGGTAGGGGAACATAGTCGATGTGAGGTGGCAAAAGAATACAGATGGATGAGAAGGGTCTGGCGGTAAGATGGAAGAAGTGGAGGAGGTTGGAATGGAGAGGGCTTTATGCATGAAGAGACACTGCCATGCGATCAAGCTAAGAAAACATTGGTTTGTCGTAGTGTGAGCTAGCCCAACGCCCATCGATCTTCAAACGAGCACTTACTCGTTTGACCCGCCCATCACTTTGCCATCTCTACTTCATCAACGAACCCATCTTCCGTACCTCACTACATCAAATCCTGTTCAGCCTCCCCAGATTTCTTGCACTTGTTTTTAGCCACCTCCTCCACCCTTCCATCCCAGGTCAGGATCTGTAATCTCATATTTCCGTTCGTCTTTGCATCGAACCAACTTGTTAGTTCGCGCACTTTACTTGGAGGATCGCTATTTCCTCTTTCGGAAGTAGAGACTTTCGAGTCAGTGGAGTCAGCGGAGTCAGCGGCGTCATCTGCGTGATCCGATGGGGCTGTTACGGGTGATGATGATTGTTCGTGAGTGATCTCGGAGTTTTTGGGTGTTAGACTAGGGGATAGTGCAGGTTCAGACATGGTGTAGGTTGGGGGGTTACGAGCATATGTGAGTAGGTCAATGACTCGTAAAGCGGGGAGATAGACGCCGCACTTATTAAAGATATCACTCCTCTTCTACGTGAGACACAATGTGGAAGGTTGCGATACTGTGAAACAAAGACACTCGCGTTCTGGCCTTGGTTTCAGTACTGTGGTAGCATGCCAGAGCCTCACGACAAAGAGAGACAAAGAAGGGGACACGATGCAGAGGATCTGAGCCAAGGTTGAAGACAATGTGTCTCATTAACAATAACATTTGCATTAACAGTAACAACAGCGGCCTTGTATATTGCTGCGCTGGGGTATAAATGACGCAAAGGGAAACGTAAACTTTTGATGCCAATGGCACCGTAGAAATACATGGTGTACAGGTGTCGATGCTTAAGCACCTTTCTCGTTTTTCTTGAAAAGAAAGCGGAGCGCCTTGACGCGCTCCTTGATGGTCTTGGACTGCGTGACTTCGTAGAGAGGTTTATGCTCCTCGAAGATGTCGTGCTCGCTTTCGTAGTCGACGTGCACGTAGGCTCGCTCAACATCGGCAAGACCTGTCGCGTGTTAGTGTCGTGGGGTGGATGCGAGTGAGTGATAGAGACATACCTTCGAGCTTCCTCTGCAGGGTCTGCGAGACGTCATGAGTGACCTTAAGCGGTAGACCCTCATCCATGACAATGTCTACTTCAACGTAGTAATTCTGTCCAGCGTGGTACGCGCGGCAAGTATCGACTCTCTGGATCCTGTCGTCGTGTGTGACAACCATGTAGATCAACTTGCTGATGTAGTCTTTTGGTGCTGACTTGCCGACAAGCAGCCAGACGTGGTCGAAAGCATTGGCAGCCCAAGAAACCAAGATCAAAAGACCGATGAGAATAGCACCGATAGGGTCGACATACCAGACGACGCGGCTACCGACGATCGACATGGCAAGACCAAAGGCATTGACGATAATGTCATTGCGATGGTCGATGAAGAAGACATGGACAGCGGGGTAGCGTCGGTAGATGAAGCAGTAGACGCATAGTGAGCCTTTGCAGAAGATGGCTGTCGCAACGAAAGCGATGGGGATAATGTGGAGTTCCTCAGATTCCGTGGCACCGCCAGCCAAGGAGCGCCCAGACTCGATCTTGTTACATGTCAATAGCTGAGCCAGTCGCACGGGAAGGAGTACTTACGATGAGCTGAATAGCTACCGTTGTCATTAAACAGCAGAACATGATGATACCGATCGTCTCGATACGTGTCCGCCCCACGGGGTACTTGTAAACGCTTGGCCGTGCTGCCATGCGAGATGTTATGAGCATAACCACCGACGAGACCAAGTCCATGAAGGCGTCCGCAGCTGTCGCGAACAGCGACAACGAACCCGTGGAAACGGCTGCATACATCTGGATGATGAACAAGCAAAAGTTGACGATGAACGAAGCGTTCACGGCGAAGCGGACTTTGGGTCCATTCTCGACCATGTCAAGAGCAGCCAAGCGTTCTTCATCTCCACTCTGAAGGAACTGATCGATCAAGGCATTCTGTCTTGTGTAGAACTTCTTCATGTGCCTGGGCTTGGCGAGTGGATAGTCACTCTTCATCTGTTTCTGAGTCACATCGTCTCGAACGTGTTTGCGGAGATCGAGTGGATCGTTCTTGACGACGATGGTGACATCGTCCTTGGCTCCCCGCGACGATGCATTGTCTACAGATGACAGTCGCTCAATGGCGTCTGTCCTATGCTCGGCGCCGACATTGGCCTGGTTTGACGATGGTGTAGTGCCAGAGCTTACTGGAGCGCTTGTTTGCCCAGCAGCTTGGTCGTGTGATGGGCCATTAGGTGAAGCTAAACGGACAGTCAGACAAGAGAACCACGGGCTTGGGTTGCCTGAGACATACTGTGAAGATCGGAAGTCATGGTGTCCGGGCGATGGGCTGAGGGACGCGTATGTGTGTGTGTATGGGCGATCTCTAGGATCTGCTACGGTGTGGGAGTTACGGAGTGGGTGATATATGCCTCAGCTCAGGGCATGCAATGTAATAAAGCGTCGCTGTGAACGCCACCGCGGCAGATTTCCCGCCCTCCTCCGCAGGAGTTTCTTTCTTTGAACCCTGAAGTCATAGTGGAATGGCCAGATCGTTTACTCGGTGCCACATTGTGTGAATACTGCACGTTGGTGCAGGTGTAGGAATGCTGGGCACGGAGCGTGAAACTCGCTAAGCATTCTCAACGGCGTGCTAGCACATTCGGGGGTAAGCTCGCTACCTGATTTGGCATGACTTTGTGAGCTTGGCCTTATCTTGATACCTTATAAGGCTTGGCTGTCTGCATGCGCGGAGGCGTGTTGAAGATGCCCACGCACGCGTGTACAACGTGGTGGAGATGCTAGCGGGCGATCTAAACTGACCGGAACTTTTTTGATGCTAAGAGATGCGAAAGGCTTGTCATGTGCGAACGCCTCCCCACACACCGATCTCCATTGCTGAAGTGGGCTTGATGGAGCTGTTGTCGGTGTGATGGTTTGATGACTCGGAGCGCACGTCGCAAGTTCTTCAGGGTTGGCTATTCTTTCCCTCCGGCTAAAATGGTCACACGCCTGACAGATAGCGCAACGCAGCGATCGTCACGGCAGGATTGCATCGGCTACAGCGTGGGGCCATAGTGGGCGCCATCTATATCCCCACGACGCTTTCTTTTACATCTCCAGGTTTCAAAACTCACCGAGTCGGACCATGCCAAGCTTTATCATTACGGCACGAAACTAAGCCGAGCTTGGCCCACACACGTCAACGCAATCGCGAAACGGCCCATTGGCCAACGACATCGGCATGCTGAGCCACTTCGAACCTCTGCTGCACCAGATGGCAGCAGTCAAGCCTCACCCCTAATGCTTCGCACCTCCACACTTCGTCAGCTGTCCCACTCGCTTGGCCCACTTGCCGGAAACGAGACTTGAGCCGCATCACATCCCCACCCCTTCGCAGATCGAGCGTGCCTGCCAAGCATCTACGCGCATGACAGCCGTCTCCAATGAGCTTCGAAGGCTGGGCGCAGGCAATTCCAGTTCCTGCCTGGAAACCTCATGGCAATGCTTCTTTTGTCTTCGGCGCAAGGCTGGCTGGTCCTGACACCGTCTGGACCTCCGCGTTTGCTGCTTGGAGCACCTATCACTGCAGGCGATAGCTGAGGCACAGGCCACTGTATCGAGGTCCCACTATCGTCTTCAGGTGTTCTGGAGACGCGCAGATCTGCATGATGCGGTTAGTGTCTCTTATCCTACTGGCCCTTAAAGCAATACATAGTCTGGAGTGCCGAGCCTGCTGCCCATACTCACAACATCACTTCTGTGCGTTTTCAGTTCTTGTTACTCTTTGAGAGAGTGTGTTGAATTCCTTTCTTTCTTCGTCTCTTTTTCTTGTTCATCGTCGCCGGCGACGGGACTGCTGGCAAGTCTGGGATTACTCCACACGTTCCTTGAACTAAACATACATTCTTTGTAATCTTTGCAATGGCCGATACGGAGAAGCCTCAGTGTGGCAGCGAGGCGGATGCTGCCGCTTACGACTTTCCCCTGCACGTTGCTGCAGTTTGTGAGTACACCCAAAGTAACCATAGTACATTACTAACATCTTTTTAGTCATCGTCTTCTTCGCTTCCATCTTCGGTGCTGGGTTTCCAGTAGTGGCGAAGAAGATCAAGTGGATGAAGATCCCACCGAAAGTCTTCTTCTTCTGCAAGCACTTCGGTACTGGTGTTCTAATCGCTACTGCTTTCGTCCATCTACTGCCGACTGCCTTTGCGTCGCTCAACGACCCATGCCTGCCGGATCTATTCACCGACGACTACCCCGCTCTACCAGGTGTGATCATGATGGGTTCACTCTTCATTCTCTTTACGATTGAGATGTGGCTTCATGCAAAGACTGGCGGTCACAGCCACGGTGGCGCAACAGGAGAGGCATTCAACGGCGCACAGCACTCTCAACACTCCACCACTGGCATCCAGGCAGCCTTCAACAACCCCATCCGACGAGTCGAGAGCTACGATTCGCAGAGGACAATGCTTGCTCAGCGGGACGAGAAGCGAGGATGGGTCGAGGAGTCAACATACCCCGTGGACAACTTCCCATTCCCCAAGAGCGGCAGCGACGAGCTCGAAGCCAAGTCCGAGATGCCACCATGGTTCATCGTCTTCTACGAGCAATACGTGCGTCAGCGCGACGAGATGCTTGCCACGATCAACCGTGCCATGCCTCCTATGCCATCATACCAGCAACAGCAGGCTCCTCAGCAACCCGAGGCCAACTCGTACTTTGACGACGATGTCGAGCAGGCTGTCGATCCTATGGTTCTCAAGAAGCAATCCATGCAAATCACGCTCATCGAGGGTGGTATTCTGTTCCACTCCGTCTTCGTCGGTATGACCATCTCTATCACAGCCGAGGGTTTCATCATCCTGCTCATCGCCATTGTCTTCCATCAGATGTTCGAGGGTCTTGGTCTCGGCACGCGTATCGCGGATGTTCCTTACCCCAAGAACAGCTGGAAGCCCTGGGCTCTCGTTGTTGCTTTCGGTACTACCGCGCCCATTGGCCAGGCTATTGGACTCTTTACTCGGGGATCTTACGACCCCAATTCGGCATTTGGTCTCATTATCGTCGGAGTGTTCAACGCTATCTCGTCTGGTCTTCTCATCTACGCTGCGCTCGTCGATCTGTTGGCCGAGGACTTCCTTTCCGAAGAGGCTCAGCACACAATGACCGGCAAGACCAAGACTACTGCGTTCATCTACGTCCTCATGGGCGCAGCCGGTATGTCCATTGTCGGAGCTTTCGCCTAAGCGCGCTGGGTATGGGCTACTGTTTTGCAGTACCCATCGACCTTCAGCTTCGCCGAGCTTTACTGCACTACGCGCGACGCTTTTCCTTCCTATCTAGACAAGATCTGCCACAACAGCCTGGCAGAATGATCAACTGTACGAGTATGGGAACAATACTAGGCGTCATCATGTATATGACGGCACATGTTAAACTGAAACAAGAATTATTTAAACGGGGCAGCCATTCATTCTTTACGTGGTCATCTCTTCTTTTAGTGCATAATGTCATGTTCACCCGTTGCCTATCATCATCATGTCTCAATTTTCACTGTATCTTTGTCTATAAGTCTCAATGTGTTGCTAGACTATAGATATTACGAATTCATGACTTTGGATAAAGCGCCAGGCTGTTTGAGATCTTGCGAGCATGTGATCTATCGTGATCAGGTTTGCGCTAACATCTCAAGGATGACTTCCATGACAAGTACGCCAAACAAAACCTCGTGACATTCTCTCGCGACAACCTCTCGGTTGACCTCGCTGAAGATTTGAATCTGGGGACAAAAGGCGCGGCGACTTCTAATCGCATTTGCTCGCGACGAGCCAAAGAGGCAGAGGTCCGCCTCTGAAGAAGAATAGAGTGTCGAAGCAGAGGTTCCTTTCAAAATGCGAGAATCCGGCAGGGCTTCGCTGTCGGCTTCAGAAAGCAGAAGTCGGCGCTACTCTCATTGTGCCCTACAACATTGCGATGACCTATCGCTTTATACGCAATCTCCACGGATTTCACGGCCTCAGAACACTAATCATGCAAGCAGAAAATACACTTGCCGAAGCAGCGACACACGATGCGCGACCGGAATCCGCAAAGACCGAAGGTTTCTTTGTCACGGGATTTGAATGGCCTTTTGCTCGCCCCGTAATGCGGGTGTGGCTTGGCTGGGTCAAGACGTCGCGGCTGGCTTGGGTAAGCGTGCTTTCGGGCCAGATCTTCGAGTCAGATATGCTTGGCTGAATGTGATATGAGAGGTTGTGCGTTTCGATGGATCTTGGTGTTGACGACGCTGGGGGCAGGGGGTGAAACGCGTTTCGAGACGTTCTGGCGTGTGGCGTTGCAGGGTGAGACGGGAGGGGCGAAATGAGTCAGCGCGGGTTAGTGCGAACAGGAGGTCTTGGACTTTGTGATGATGCTAATTGTGTATTCGATTAAGAATGTGCTAAGAGTCCGAAGAACAGCCAACGAAGGGCCGGATCGCTAGTAACGAGATGAACGCCAGGAAATGCTACGACCCCACCATCGACACGGTGCGCCGCTCAAACCAGATTACCCCGGGCGTCCTGCTCCCGCTCAATCGCCTCGAACAGACTCTTGAAGTTACCTGCACCAAATCCGTCAAAGTTGTTCCTCTGGATAATCTCGATGAACACCGTCGGCCGGTCCATCAAATGCTTGGTGAAAAGCTGCAACAGGTAACCACCCTCATCAAAGTCGATCAGAATATCCAAACTCTTGAGCACCTCAAAGTCCTCGTTGAGCTTGAGACCCGACTTCTTGAGCCGCATCTTCATGGAATCGTAGTAAGTCTCGGGCACCTTGATGAATTCCACGCCGCGAGCTTTCAGGTTGGTAATGTCGCGAACAATGTTGTCAGTCCTTAGCGCGATATGCTGAACACCAGGGCCGCCGTAGAAGTCAACGTACTCCTCAATCTGGCTTTGCTTCTTGCCCTTGGCAGGTTCGTTAATGGGCATCTTGACCACGTCGTTCGGCGAGCTCATGACGATACTCTTGAGAGCCGAGTACTCTGTGCAAATGTCCTTATCGTCGACGCTCCAGAAGCGGTGGAAACCAAGCACCTTCTCGTAGTATTCGCACGCGCTTTCCATCTCGTCCCAGTCTTGGTTGCCGACGCAGTGATCGATGGCTTCGAGTTTGACTTGGGGCAGATACTTTTGGAGAGGGTCAGCGGATGTGGATTCGGGTCGGTAGCCGGGGAGGAAGATGCCGCCGTAGTTGTTCTTTTGGATGAGCGTGTGGGTTGTGTCGCCGTATGTGCGGATGGTGGCGATGCGGACGGAGCCGTAGCTGTCGGAGATGTCGTGGGGTGCTGAAATGGTGGCTGCGCCTGATGAGACGGCGGCAGAGTATATGGCATCTACGTTGTCGACTTCGAAAGCGACATCTGGATTGGTAAATCAGCGATAGTTCTTAGCCATTGTAGGAAGTTATCACGTACCTTTGACTGCATCACCATGGCGCTCTTGGTGCTCATGAATTTCTCGCAGGAGCTGCTCATCTTCTTTGCTGAATCTTGAGCCTTGTTCCAGGCACCTCAAGGGCGATGTGAGGATGAAAGTCACGTTGCCGTTCCGTATGACATGGGAAGCGGTGGTTCTTGATCCAGTCTCTAGTCCACGGTATGCGACACGCTCGAAGCCCATACGTGATACATAGAACGAGGCTGCTTGTTTGGCGTTACCGACATACCAGTGGACATGGTGGTAGCCTTGGTATGAAGAGACGTCTGAAGGGGTGGCGGCGGATTGTCTTGGCGATGCCGGTGGAGAGATAGCAGCGGGCGCCATTGTGAAAGTGATCTGAGAACAGAGATGTACAGTTGAGTAACTCAGGGTTTAGTTGAAAGTACTCAGACTTTTGCTTGTTGAATATTAAAGCAGTGTTGCGAAGTGTAGTGAACTTCCCACTAGGCACCGATGCGCAGCCATTCTTTATCTTCTACCGTTCTGCATCCACTTCCCTTCTCGAACCGACATCCGATAACTCTTGCTAGCAATTACCATATTCATTCCAGGTAGCGTCATTTAGTTGGTTATGCCGAGCTCACGTGCACTGGCCGCCATAAGAAAGCAAGTGTTGTCCGCCGCTTTCCGCCAATGAAAGTTCCGTCTGCATCCGCCGTGGATGCTACGCGTTGCAGTTGCGTAGCTGTAGCAAGCAGTCGTCAAGCAATTTACTGCAAGCTGATCTTGCGATGCTTACCATCATCAACGATGAGGCTGGATGCAAGGCTTCGCGTTTGTGATGTGCGATGTCGTGTGTAGTAAGAGTATTGGTCGCCATGTTGTTGCGGCTTTGCGGGCCAGCCGCCAATTCCCTGGCAAGGCTCCTTCTTCATCATCCAACTCACAACCACGCGACTTCACCACCACTCAGTGAATTCTGATCGTCTCTTATTCGACTTGATGCACTTGAGAAGCTCTAAAGTTGGGCTTGCGCAGAAGTTACCAAGTTTACGTGAATCATGGATATGATGTTCATCGCCGCGACGCGCATAGGCCGAACCAGCCTCGCGCCAGCCGCCTTCCGCAGCATACACTGAACTTTGCCGTGAAAATCCGTACCTTAAGCCGAGTGAAGGAATGTGACATGCAACATCGCGATGGTCTAAACGGCCTTCACGTGAAAGAATATACGCTTTTCCCTCGCTGAGTTCATATTCCAACCTTGTTCAACCACTTTCAAAAAGATTCCAGTACCCCCAATTAGAATTACCACTGCTTCAAGCTACCTAGGTATCTATTCCGCGACCATACCTAACACAACCATGGCCGTCACCCTTCCCAACACGTCGTTATCCGCCAACGACGCACGCATACTCAACGCACTTTTCGATCCAGAAACCCTCCCTTCTTCTGTCGGCCAACAAAAAGACATATCCTCATCAATCGACCCTTCACTACCCGCCCACCCTAGCATTCCAGATTCACAGCTCAACGCACTTGAGCGCCAACAAAGCGAGATAATAGGCCGCATATCCAGCACATCTAGCGTTACGGAGATAGATTCTGCGATTGCAGAATTAAATGCGGTGGTAGAGCAGTGGCCGGAGTATGCGGGTGCGTGGGTGAACCGTGCCATGCTACGGCGGATGAAGCTGGAAACCGCTTTGGAAAAAGGGAAGACCATCTTCGGAACTACGACCGAGACATCGGGATCAAACACTGAGGCTGTATTCTTCGATCTCGCGCAAGCGATCAAACTTTCCCTTCCATCTTCCCAGTCCACACCAGCCGTGTCGCCGCACGCTGCGAAGATCCTACGAACAGCATACTCACACCGCGCGTATCTGTATCTCAAAGCTGTGGAATCAGAAATACGGCTACATGGTTTAACTAGATCGGAACTGGAGGAGCAAGCGAGTAAAGACTTTGCGGCTGCGGCGCGGTATGGTGATGAAGTGGCAAGGGAGATGAGCGTGAGGACGAATCCGTATAAGAAGATGTGTGGTGTTATTGTTCGGGATGCGTTGAGGGAGGAGATGGGTATGAATTCATCGGGTTGATAGGATTACTATGACAGACTGTTGCGTGTCACATTCGCTTCGCCAGATGTTGTGGTGTGCCATAAGAGACACGATCCCTACCTATTTCATACGCTCTCGTACAGGAGCTAGATTTCTTCCGTGCTGAGGCGCTACGCTATCAGCAAGCGCCCGGGACATGTTTCTGCGAGCAAACATCGATCTTATCTATGTATGTGATGCGGCGTGGTTTCGCAAATCTTAAGCGGCACATCATCGCCCGCCGATAAGGCTCTATCTGCATGTTCAAACTTCGAACATTCCCAGGTCGCTACCACAAAACACACTATACCTTTCTCGCATGTCTGTCATGTCCTTCAAAACTACTATACCCATGTTCGTCACTTGCATGGCACCGTTCTTTCTCGTCTACTTCGTTGTAGATGGAATTCACAGGCTTCAACTCAACAAGACTACCTACGTCAGCGAAAATCCAGACCTCAACGCACATGCGGAGTTCGAAAGCTATATCGCATTATGCGTGGCATGCGTGGTAGCTTGGGCAGTGTTGTCAATATATATTGCGACGTTTGGGGGAGGGAAAAGAGGCGAAGAGGAAAACGCGAACCAAAAGGCTGTGGCCGAGGATGTGAGGCAGCGCGACGAGGGAGACATTGAATGGCTCGATTTCAATCTACTGAAGGATGATGTTGATGTGGATGTGGTCGGAGATGAAGCAAAGAGGTTCCACTTGTTCGACATTGATGATGGTATTAGCAACGTCAGTCTGGAGACTGATAGCAGCGATGACGACGTTCAGGATGGGTCTCGAGAGAGTGTCGGCAGATTGGGATGGTGCGTGTTGATATGAGGTTGATATGGTTTGGAATGCACGTGGTTGCAGCAAGATTGGAAGAGACAGAAGAAAATGTATGGAGCGGATGCTGTGTACTGCAGGTAATCTTGCTTCCATTACTGACTCCACGACATGTTTGTCGGGATCAATTATACATACCCAAATGTTCTACACACATCGCGTTTCCGGTTCCCTCATCTACAATTCACCCGTCCCTCCCCCTTCCCTTCTTGTACAATCGCCCGTATGAAGAAGACCTCTAGTGCATCCATCTGACCGTATCACCATCCCTTCCTACAGCGAGCATACCGATACTGTGCGAAGTCCAAGCAAGCCATCCTACCTCATGACTCCTGGGACGAGATAGCAGACCATGAGGATGACGACAAAGTTCTGCAGGATGATAACAAGGGCGGTCTTGACCTTATGCATGATGAGAGCGTATGAGTTGCCGTCGACTTTTGCTTGGACAATGATAGTAGCCAGGATGTTTATGGTGATTGAGAGAAGTGCGTAAAGCAAGTCGGAGAGCGTTGCTGGCATGCTGGGTAAGGTTTTGTGTGGGATTGGATGTGCTCGGCTGTGCGATCGACGGTTGAGTTCGTGGTGATGGTCGAGAAAGGTATGAGTGATATGGGCGTGCGCTCTTATGTGTGCATTCTCGGCGTACGGTTTGCTTCAATGTGTTTTTCTTTATGACGAGGCTGTCTAAAATGATGTTTGGAACGTTCCATTAACGCCCGTCTCTTTGAGGAGCAAACCCCGATACGTCTGAAGCGTGTAATCGCTAGACTGGTACAGTTCTCTGTGTCATTTCTCACATGTACCTTGTCCATCATCCCTTACATAGGCAAGTTCCAGATGAAATCCAATGTGCCATCATCAAACCCCTGGAACCCTCCCTGCAACCCACCATCTAGTCCAAACGGCGCCATCGCCGGATCAAAAGGCAGGGCCAACCAATCGTCATCCGGCATATCAGGCATGAGCCCCGTTACATTCTCCGCGAGGCTCGACAAGCTAGACTGACCAGCATTGTGGTTGTTCAAAAACGCCATGCCTTCTGTTGCGGAGGCGGATGCGGCATGTGTGGTGTTATGAGAGGTATTGTGCGGCGTGGAAGTAGCGCGCGAGGGGAGGCGGGGTGGACGGGAGGAGACGACGAAGGATTCGCGGAGGCGAGCTACGTGGAGGTCTAGGAGGGTGGCGTAGCGGGAAGCTAGGTGCATGTCATCGAGGGTACCTAAAATGCTGTGTTAGTGACCGCAAAGCGAGATGTGCGTTGTGGGAAAATGTAGACTTACTAGCACGAAGAGCCCTAATCGCCGCATCCAGAATGTCCAAACAGCTCTGCAACTTCGCATTCCGGCTCCCCAAACTCAGTCCCTTGATCAAGTATATCGAACTGGTCGTTATCCGCAAGAAGATCCTGACAGGCGAGTACCGCAGCGCCCCCGTTTCAGAAAGCTGACAGACCTTTTGCAGAATCTGGCAACTTCCGTCGACGACTTCTTGGATGAAGTCGTAGTCTCGCGGCTCGAGATTGAACGGAAGGTTGTCTTCTTGCGGAACGTCGGGATCGGTTTCTGCGAGTGTGCGTTCGACGACGGCTTGCATGCCAAGAGAGTTGGTGTAGATACGGACGTATTGGTATTCGATATGGAGCATGTCGTGGAGGCCGACTTTGAGCTTGCATGGGTCGAGATACTTCTTCCGCCATGATACGAGCAGTGGCTGGAAGTGTTCCAGCAGCCCAATGTACCGACCAGTGCGTAGTAAACTTCGTGTCGTGGCTGTGTTCGGGTAGATGGTATCTGAGATTGAGCGCGCGAGCTTGGTGAGTTCGACCCATGCGCTCATGAAGGACTGCCATTGCTCCACCGCACCGGTTGCAGAGTCGACTGGTATCTTCTCCATGAGAGCGTGGTTAAGGCTCTGTGGGATCATCGATGTGCAACCTAGCCTCCATGAAAGCTGTTCGAGCAGAACGTATAGTAGCTTCCGAGCCCTAATCCTTCGTAGAATGAGATACTCTGTTGTAAACTTTGGGTAAGACACTTGGTCCTTGTCGATCCTGGCATTGTCTTCGAAGAGACCCAGCTCTTGTGCCAACGACAAAGCGCAGCCCATCAACATCCATGACATACGGTCAGAGCGCTTTGCAGGCTCAATGACATCTTCAAGCCATCGGTTGGACGTTACGTCTCCTTCCAACAGCTTCGCGCCTTCTTCTGTGGTGTTGTTCGCGCCGATCATGAGCTCGCAGTCCCAGCCATCAGCAGCAGTGGGGAAATGCAGCGCGCGAGGATGCCATTCGGATAGCAAGAGAAGCGCCTCTATAGATCCGATGGTCCGACTCTGCGCTTTCGACGGCTTGACCTGTCCGAGCATGATCTTCATGATGAAGCGCTGGCATTGCTCCCAAAGCCTGTCATGAACGAAGTAACCTCTTGATGCGCCGCCTACACCAGGAAGGATGTTGTATCTGGATGAGATCATGAGTATGGTAGTGCACAAGAATGGATCCAGCGCAATCAGCGTGTAGTGATTCTCATGGTGGGAGTAAAATTCTCCCAGTATGGGCGACAACGGCGAGCAATTCTTGAAGAACAGGTCAACATAGGTAACCGCCTCATGTGCAGAGAACCAGCCCATCTGCACGAACCGACATGACGTCCACGTCTTCAGCGTCTCTGGTGACGGTGTCGACATCTGCACCGGCTGCGCTCTAAATGTGTGGAACGGCAACGACGGAACACCATTGTCATAGCCCGATGGCCCTGACCTTGGTGTCTCATATGCTTGCGACCCTGACTGTTCCTGGCTGTCGATAGCATCGCGATGATGCGCAGCTTCAAAAAGCAAATTCAACGCATCGCTCCCACTCGACACCACCGTCCGCATCACCGAATGCGCAAGATCCGGCTGCGACGACGAGATCCTGCGAAGATGCCCATGAGGTGACTGAAACTCAGTGCGATTCGTACCGTTGACATGCGGACTAGTCCCCGGCGTGAAACCATGCGCTGATATAGACGACCTATGACCTGGCGAGGGCTGCACGTTTGGCGCCGGATTGGACTGAGGGCGATCACGAACAGGTTCATCATCTTCCTCGCCTTCTCGCGCCGCCTCCCCCGGTTTACGTCTCTTGACCCAGCTCCTCTCGGAGCGAAACACACACTCGCGCATCTCGCGCTTGCATCTCTGACATGGAGGCTTTAGTTCACCACCATCTGGCCCCGTACCCAGGATGCATTTTGCCTTGCGTTGCCGGCAATTGATGCAAGCCTTGTATGCGCGCTTGAAATCTTCGGGGTGGGTCCGCTTTTTGCTTGCAGAGGCTGAATTGGCGTCTTGTTGGCCAGTGCCTGTTGCGGAGTCGTCCATGGTAATGGGATAAGAATTATAAGTGATAGGGTGATACAACGGATGGCGCAGGAACTGGTGGTGGGCGGAAGCCCGGGTATGACTGGGTTTTGCGCCTCGGGTATCGGCGGCCTGGTGGCGGGCTTATTCTGCAGCCGCCTGCGCCCTACTTAGGTAACCATGACGGACGTTTTGTGCGATGCTGCTTACATGATGTTTTTGAGCAGGCTCGTTCCGTCTTGGTACTTGCACGCGATGGGAATCTATTTGTGTTGGGTGCTACAGTGACTGCTATATTGCAATGGCAATCGCGTGTTGACCGGCTAGTGGTGGGGATCAAACCAAGCATCCTGAAGACCGGGGGTACAAGCGTGCATTCGATATACCATGATGAGCTCAGAATCACATACCACACAGTGCTATCATGAGCTCACTTGTCATGCTCCATACTTACGTCTATTCCCTTATAACAGTCTGTTCCACTCCCCTTCTACCTCCTCATGCAAACTCCCTCATCACTGACGCACCCAAGCCAACTAACACACCATCCCTCCAATTCTATCTCCTCTTCTCGCATATGCCCCCTTCCTCTCGAACTTGTCGTCATCATGGATCCAAGTCAACACAATTCTCGTCCCCGTCTCCGGCGGCGTCATCATCAACCTCGCACACATCTCCAACCCCCTCTGCACCTCCTCAATCTCACCCTGCAACACCGCAGCGTCCCAAATACCCTTCACAGCAACACAAACAAAGAGCACGTACAGCATAGGATTTACGACCGATCTAATCTTCACACGCCGATGCCAGCATTGGCTGATAAGAACCCTGCAATGGCGGACAGAGGCCTTGGTGAAAAGGGCAAGGACGAAGAAGGGGAGGTGTTGGGCGGTGAGTTGTGGTGTTACTTGGTAGGCTAATCCCTGCAGGAACGGTTGCTTTGGTGGGAATGAGAGGAGCGGGGAGTTGTGGGGTATAAGGAGGGGGCCTCGTCTGGAGGGCAGATATTGGGCTGTGGTGAAGTCGTCGGAGAAGTCATAGTCGGTAGCCACGGTCGTTTGTGTTGGTGCTGGCGGTGGTGGGTGAGAGATGATGAGTGTGCTTGGGCACGTTGGGTGAAAGCTATTGGTTGGCAAAAGTTTGCCTGTGAGCAATTGGAAATGTGCCAGGGCTTCTCTGAGATTGTATTGGAATGCCCGAGAAAGAAGACATCCTTTGGCCGGAAGAAATTGCGGGAAAGGCGTAACAGACATATGTCTCGGCGAACCCAGCAGCCTCCTACCGACGCAACTTCACCTTCCCCTTGCCCAGCGCATTCAAATGATACTGACTCCCCATTCCAAGCGGCCTACCCTCCCATTCCCCCCTCCAAAGCCTATCCACACTACCCAACTGCGGATCACTCCGATCATAAAGCGTCGTCTCCTTCATTAAATCCCAATGTTCCGCCTTCTTCCACCGAAGCAGCATAGGCTTCAGAAGTTTGCCCGTGATATTCTTGTTCCGACACGTTGTCGCAAAGTCTTCAATCTGGCCGTCGAACCACTCGAGTGACGGATCGGCGGGTTGCCAGACCGACATGGATTCTAGAGTCGGAGTGAAGTCGAGGAGAGAGAGGGAGGCTTGGAACATGTAGGATACGTCCATGCGGGCGTTCATCAGGCACTGCGCCTCTTTTTTTGACTCCTCGAATGTGAGGCCGTTGGGTAGGATGGAGGAATCAAAGGGGAAGGGGAGGTGGGCGTGCGAGAGATCGGGTCGTAGCGTGAGGTGGCGTAGGTTTGGCGGGAAGAGAGGGTAGATCTCCTTTGTGATGGAGAACTCGACGTCGCCGGTCAGGAAGGGGAAGGCACCTTCTAAAGTATGTAGTTTAGTGAAGAAGGTGAGATCAAGGAAGCCGTAAAGTCGGTCGCCAATGCGAGGCTGGGCGAAGAAGTAGGCGTCTGGGTCGCAGTATTCCGCGCCGAGGACTAAAACTTCCAGGGTGGATTGCAAGGGCTTGAGATACTCGTTCCAGGCGTCTACCATGAGTAGATGCCCTTGGTCGGTAGTCTGTGCCTGCGCGTTGAAGTAGAAGTCGTACGTCAGAGACCGTAGCTTTGGCGTGCATTGAAACACCGAATGCAGACCCGGTGTAAAGGCACCCGAGTGTCGGAAGACCAATGTAGTGATGTTAGTAGCTCTTGGGCGATCTACAATTGAATTTACTACAGCATGGCCATGGAATTGCGACTGCCCGCCTAGACTGAAAAGTTCGAGTTTCTCAATACCTGGGATGTTCAAGAAGTGGCCGATCGGATTGCGGTTGTTGTCTCCTGGATACCAAACCCCGGTCTTGCGATCAACCATGAGGGATACTTCTTTGATGGATGAGAGGCGATCAAGAAGAACTTGTGATGGATAGCGCCGGTTCCATAAAGTTCCGGGGTCGAGATTGCGGAGTACATTATGGAGGTGGTCGAAGGTGGCCGACTTGTAATCTGCAACGTCGAGTCGACGAAGTTTTGGAAGGACGAGAAGAGCAAGCGCTGCATAAGCAGCGTATTCGCGCATGTAGATGGCGTCTCTCAGATAGTCTCCGGCAGCCACCAACGTCTCGTCGCTCAACGCGACCATGGCTTTCCGAAACATCAGCTGATCGTCAAAGGTCTTGTCTGGTGCCAGCCACCGCTGGCCCTGTTTTACATCCTCGCTGGGGGACAGTCCCAAGCGGATTGACTCGACATTGTTGGCTTTGCGGTTGTCGTTGATGATGTTTAGGCAGAAGCGATCGATCCTGGGGAGTTCGTTGCCGGGCGGTATGAAGAGATCAACATGACGGTACAGGAATGGCGTGGCTAGATTGGAAAGGCTCTTATTGACTCGGCAAACAGCGTATATGTCGTGTTGGGCGAGATAAGATACGATGTACTCCACGAGCTCAGTGGGGAGGATGGAGAAGGTCGCCATAACACAGCGATGTACTGAGAAAGTGTCGCACAAGGCCTGAATGCTTGGAAGAGCTACACAAAGTTCAAAGACAGCGGTTGCAAGAAATCAGTAAAAGTAGGGTGTTGGTGATAGTTGCGCCACGCAAAGGGTTGCCTGACAGAGGGGATGTGAGGCCCGTGCACGAGGCTGATTGGTTGCTTGAGGAGCACATGGCAGAAGCAGTTGGAGTGGCCATGACGCTTGTGTGCACAGAGACGGTGCTTAGAGGCTGATCAGCGTCTGTCGTGCAGCGATGTAGCGATGTGCCGATGTGCTCGACCTATCTGCCGGCTGTGATGACAGAGAATAGTCCACGAGTCTACACATGGCTACGTCACAGGCGGCTCTACAGCACGTGACAGTGATGTGCCGATCATAGGCGTTCGCACATGTCAAAAGATGTGTTCGAGTACCAGCGTCGTGAAGAGTGCCGTGTCCGTCTTTATCGGACATTCAACTCTGGGGAAAGCGGGCTAATTCTCGGACTACCCCGCGTTCTGGTGGGTATGTATGAACATGACGAGGGTTAGCCCAACCGTCGTGCGTCGTATGAGATGCGACGAGTTGCAAAGCGCATGTTCCTCGTGGGTGTCCCGGAGTATCGGGAACACTCGGAGCTGACTCAGGATGCGTGAGCACGCTGTTCGCAAGAGAATGCGGCAGGTAATAGCCGGCGACACAACATGGCATCGCGATCGCATATCGAGCATGACGGTCTACTACTGGGCGTTACCGATGGTGCACGATGATTTGCCTCGACAAGGCCAAGCGGGATAACGGCATGCGAACGAGTTCTGGAGATGTGCATGGTTGGCGGAGTAGCTGGCCGTTGCGATGTGGGCGGCCATTCAGCGGCCTTGGATCTGTCAGAGCTGCACACCATGGCGAAGCGAGAACCAGAAGAACAGGCCAAACAGAGCATCGTGGATGATATCGATGGCTCCGCTTTCTGGGAACGGTGGTTGTTAGTAGGGAAGGTGTTGGTAATGGCCTCGGTCAAGGCTCGGGAGGCGCACTGGCATCTTGTCAGGTGCTTCGCGGGTTCCGACATCTTCCTGGCTGGCAGTCTTGATGCGCTTCAGCAACGGTCCGATGCGCCAAACCTGCCAAACCTCCCCTTCCCCCGCCATCTTCTATAAACCTCGTCGCCGCCTACCCCGCTGACACCAACGGCACCGCATACCACTCGCATACCGCCTCACATATAGACGCGTAGACGCCCACCCCAGCTGCAGCTCGCCTACGTCACACGCACCTCTGCGCCGATAATCGCCAACCGTCGCTCACGACCCGCCCCTGTTCCGCGGCTCCCCCTTGGATCAGCGCATGGAATAGAAAACGTCGCAGTGCCCGAGCTTGACGGCGCAGTCGGAGCGCCGCCTTTGCTGTTGTTCTTTGGTCGCTGCACGAAACGCCGTTGCGGAGCCGCCAACACGCCAGCACGACATCCCACACCGCCGCTAGTCCTCGACGTTTATAGAGCCTCGCTATTTTGATGCCCCAGAGCCACCAGCGACCCTCACCAGATCAGACATCCTCCGATACCACTATGACGACCAACCGCCCCTTCTTCGGCGGCTTCCTCGCCGCCTTCCGCGCGCAGCAGCCCAACCTCCAGAAGACCACGGCCTCTCAAGCAGCTTCTGTAGCCTCGTACTCCCAAAACACCACCTCACAGCAAAACCACACCGTCGACACAACAGCCGCGTCGTCACGGACCATCACCACAAAGACGCGCTCCCCATCGCCCGGTGCGACAACCGTATCCGTCCAAGCAACGGGCCATTTCCAGCCCACCAGGCAACACACCGCCCCCTACAACCGCTCCACATCTCCCAAAGCCCAGGCTTTCCCAATACCTGGCGCATCGCGTCGAGGCAGGCGAGGCTCCGACAGCTCATCCGAAGGCTTCCACGAAGCCATGGGCGCTGAGAAGTGGTACATCGGCGGGCGAACAGCGACAGGCGAGGAGAAGTTCTACAAGCTGGGCATGGTCAAGCGACACAGAAGCGCCGACCGCCTGAGTCTAGACAAGCTCAGCATATGAGCTGGGAGAGAATACTTTGCTTCAAAAGCGCAACTGCATCATCGGCGTTCAGGACACGAGATCTCACGGCAAGATCCACGTTTGGGTTATCTAGAATCTTTCACCGTATAAATTTGGCCTGTCGCATGGCTTACGAATACACGTATATATTTGCGGGCTCTTCGCCTGAGCTCACTCGAGATGGTCGTCTGCATCATGCATGTGAAAGTCTAGTGCGCCAAGGAGTCATGTGCCCAGGTCAGTATTGGCTAGCACACACAAGGCGTGCACTATCTTACAACTACTGTAGTAGTACATCGTCGTCTTCGAGAGCAGACCTGGAACGCACATGCAGAATATTCCGGAGTACATGCATCGACGGCGGCAAAGTTTCCGACCGGACATTCTTAACCCGATACCCATGTCGGCTACTCCACTCACCGGATATAACATCGTGTCGACGCAAATACGCGAAAATCTTCACGGAAAAGCCTGTCCTTGGGCAGCGACAGTCTCCACCCGCGGATATGAAGCCGTCGGATGCGCGCTAATGCATGAAGATAGCCCAACATGTACTCTAATCAACCACATATCTAACGTCTTGAGTCACTTGCTCTCTTTCCACTGCATTCTTCAACACTCGAATGTCGGTGCAAACACTCTAACCAGCAGCACGAGTCCCTCACAGACTCTTCATCCAACGCCAGTATCTTTTCACAATCTCGCCTTCTATGAGTACGCAAAATGGCACCCTCTTCCACATCCTCCTCAGCACCCGCTGGCCAACACGCGCCCAACTCCTCCTCCACCGAACCTGAGAAGACCACCGAATACGCCTCCATCATCCCCCAACCACGGAGCAATGAAAACGGCCAAGACTGTTTGCAACTCCAACGCACAGTCTCTTCTGTCAGCCACCATGACATGGCCAACGTCCAATACATTGCTACGGGCGACAACGATGTAATCTACAACAAATTCACTGAGCGCCGCAAAATGGTCATTGTGGCTGTTGTCTCGTTTTGCAGTTTCTTGGCTCCCATCTCGAGCACGACGGTGCTTTCTGCTGTGCCTGAAGTCGCGGATACGTTTGACACTGATGGATCGATCATCAACGTTTCCAACGCTTTGTACATGCTTTTCATGGGGCTGTCTCCTTGTTTCTATGGACCGTACGGGAATATCTACGGCAGGAAGTGGGTGAGCGTTGTGAGCGCTGCGCTTTTTACTGCGTTTTCGATTGGCACCGCGCTGGCTCCGAATTTGGCGGCGTTTTTCGTGTTTAGGATCCTCACTGCGTTCCAAGGCACGGCTTTCCTTGTCATTGGGTCAGCTGTCATTGGAGATATATATAAGCCGGTATGTATACACTTTCTTGATTTCAGTGGTCACTTCCAGATCTACTTGAAGAGCTGCGTGAGATAGAATGCACATCACACCACCTACACCCTCACCACTGCCGCCTCCCCTACTAACACACCCCACAGACCGAGCGCGCAACAGCCCTAGGCTGGTTCCTCAGCGGAACGCTCATTGGTCCCGCCCTTGGCCCCTTCATCGGCGGCATCATCGTCACATTCCGTTCCTGGCGCGACATCTTCTGGCTGCAAACCGCCCTCGCCGGCGCCGCAACCCTCTTCTGCTTCTTCCTGCAACCAGAAACCATCCACAAGAAGCGTGCCGACGAACTCGAAGGTCTACCCCCTAAAGAACGCGCACATAAAATGTGGCAGTGGCTCAACCCGTTCCGCGTCGTCAAACTGTACCGTTACCCAAATATTCTTCTCACGGCACTGGCGTCCAGTTCCTTGGTGTGGAACATGTATTCCCTCCTAACACCAATCCGATACGTGTTGAACCCGCGGTTTGATCTCCAATCACCACTTCAATCCGGCCTCTTCTACATCGCGCCTGGATGCGGATACCTCCTCGGAACCTTCTTCGGCGGCCGCTACGCCGACCACATTGTCAAAAAGTACATCCGCAAGCGGGGTGAACGCGTCTCAGAAGATCGACTCCGCTCCTGCGTCTTCTTCCTTGGCGGCGTCATTCCAGCATGCATGCTCATCTACGGATGGAGCGTCGAGAAGCGTGTTGGCGGTATTGCGCTGCCGGTTGTTATGATGTTCCTGCAGGGTGTGGCGCAACTTTTCTGCTTTCCTAGCCTGAACACGTATTGTCTAGATGTTATGCAGGGGAGGAGTGCGGAGGTTGTGGCGGGCAATTACTTCATGCGGTATATGTTTGCTGCGGCGGGTAGTGCGGCGTGTTTGCCGGCTGTTAGAGCGATTGGCGTGGGCTGGTTTAGTACGATTAGTGCCGGGTTTCTTGTTGCGGGGGCTGCGGCGACGTATCTGACTGCGGTGAAGGGTAGGGACTGGAGGGTTGCTATTGAAGAGAAGAAAGCGAGGAGGAAAGAGGAGGGGTTGGCTTAGAGAGTTGGTGAGCCTCGAAGAGCTGTTGAAAGAATTATACCGACAATTAATAAAATCACATTGTAGCATTGGTTTTGACTGCCATTATACATTCTGCTGCCTCTATTCCAGCCCAGACTGCCCTCCAAATCTTCGCGTGCAAGTCTCACGATAAGGCGTCCACTCAGCTGTGGCTGACCGTCCGTCAACTGTGGCTGACGGGAGATTAATACGACAACAAAACGGCGCTTCCTTCTAGCCATCCAGCTCTTCATCCACCACCAATCTCTCACCTGAAATTACAATATCCAGCGGTCACCATGCGCTTCAACACCTCCATACCTATCCTCCTCACCTTCCTCAGCATCGCATCAGCCCAAACATGCGACGGCGGCACAGCATGCGGCTATTCTGCACAACTCTGCTGCAGCGCCGACGAAATGTGCGTGACAGACGAGAACAATCAAGCAATTTGTTCTGTTCCCGCCTTGAGCAGTTCGACGCCGGTGGTCAGCTCGGAGATTGCTGCTACGACGTCGATGCCGAGTAGCTCGGATTCCGCTACTGTGACGCCAATGTCGACGTCGACGTCAACGCAGGTCACGGGCGTGGAAAGCTCGTCGTCCAAGACGGATGTTGGGAATGCGAGTGCTACTGCCAATTCGACCGCCATGCTGTCTTCTAGCGCTACGCAGAGTGCTGATGCGACTGGTGTGGAGTCGACGGCATCGACTACCAGCGCGGAAGAGACGGCAGAGACGAGTTCGTCCGATGCGACTGAGGCTTCGGCTTCACCGACGACGGGAGCGGGTGGAAGGGTAGAGAGGAGTTGGTATGATGTGGTGGGAATGAGTGTTGTTGTTGTTGTGACGGTGTTGATGTTTTGAGTGAGGAAGAGAGTTGGAGAAGGAAATCGGATGGCAGGGAACATGGCGAGAGGTAGGGCGTTGGTATGATTCTGTAGGTTTGTACTGCGTATAATGGGAGGTATGGTGTGTCTATTGTGAATGTGAGATGTGGCTTACCATGAAGTTGAGGTTAAAATCGATGGAACCGTGCACATTGTTGCTCAGCACGTCTTACCTCTTACCGCTCCTCGAGCCAAACATGAACGTGCGATCTTGCGACATGTCGAGACAATCTCAGCCAAAGTTTTACATCAGGGTAAGCAAGCGATATTGACGAGATGGCAACTACAAAAGCGAGCGCCCGACCAGGTATCTTTGTATTGCGCGTTCATCATCATAATATTCAAGTTCGGACATCCACACACACTCTCCAAAAAGAAGAAGCTTCTCCATACCCATTTACACTTCACTGCAAGATGTCCAACTACCACCACGTCCTCTTCCAGTTCCCTCCCCTCATCGCAACCATCATCCTAGCCTTGATCTTCCGAAAGATCTTCTACAAGTACCTCAACACTGCCAGGAAGCGCAATTACGCTCTTAGGGTCGTTGCGATCAACATTGGTATCATCTTCCTCCTGTACGTCGTCGTTAGAAATGTAGTGATGATTGCGGAGATGCGGAGGAAGCATGAGATGGAGATGGAGGGTAGAGAAGTGGACGTAGGGGAGGCAAAAGAGGTGATGAAGGAATGTTTGGGGGAGATCAGATAGTATATAGGGATGGCCTCGAGGTGTCTAGGTGCCATCATAAAGGAGTTTTGTTCATGGAAGAGACGAGATGAGGTGAGCACGGCATGTGCAAACTTGCAGATACTAGAACGGAGTCGTTCTAAGATATTTAGCTAGGCCTTCAGCATGCGTCATCAGCCATGCGCTACGCGTTGTGCATCCTCGCACTCGTGCGTACCTAGGTATGGAATTCCATCGGCATCGCACACCTTACAGTGCTCTTGACAGTCTCCTCCCAATACCATCCTTCTCCCCCATCACAGCTTAACATTCTCTTCACCATACCAGCAAGCTAATCACGCAGTTCCGTCTTGGCGGAAATACCACCGACGAGAACATAGATAGTGAGGACGAATACGGCGAGGACAAAGAGCGAGTTCAGAGTAACTCCTGCGTTCAGATTGAAGTAGAGATGAACGAACATGAGGAAGAAGAAAACCTGGCAGAGAAAGGCAGTGTATTGGAGGAAGATGCATAGAAGGGGTGGGGACTGCATTGTGTTTTTGATATTTTGGTTGGGGATAGGTGAGAGCAAGATTACTGGATTGGTTGACTGCGGTAGTCGGGTGGCTGTATGAGTGGTTGCAGGTGGTGAAAGTAGGCTGGAGGAAAAACGTCGGTATGAGATGGTCTTTATGGATGTGATGACAGAGGGAGAGGCTTGCTGGCTCCCTGCTCATGACAACACAAGGCAACATCAACATAAGAACAGCATCTTCTGGCATTCGGTCCATCTTCTAGTTTGCGGTTCGATCTTTGAACTAGACAAGGAAACATATTTCTCTCATGAATTGTGCTCTTCGGAAGGCGACTTTGGGCTTTGGATGACTTGTTGAGCTCTTTTGTCTCTTCTGCTTGACCAGAGTGTATAGCAAACTCAAACCCACCACATGTAGTTATATCAATGCCTGTTGCACAGAGAGATCCATATCGCACAACGCAGATAACCCTACATCATGTCATCATACGCTCTCACCGGACTAATTGCTCTCGCAATCCTTTCCACCCCTTTCACTGTCCTCTCAATCATTTGCTACCCCTTAGTCATCGTACCCTCTCCGAAATTCGCCAGGTTCGTCTTCATTAGCACATCCGTACTCGCCCTGTTCGCAGCCTACCAACTCAATACCACCAATCGAGATCTCGGAGCATGCAACTATGCTCTTCACGCATGCGAAAGCGATCTCGATAACGCCACACAACAGAATGTCGTACTAGAAAGCAAGCTGGACAACAGCCCTATGAAAGGAGTGGCCGCCTTGAGGGCCGATGTCAGCCGATGTGAGGCACAGAAGAGCATGCTGAGATGGATTCGTGATGATTGTCGCGCGCATTGTGAGGCGCATGGGCAGGATGTTCCATGGAATATTGGAATGAAGATAGACAGCACGCTGGGGCAGACGACGGAAGCAATTTTGGCGGGTGAGAAGGAGAAGAAGTCTGAAGATGGGGAAGAGAAAGAACAACAATAAGACAAATAGAAAGTGAAGTGGCTGGAGCGAAGGGTGTGGAGGAGGTGCGGAGATAAGACAATAGAGGCTGGGCGGGCGAGGAAGGAGATAATTGAGGCAAGGAGATGGATGAAGCGGAGAACTGATGCTTGATTGGAAGGATTTTTGGTCGTTCTGTGCACCAATTCCGCTGATCTACACGGTCGAAGAGGAATGGGTGAAAGGAAAGACCTAGTTTGATCAGCGCCAAGTCAGTCGTGTATGTAGATTACTAATGTCTCTCATGCAGAAAGAACGACTTACGAGACACCATTTGCCCTCTGCGTCATGATCAATCATTCCAAGACCATGTGCGGAAAGACAGCGCCCTTCTACTAAGTCCAAATTTGTCAGACGAGGTGAATCAGGGGCGCTGCTAAAGGCCCGTTACCAGCATAAGTTCCGTGGCTTACATGATGCGGTACGCGAGGGAACCGAGAACCTCGTAGTCTCGTGACTACGCGTCAGAGCGATGGAGGAGCTGTGGTACAAAAAGGCAGCGTACAACAGTATTGAAAGGGTATATCAAACCTCTCTGGTCCTTCGCTCGCACCTGAAAAGAGCTCATCTCATCTCTTACCGAGCGCATCACCACATTTTCGCCAACTTCCGACAAGACTACGATCCAAAATGCCACCACTATCGCACCACCCCTCCCTCCGCTACCTCTCCACCCTCTTCAGTGGCGCATTCCTCGCGTTCGGCTCAACCTACATGATATCCCCACGCACGGGCTACTCTTTCTTCGGCTTCACCAATAGCCCGAGCACATCGGCCGAATGGGCTATGATGGAGCGCGTACTAGTTTTATACGGCGCCAAGGATATATTGGTGGGTGTGGCTATCTTTGCTTCGACGTGGTCTGGGACGAGACGCAGTGCGGGATTGGTGCTTGTGGCGGCGGGTGCTTGCGGGGCTGTTGATGGGTATGTGGTTGGGAAGGAAACGGGCATGGGCTGGTGGAATCATTGGGGGTGGCCGAATGTTATGGCAGCGGTGCTTGGGGGTGTTTTGATGGGGGTGGTGGGGTGAGCGGGTGGAGGAGTGGAAGGGGGCAGCGGGGTGGCATCTCGCCATACGATGTTGAAATCCGGCGGTGGCTTGGAGATGGCGTGTGGTAACGTTAGAGCATTTGACGACTTTTATAAAGATTCGAGAAATGTCGCCTGTCATGTGGAAGAATGGTCACGATGGAGGTCAATGTTGCCATCTTGCACGTGCCGTCGCGCGTGGCTAGCGCGAGTGGCGCGTCATAGCGACTTGCGTCCCGCGTTGCCTGCCCCGAACACTCACATGAACATCCGCAATGACGGATATATGGAGCGGAGATATTCTGCTACCTGATGGCAATGTTATTAGAGGTACATATGATCATTCATCGGAAAGATACAGTCGCTAATTCCCCACAGACGTCGGTTTCGCGTCGCAAAATGTCGCGTCTTCCCCAGCCCTCCCCGCGACGTCTCTACGCTTCCTCACCACGGTCGATACCGCCAAGATTCCACTATACCTTGCCGCTGGCCCCAGCATAGACGTATGGACGACAGAGGAAGCTACTCAGGCTTGGTTCGAGGCAGTACTGCTGAGTAAGCCTACGTTGGCGGACGCGCCCAACAGTGCCGCGAAGGAATGGTGGGACCTGGCGCGATCACAATCGCCAGTTGGTTTTCTTGTACAAGTTCCAAGGGATGAAGAAGATGTTCGAAAACCCAGAGTAACCGAGATCCTCTTCTATGGCACCGTCGCCGCTCCTACGATCGCTGGGTTACCCACCCCACCGTCCTCGTCTTCGTACATCGACAATGCGCACGCCGAAGTACTCCCTGAGCTTCGAGTCCACGCATTGCCGCTTTCGTCTGATCTTCTTCATGCCACCAGCATCGACTTGCCCGTGGACGCCGAGCCTCAATTTCTTCCGCCGCAGTACGATTTCCACAACCCCCCAACATCACCAAAGCGAACGAGGGACATATTTGAAGAGGCTACCATCGCAAACAAGAAGGCACGAGGAAGGGGTGGGAGAGCAGTCTCAGCCGCAGCAGCCCGCGTCAGCGAATCTCAGCAGGCATTCAGTCACCGAAAGTCGTCGCTCTCTATCGATTTGAAAGCCTCATCCTTCTCCGACTCCAGACCGACGTCTGCTTCCGACCATCTAGCTCGCCCTACCTCGCGCCCGCTCTCCCGATCACCCAGCATATCCTCCGATACAAGACCCCTCAGCCGAAAAGGTCAAACCGACGCGCATGCCAGGCGATCGAACTTGTCACAGGTTGCTACGGTGCCCATACAACCTGAAGAGCCAACGACCGAGTCGCGAAACAAAGATGCATTGGTCAAGGTGGTCATGGCAGCGATGCGCATGCATGGCTTGCAGCAGCGGAAACAGAATAGGTCTCGTCGCGCCTCTTTGGCTGGTGCTGAAGAAAGTCAGCAACGGAGTGAAGAAGCAGCAGCTGAAGAGGCCGCGAAAGACGATGAGTACAAGCTGATATACCACCAAACCTTCAAAGGTGCACAACTGGCACTGGTAAGACACGTGAGCCCTCATCTGAGACCTTGGCTAACGAAATCGCAGAGAAAGCACATGTCCAAGAAACCACTCCATGCCACGCCCGACCGAATGCGAGACATCGTCGAAAAGCTACTAGCTCTCTTTCTCTCCGACCCGCTTGCGGAACCTCCGCCTCCCGAGATACCCGCGGACCCAGTTGCCACACCTGGTAGTAGACCTAGATTTGTGATCCCTGGATCCACACATGGCCATGCCAGTCCATTCGACTTGCCTAGCACACAACGACGTCCTGGCATGATGAGATCTGTTACCGATAGCCATGTTTACACGGGTTCGCCAGTGAGCAAGAAGAGGGGTATCACGGGCGCGACGTTGACCGTGCCTACGTGAGGCGCGATGCAGGCTGCTAATACTGGATACGAGGACAAACGCATTACCGTCGGCTATGATGATGTACTCTTGTGGGGACTGAATACGAATCACGGACGCGTCACTGGGAATTTGCAGTCGACCTATGCATATTTCCTTTCTTGGCACCCGCCGCCACGCTTGTCACCATCAGTAAGCACTGTGAGATCATCAGCAACCCTCTCAAAGCGGCAATTGTTAGAGTTGATGCTGCAACGCCGTAGCCGTCGTACAGCGATGATCTACGTGCCCTTGCAGCGGAGCCTTGCGCATACGAGTGGCGTCGCAAAGCACTGAAAGCGGTCTGAATTCAAACGAATTGCCTCAACACCTCGACGCATCATGGCTATACGACGTCACGTCGGCTACATCATCATGGAAGCGAGACAAATTATGGCGTTGCAACGATGGCCCCGTATACGATGACCAGATCTATAAAGCCTCCTCGTCGTCTCATTGAAGAACGAACCAACACCGACAACGCCAAACCTCCCATATACCCATCCCGCTCAACCATATCAAATATTCAAGATGCTCTCCAAGATCACCGCCCTCGCTCTCCTCGCCACCAGCGCATCCGCTGCAGTCCTTCCCCGAAGCGCAGACTGGACTTGGGACGTCGTTGCCTTCAGCAGTGTCTGCACCGCATCAGCATGCCGCTACTCCTTCAACGTCTCCGCACCCGCTGGTCCTTCCGGCCAGCCAGCTTTCGACGCCGAATTCTGCTCTGGCACTAGTCTCCAGGGTGGCTACAAATCTTGCGGTGCGGTAGGGATTGATGTACCGGGTGACGTGCAGACGCAAGAGTTCAATCGTGGGAGTGATGTTGGCGCGACTGTTAGTGTGCAGTACACGTTTACGCAGTAGGTATACCCTTTGGTGGAAGGTGGGGTGTTTTTGGAGATGGCAGGAGCTGACATGTGGTAGGGGTGAAGTGAGGTACACGTACACCGGTAATGAGACTGTTAAGCATACTGGACTGGGTCCTTCGGTGAACTTTAGCATTGTTCCCACGGAGGTGACTGCTGTCGCCTAGGGAGGTCATTGGGTCGCGACGCACGGAATAAGAGGAAGGTAGCATGAGTACAGCACGGCGATCTGGAAAACGGCGAACTCAAGTAAATATACTATGTGTGTGTATGCTACCTCTATACCTCCCACGATCAATCAAACAGCGCACGGTTATACAAGCAAGACCGAAAATGACAAAACGCCACATAACTCCCCCAAATGCAAAAAGTTCGGTACGCCCCAATCCAATGAATGTCCTTGCTACTTCCACCAGTCCCTTCCACCAGTCCTTTCCTAACCTTGTCCCGCTTGCCTCATCATCAACCCAGTCTGCATCTTCATAGCGGTACCCTCTCGCCACCTATCCTCCGATCAATTTGGGCGTCCCTAATAGTGCTTCCATCCTTGTAAAGGTCGTGGTGATGGTCACTGTGACCATAGTGATGGTTGCCGTCAACGCTCCGATAGTCAGGGCCGGGAGGTGGTTATCGGATGAAAGAACCGTAGTCGCCATGTTCGATAGGGGGTCCTCTGCTGGGAGAGATGCGTTCGCTGAATGGGACATGTTCGCCAGTAGGGAATATACTAGGGATGCAACCGCCGACAGGGAATCGTCTGCCGGTAGGGATACGTTTGTTGGAAGGGATAGATTCTCGGGCACAGATGCATTCGCTAGTAAGGTTGCGTTCCCTGGGTGTCCGGCCGCTGGGGTATGGCCGAAGCAGATTGTTTCCACGACACAGATGATCAGATGTAACGTAAAGCCCGCGAAACAGGCGCACAGAATGCACTCAGGCCATGAAGTAAATCCTTTCGGGGGTTTAGCATATTTGACCTGGACGTTTATCAAGGACCGAGTGGAATAAGCTGAGTTCGGTGCATACCGAAAACGAGTGCGCTGATGCGGGGGTAATGGAAGTCAAGATGTGATGTGAGAAGAGATGGTAGGTAGTTAGATCTTAGAGGAGATGTGAGATTGCCAGCATGATATACAGCGTGTGTGGTCGCTAGGCAGAACCTTGAAAGAGACATGTCTTGGAAGTCTCTGTGCTGAGCGCACATAGAATGGTCTAGTACCTTATCTATGCGTCGTCGCGCGCGACCCTTCAGTGAAACATTTACGTGGCCATGTATCAATTGATATGTTCCAGACCACGCGCGCAGGCTGAACTATGCTCGCCGCATGTTTGAGTTGAGATGTAGCGGTGTAATTGCAAGTTGCGTTATGCGTTGCGCATGAGCTGACTAGGAAACGGGCGGCGGCGCTCTCGATGAGGGCTCGAAGGTGCAAAGATAAGAGAGATAATAGCGGATGTAGCTGAGCATGTGTAGGTCGCTTTGCCATGAAGTAGCGAGGAAAGATAGACAACCCAGAGATCTACCACACAGAGACAAAAGAATTAGCCCCGACTCAGCAGCCCAGCACCGGAACAAGATCAGTCAAGAATATCGTGTGCGTATGTTTGCTTTACATCAATTTCTCAGGACCGACAACAAGCCGGTAGTCTCGGAAGCAACATCAACATCTATGAAATGACGCATTTTACCTCTACCCTCCCATCGTCTCACTTTCGTCTTCTTCTCCCTTTGTTGAGGATAAATCACGTCCTAATCTTCTCGTTCTCCCCCCAGCACTCCCGCCTCCCCGTACACATTGACATGCAACGTTCCGCCCTGCGCCACATTGATGTGCATGCCTCCATACTGCCCTATGAAGATGTCTGTTGGAGTTCCACCAGGTTCGTAAGCGTCTTCCTCCTCGTTTTCTTCATCATCTTGTCCAGCTGACGCCTCATTCCCAGGCCAGCAAACGAACACAACGAACCACACACATGCTACGAAACCGATAAAAGTAGACCAGGAAAGGAACTTGGCGATAAGAGGCAGCTGATGAAGATGAGTCTGGGTCGAAGCTGAGACGAGGGATATGTTGGGGTTGGACATGGTATGTTCAGGAAGTCGTGAAGTTGGCTATAATGTATTTAATATTTGTAGATACAGGTGCGACTGTTCGAGGTACGCGAAAATGTTGTGATCAAATGGTCGGGCATAGGGGAGCAACCCAAACCATGATATATGGCGGGTGCCGGCGTTTGCTGTAACGTAGAGGCCTCGAATTTTGCTTTCTTGCTCGTGCATAGAAACGTCTGGTAGTTACGTTCGCTCATTGCGCTGCGCGGCTATCTGCTGCGATAGTACGCATCAGTCGGTCAAGAGTCGGCATTACATGCGAGTTTGTTACGGCTCGCTCTTGTGGCGCACCAGTGAAATCGTATGCTTTTTCTGCCTGTAAAATGTGCGAGTGAGTCATTCAGTCCACGATGCATATGTTCGATGCGTTGTAGTGCCTGCCTAAGTGTCCACGGGTATGAGTGCTTCTACAGGCGAATTCAGCCGAGACAGCGACATGGAAGCGCGACAGTAGTAGGGAATCCTTTTCAGGGGTTTGCAGCTTATTTGAATATCGCGAAGGATGGCATAATGATAGACCCATGTCTGGAAGTAGCTAACTATGAAGAGTCGGAACTTGGGATTCTTCTTAACCTTGGGATGATCAAAGACTTAGTTGACGATCCACCGCGCGTCTTGGAGCAACTGGTCGCGTCCTTTACTAAGAATGTACTGCTTCGTAGCCTTGAGTTCCTTGAGACATTGACCTTCCGGATCGGGGGTACTCAAGACTGTAGTCTGCTCTTTGCGGCACGAATGTACACGCATATGCGACCCGAGCGAAGTTCGCGTCGTTGTCGCCGGCTTGTAACAGAATCATGTCGACTTGTCAGGGACGTCGTTCAGCTGCATATGGCCTAAATGCGGTTCGCCGTCGATCTGTCGCCAACGTGTGCCTGAACAGGACTGGAAGTGGAATTCTTGTTCACGGCCCTCGGGGATCCAGGAGTTATCGCGGCTCATCTGCGGGGCGTAGGTGTGGTTGATTCGCAGACAGTGGTCCATGCTTCCGTCGTAGTCGGTTGTTCCGAACAAGCCATATCAGACGCCGCTCTATACGATGTTGAGCCATTGTTTCCAACGATATGATGGCGCATCCAGGGTACTTACCGCCCACGAGTCACCAAGACCAGACCAAATGTACTTGGTGGAAGCCACGTCGACTTCCGCGTCGGCTACTACCGTTGTGTTCTCATAGAGGCTTACAACCGGGCCATCAAGAGGTGCTGCATATACCGTGATAGCCATGAAGGCTGTCCACAGGAAGAAGGGAAGCCATTGCATTGTCGCGGGTTCAAGGTCTAATCGTCTTGGGGTTCTCGAATTCCCGTGTACACTCAATGGTTCAGTCTGACGTTGACCACTGCTCCAGAGTCGAGTCAAGACGCAGAGTAGCGGAGGGCTAGTGACTCGTCAGTAGCAAAATTGTGGGTCAAGCTGACTGCATTAGTGAAAGACTCCAGGCGATGCCGCCATCAGAGTGCTTCGCCACACGGATCACGACTATACCTAGATGGAAGACCCAGGAACGCTTGAGACGTCGACATAGCATTAGGTTCTCCGCGGGCTTGGAATGATACAATGGCATGAGAATGAAAATACAATTCCTTAACTACTTGAAGCGAAAAGAAAAGCTCGAAGACTGCAAAGTGCATGATCTGCCCTTGATTACTTCCATCATAACCAGATGTAGCCCACAAACCGTTAGCTACAAGCCTCACGCAAAAGAAATGAAGAGAGGAGAAGCGCGCCTTACTGCATCTCCTTCCCTGCCGCCTCACCGACCTGATCGAACGGTCCGAAAGGATGCTGCTTGCGCTTGAAGCCAATCTTCACGCGACCAACACGCTGCATTTTGTCCTCAAACTGAGTCCCGAGCCTCAGAACAGTCTCCCTGTACATTGTGGCGGTCGTCCAGTCGTAGGAGCAACCGATTATGCGCTTCATACCACCTTCGGAGCCGGCCATGAGGAAGCACACAGGTGGACGCTCGGCGAGGAAGAGCGTTGCGGTCATGTTACCTGACACATGTCAGCATCTGGTCACGTTGTTTGCAATGAGGTCAACGCTTACCGGTATCAACAAGTGTAAAGACGCGTTGCTCGCCTGGTCCAGCAGTCCTTGCTCTTTGTACGAGAGCTGCGACGGCGGGGTCGGACGTTGGATCAACGGGAACGCACTCGCCGTGGACATTGCGATGATGTCTTGACAACGGACTAGCTGCTGCCTAAAAGCGCGAAAACGAGTCAGCCCGACGTCGCAAACAGGATGAGAGCATACATACAGTCCACTTCATGCGTCCCAGTCTGCCACCAAAGATTTGGGTTTCGATCGTATCCAAGTCCATGTAACCCTCGAAGCCAAAGAACCAGCACTGCTGTTCCCAGAACTTGCCGAGAAAGAGTAGACGTAGCAGCCATGGTGATAAGCCCATGACCACCAATGAGTAGAGCAGCAAGACGACGCCTATAGTATTTGTAAGTCCAGGAATAGCGACAAGCACACATGCAGCGATGAAGATAATGCCGCTGAGGCGCAGCATCCCCTTCGCAAGGAAACGCTTCCAGGAGTCACGCCGAGTATGGGCGACGGGCGTGAAAGACTTCCACCGGACATTTGCAGCGCGACAACCGTCGAGGATGATGCTGTCGTCTTCTCCGACACCTGCGATGCCGACGTCTTGTGGCAGTATGTCCCAGAGCTTAGCATTGTATGCATCGTCCATGGAATGCCAGGGCTGGTCTGGATATTTGGGTAGCATGCAAATCAGGCGCTCGAGAAGTTGATCGCTACCGTTCGCAAGCGAGAGTCTGCGAGATGTTAGCAATGCGAGAAGTGACCGCAGTTGAGGTAAGACATACCGAGCGAACGCTTGGAAAGCAGAGTCCGTTCGGTCGATCTGAGGTCTGACACGAAGCAGGCCCATCAGAGCATAGCTGTGATCACCGGGAAGATGCTCGGTGGTGCTGCGGTTATGCAAGCATTCGAGAGCAAGCGTGACTAGCTCGAGCTGGCTGAGGATCAAGTTTCCCTCATAATGGTCGATAAGCTGCGGGGATTAGCTGTCGTGTGAACCTTAGTTTGGAGGTCATCTTACCTGTCGAGCGACATGCGCGTCGTTCTGCCACACTCTGGCGGCGAACTGGTTCTTCGGCACCTGTAAGGGATGCGAAAGATCGCTCTCGCGCACGTAGACGCAGATGTCTTTACCAGCAGGCGCTAAGAGGACTTCAGGAAAGGTCCACACTCGATAGCCCCATTGCTGAAGCATGAGGTCAGGCGTGTTGATCTCGTAGCTGTTGTTTGCTGGAGGGCCAACTGCGATTGCAAGAGATTGCGCGCCTCGAATGACGTCGCATATGCGGTAGACCTCCGGGACCTATCAGCGAAGCTCCACTTATATCGACTGAGCGATCTGCTTACATCTTCTTCCAGTTGATTGTCAGGCATGCAAGAGCATCCTACCCAGTACGCAATAACGCCGGCATTGCGCGCCGCAACGTCGGCCATTTGGTGTAGAACCCTGAAATCCTCGGGAGTGTTGAACTGCTCAGCCGTGTACGCGATGAAGACATACGAGAGGTTATGAGCATCATGTTGAGCCAACCTGCAGATATTAGAGATTTATCATAGATACGGCGTTGCTGACCTACCAATCGTCAACCTTGGTGATCATCGCCGGCTTTCCTGGCTCGCGCAAGAAGCACAAGTACCGAGGACGCAACACACGTTCAGCGACAGGGTTAGCTTGGCTCGAAGCATGACCTTGGGGCCTGTGCATCTCGATCGCGTTCTTGGCAACCTTGGGGTATCCGAAGTACTGGTATGGCAGGCCATCGTAGCTCCCACCGTTGCGAGATGCAATCTCAGCGGGGCTTGGGCTGGAAATCTAGACGCCGTCAGCTGAGAGATCAGAATGCGGATGGATTATGCTCACAAATATAGTGATGAAGCAGGATGCGACGAACCACTTGAGACAAAGCATAGGAAGGTCTTCGTTAGGGATGTTGCCGTGATTGCGCGCGAAGTCAATGTGATTGAACGGCCAGTTCGCCAATCGCATGTACATGGGCGCGACATTACGAATGAACGTTCGTCTATATGTCGATCCAGTGTTGTTCTCGTAGATATCGTCGACAGCTTGTACGACGAGCTTGGACACCTTTCCGTCCCAGGATGAGATGTAGCGGTCATCGTAGTCGCCAGTCCATTCGCGATCAAAGATGTCTCGATGTCGGTGCTGACCGAGCTTCTGATATGCAAGACCGGGCTTGCGGTAGAAGTTGGGGCGCTCCCATTTCATCGTAGTCCATGGAGAGAAGATATGTGCGTAGCCCTTAGGTGCGATCAAACCGTTGCGCTGGATGGCATTAGTAGATTTTGGCATCTGGAACTCCACCCCACGTACCTCTATGACTGACTGTCCCAGACGCCTCTGGTTAGCTTCGTGGTCATCTTGTGGGGCGGCAGGATGTCCGTATGGTGCGACTTCGCGGACGGATGCCTGAGCGTCATTACCGACCATCTTCGCCATCGCGTAGGCCACGCTAGGCAAAGCAAGCACACAGTCGATTTATGAAGCTTGACTGCTGTTTGGAATGCTGGGGCGGCGGTTGTTGATACTGCTGATAGGGCTGATGATGATAACCAACCGGCGCCTGTGCATTCGTCAGAACTGCATGAAGAAGGGAGAAGCGAAGACATACTGGGGGCGCGAGCGTGGGCTGTGTGTGTGACACCGGCTGGTGGTGCACAACTACGGCAGGCTTCAGAGTAGTATTGTTTGGGTCGTAATTACCTCCACCACAGTGATGCGATTGCGACTGGTAAAGGTTGTCAGATGGCCGTCGTCAAAGATCGGGGCTCCAGCGAAGACATACTGGATAGTATTGCTGGTACGAAGGTACTTGTATAGATGTGCCACTGCTAGGATCGAAGCCACCTCCGTGTCTACCAAGAAGATTAGGAGGATAAGCCTAGAGGTAGTTAGCGAAAGTCAGGGCGATCGACGTGGAGGCCGTAGAGTCTTTGTACCATTCAACGTGAGCTTGTGAAACTGAGCGGCAATAGTCTTGAACCTACGACTTGGAGACCTTGAGGCCGACGATCGTGTCTAGTCTTATCAGGTTCAAGCCCATGAATAGAATCAGGTCATGTGGCACGAGGGTAAAGCGCCTGCCTGGAGGCGCGCATTTCTGGAGTCGTTGCTTTTGACTCTATCCTTGACTTCAGCTCAACCTCTACCTATCTTGGATTGGCCATTCCCTTAGATCCCAACCTCCTAACTTCCACTTCACGATATAGTGGCGTTTGGGGCGGACCCTACATGCAGGAGACAGTCCAAAATGGGTCGAGGTCCTATCGATACGGCCTCCAGTACCACACGGTGGTGACACTCCATGTGGGCATCAGTCATCGGACTGGGTACAGTCCATGTCTTGGCTTTGTTGGCACGGTGGGCGACCTCGGGGACTTTGCATATTCGCCTACCCCAGTCGTCTGGTGTGGCTTGAAGCATTGTTCATGCGTACGGTACGCGGGGGCTGCCTCTTCGTAGACGAGCGCCATACAAACGGCGAATATTATGAAGCTCTTTGTTGGAGTTCAGATCCATGAAGATAGGTATCCTAGATATCCACGACAGACGTTCGCGACATGTTCTTGTATCCCTCGAGGCCATGCATGCGTCTAGTAGGTGTAGCCGCTACGTTCACCCGACGCAGAAGTCTGGAGAACGTATTGTCCTAGGTGCACTGGAAGACCAATGGGTCTTGCTGTATAATGGAACTTGACAGGTACCGCTGTTCGCATTCTCGCGTACAGTACCATTTCGAGGGGCTCGGCTGTTTACCAGCTGCCATCTTGGCATCCTCAGCCTTGCGCCACCAATTCAGCGTAGCGCTGACGGCCTCTGCCGATAGGCTCGCTCGGAAACTCCCCTCAGCTCTCGAAATTGCGTTTACCGCTTCCGACCAAAGCTGAAAAATGCCGAGAGCAGAACCGCTGGCCCGTGGCCGCATTGCTCAAAGCGTCACAGCACGGGTCCGGTGTTAGGCGGATTTCTGCTCGCTATGGTGCGCGGCTGCCATATCGTCGAGACCTGTGGCGCTGGCTCTGCCCGCATGATTGACGAGGGCTGATAAACGAGCAGTGCAATCGGATAAATGCTTTCGTGTTGCTGCTATCAGTAGAGTGCCCAAGTAGTGTGGGCAAGTGCTTGACTGTGTCAAGAAGTTCCTGCAAGTTATAGTTTTCGTACTTTTACTATCGCATTTGGACTGCAATACCACCAATGAAGAAGACAACCTTGTCTCGGCAACTGAATGCTGATACCCAACCCTTTGATGAGTTCCGGAGGAGAGCGGTAGCAGCTGCGGCGAAGCATCCAAAAGTGATACACGCTAGTATGACACTGGACCTTTGCGAATGGCTTGATGGCGCCGATGAAGGTGCTGGAAATCTTGACCTGGCATCCGTCCAAAAACTTGAGGCGGAAAGCAGAGGAACTGTTCGGGTGATGTGAGTACGCTGGTGACTGGAAGCTGAGTCGCTAACGATGATAGCTTTGCGCCACGAGACATACCGACACCGGGCGCGGAAGCGTTGCTTGAGTTGTTCGAGACATGCGGTATTCCAAGTGCTTTTGTCGATGAAAGCCTGCGAGACGTTTCGCAATCTTTCGCAGCGCGCGAAGACGCCGATGGCACGACATGGATCTGGTTCCACCTCTTGTGCAAAACTTTGGCAATAGTAGAGAACAAAATCGTGCCAAATCAAGACCCCGTAGAGGTCGAGGGTAAACAGCCTAAAAGTCGACAATCGGCGCAAGCTCAGAGTCAGGCGAACTTCTCTTGGATCAAACCGGGTATCGTACTGAAGATTCGGAAGCAGTCAGATACTCCGCCCACGCCGGTACGAACGTCAACTTCTGACAGCGATACGACATTGACAGCCACTTCCACTCCAGCCAGGGTGGAGCTGATTTGTTTTGGCGCGCCTAACACACTACGGGATCGGATCCTGGCACTGACGAAGACGACACCGTGCCAGGCATTACTGGACGACCCGCACATACTGCTCGAGCTCGTTTTCGAAGAGATGTACAAGATCCTCGACTGGACTACCTGGGCTGTGTCGGATACGTTCGGGCCATTGGAAACTGTAAGTCTGGTACTTGTTTGATTCGACGTCATGCTGATAGGGTGTCAGCAAACTCTAGGGATAGCCAGTAGGGTTGGCAAAGCGACGGAAGAGCTACCCAAGGACCTCTTCACTGGGCTCCACAACCTCGCGAAGCATGCCATATACCTCCGCGAGAACTGTGAAGCAGCCCTAGCAACACTAGACGATCTCTACAGCCACTACGTAGTGGTAATGGGCGCCAATCCGTGCACGCTACAGAGACAAACCCGAGAGGCGCTCAAGTACAGACAAACCCTATTCGAATCGACGCAGCGACGGTTGGCGAGCCTCAATGCGCGAATCTCGAACATCATCGAGCTGTCATTCAACATCGTCACGCAGGGCGATAGCAAGTTGATGCAGTCGGAGAACCAGAGTATGAAGACGATCGCGGTTATGACGCTTTGGTTCATGCCTCTAGGCACGGTGTCATCCATCTTTGGTAGCCAGTTCATGAAGCTGCAGGATGAGTGGCCGCATCATATCACCGTATCGCAAGACTTTTGGCTGATGTGGGGTATGTGAACTGCCACAGCCTGCTCGTAAGATGTACGCTAACAATGTGTCTCAGTCATTGCGGTTCCTCTGACCATCGCAGTCCTGACCAGTAAGTGCAGTCCGGATACGAAGTTGCTGAAGACGTATGCTGACTCGATGTGCGAACCACCAGTTTGGCGGGTGTGGTACATGGACGCAAGGTCCAGATTGATAGACGGGTTAGAAGTGAAGAAAGGCGAGCATGGCTATATGGGATGGAAGACGTTACCTCAGACGCTGCGTCGGGTAAAGGCGAGGAAGGGTGTGTCGGATGTGTGAGCCTCTAGGTGCAAGGTTGACGACGTAATCTGGGCGGAGCAACCTCGGCAGCTGCCGCCGCGGCTCCATGGGCCTTTCCATCTCGACCTTCTTGCCATCGCTCCTTATCTTGCCAGCGCGCACCAGTGTAGCAGGTGCTGTAGACATCATGGCGTCTTCAAATCTCAGACTTGTTGCGGTCACAACACAACACATCAGCACCCATCTTTCGCATCTTTATGCCACATCAGTGTCTATCCTTCCGTCGTTCTGTTCAACACCACGACAGTCTTGAAATGGAGCAACAACAAAGTTCAGTCGCTTCTAGTAGCCATGAAACAGGTCCCGCATCCATACGTCACTCCACGGCAGCCTCTCCGTCGCGAAGGACGGATGCATCGGTGTCAGTAGAGTCGAACAATGCTCTATCGGGCGGTATCCAGCCTATCGAGCCAGAACGATCGCAAGAGTCAAATGACGCACACGCGGGCGTCCATGCCATTGTACCCAGCGGTGAGCCGCTTAGAACTTCAATTACGAACTCAGTATCATCTCTAAACCCGGCCGCGCCCACGTTCGAGCCGGAATCTTCGACGTTGTCATTGCTGAACCCGGATGTGGCTGCGTTTGAGCCGATATCCGCACAAGGGCTGAATCATTCTCGTTCACCTAATGATCAATCCACCCAGCAAGAACGTTCACAACAGTCGACTGGTCACCTCACACCAGACGTTGTCGCTACTGAAACTAATGAGGAGCAATTTCAATCGCTGAGTCTCAACCCAGACTTTCGCCTGAGCTCATCAGCACGTACTTCCGAGTCGCAGCCATCGCCAGAATCGAATGACGTCCCCTTAGATTCTAGCCGAGCTACGGAACCAGCTATACCACGACTTTCGTGGGCTGAGACAACTTTTCACCGGGTTCCACCCTGTGGTCAGAGCAGCCGAACCCATTAGACTACGAATCCACCCGCCCATACACCTGGAACGCAGCTATCACAAGAGTCAAGCGGCGGACCTTGGATGTCGGTCAGACCACTGCGCCAGAGACATCATAGCAGCCGGTCAATAATCCTTTAAAAGATGTCGAGGCTGTTGGGCCTAGCGGCAGACTCTCTCAACCATCCAACGCGTCACTTGCACCCACCGCACCTCGTGGGCATCCCACACATGTTTTCATTAACACTGGATTCTTCCGCCAACGCTGTCAGTGCCAGAACCAGACGATCATTCGTTATGAATGGCCGTCCGCCTATTCATGGAGCGTGGAACACGCTGCGGTACGAGATTTCCTTGTCCGTCATCATCCTCAAATCAGCCACTTGAGGTATTTCACCGGGTTCAGGCTTGAGGCTACTTTCGTCTTCTCCGAGAACGAAGCACTCTTACCCTTTTGGCCTGCCCAACCTTTGCACAATCTGATAGTCTCAGTAGGCCCTCCTGAAGGGATCAACAGCCCTTGGCCTGTCAGATACGGCGACCCCTATGATAAGCTCATTGGCCCATCTTCGATGTTGCCAGCCAGTCAGCGGCAGGCACAGCAGACCACCGCCTAGCGAACATAACCATGGACAACCGCACGCTCCTACAGTGGCGACGAGCACGCCATTTGGCTGGTCTAGATACGAGGTTCACGGACGAAGAGGTCGTGTATCGCATACGCGAGAACGTAGAAGAATGGGCAGCATACGGTGGTGGAATGGGCCTACATCCCAATGTTCAGGCGTGGGCCATCCATTGCCTATGCTTCATGTACCCAGATGAAAGGAAATGTGAGATCTATGATCTGGATCATGCGCGCCTGGATGTTGGGCCCCTGCATTCCCATTTCGTACTCCATCATGCACCAATCGATGAGGCAACAGGATACGATTCAGAAGACGAGTATCACGCCCCACCGCGCTTTCCATCCGATAGAATCTCATACAGGAACTCGATCTACGGACTTCGGGTCGTGAAGCGGACTGGAGCGCCATATTGGTCGTGGTAGAGGTGAAGGGCGCGAACACATGCGGTAGGAGTTAAGATACCGACCGATTATTTAAATAATGTATCTATCATGGCTTGTTCCGTGCAGCATCCTGAACATGACGTGCCTCATATCATCCCATGATCCATACCCAAACCCAAACCTACCATCACATCACCATCCCTCTGCGCAATATCCACCGCCCCACTAACCTCAATAAAATCCTCCAACTCCTCACTCGTAGTCTTCAGTTTCTCCTTCACAGCCGTCACACCCTCCGTCCCCACGATATGCCTCGCAGGAGGATTATCATGCCCCCCAATCGCCGTAAGCGCATGCACCGTCTCCGCAATCAAATTACTCTTTACCCCCACCGGCAACGGTGCATACAAACTCGTCACCGTGTCTGAACTCAGCAGATCGCCCATGGTTGGCTCCGCATCGGGGTTGGTGTCTGACATGACGCTTTCGTCTCCAGGCGATTTCGTCGCGTTCTCATCGAAGGGTGGATGCGCAGTGGGGTTATCTATTCTTTCTAGTTTGTCGAGGAGGCCGGAGAAGATTTCACGGGCTAGGGGCGCGGGGTTTTCGCCTTGGAGGTACTCGGACATTGGGGGGACGGAGGTTATCCGGTTGGTGAGCACGTTGACTTCCATGTTGGCTTGGACTAGGGAAACTTTTACGTTGAACGGGGCGATTTCGTAGGCAAGGCTCTGATGAGGTGTTAGATGTTGGAGTGGTAAGGGTTAGGGATGGTGCGCTCGTACGTCGCAGTAGCCTTCTACGGCCCATTGGGAGGAGCAGTACATGCCTAGGCCAGGTGTGCCAAGGTGACCGGCTGTGAAGAGTTAGTTAATGTCGCGTTCAAGAAGTGATGGTGACCTACTAATACCAGTTATCACGATGATATGACCATTCTTCCGTTCGCGCATGATTGGGAGAACGGCTTTGATGATGTTGACGTTGGCGAAGAAGTTGATCTCAAAGATCTCATCGACTAGGCTCCTTGTTCGACTAGTCTGCGCGAGCTCTTCTACAGAGCCGATCACAGCTGTACACATGAATTATTAGTTACACCTAGTCAAGCAGGCCAGGGTCACAACCTTCGCTCGCAGCGCACAACAACACGTCGATGCGACCGAATGCCTCGACAGCTTCTGCGACAGCTGCTTGACATTGGCCAACCACCCTACAAAAAAACCCGTCAGCAATGCGCAACACACCATGATGGATCGCGCTATCGAATGCTCACCTACTATCTAACCCAACAACCCTCAAATGCTCCCGCCATCGGTCCGTTTGCTTCACATCCTCAAGAAACGTCCGAAAGTCCTCACTCTGACCCTCTCTTTTCTCGAACTCCAGCGGCATAACGCCCGCAACAACATAATCGCCATGCTCCAGCACTTGTCGCGCTAATGCGATGGCGATAGGCGATGCGCCTCTTGTGATGAACCAAACGCGCGGAGCATTGTGGGGCGGGAAATGCGGAGATTTTGGCCGTGGCGGCTTCGACGACGCAGATATTGGCGCATTACTTGTCATGTCGGGGTTAGAAGAATCGATGTGTACTTCATGTTGGCTGGCGCGTCTTCATGCTGCGGCGATGTGATGCGCGGTTCAGACCGAGCAGGTGGGGCGTTGTGGAACACCGCCGCTAGTCGCTTGGTCACCTTAGCGCGGACGAAAATGACTGAACGACATCAACCACCATCACGACTCCGCCAAGACTTTGAGATATTGCGCGTTCTAAAGTCAAGCCCCACGGAGTCTTGAAGCGGTATAATTAGGGTTGCCAGAGATCTCCTTTCTGCTGTCCTTCCGCAGTACGATCCCAATCTGCTTTCTGTACTACTAAAAAAACTACCCTTTCACCTTCACTTCAGGTATGTCAAGTCAGTCGTCATCGGCTGGTCATGAACCAGCCTCCTTGATTAAAAAGTCTTCTCGTTACTCCCAGCCCCTTACCGCACAGATGAAGCAAAGTCTTCAGCTTCTTCAGTCTCAAATCTTCTCTCCAACCTACGCTCCACTACTACACTCCATTCTTACAACCCAATCAATTCCCCGAAAGCACATCTTTCCATACATTCAAAAACCAAATTATCTACACTATGAGTCTAGTACTAGATCAGTTCACGAACCACTGGACTGACATGCTTCCGGACTACAGAAGCCAGATCACCTACACTGCGCCTTCAGACGGCCTCGTTGAGTTCGATCCGGCAAAGTGGTTGGAGAAAGCCCAAGAAGAGATACGGATTGAAGAGGAGCGCTGGCTCACTAGTTCCTTTGATATCGACGAGCCTGCTCCGAGAAAGGTTAAGATCCGAGCTAGAGACTCCGCGCAGTGGATCAAGAAAGACAACCGCAACTTCACTGGCCGTCGCAAGCGTAGGCGTGAGCTCCCTGTTCCCCGCGCCTTCAACAAGCCATTCTCCCTCATGCAGCACCAACGCCATTCCATCCACCTCATGGGCAGGGTCCTCAACGTCCGCACCAATGGATCACCCTTCACGCTCGTCCTCGATGACCTCAACCAGCGCGCCGACATCTTCGTTGGCGAGATCACCCGCCGCGCACTCTCTCGCAATGTCAATGTCGTCTTCGTCACTTTCGAGTCTTCTCAGGCCGTGGCACCCATCCGCACCGTCCAGGGCTTCGGCATGACTAGCGATGAGATCTTGACGGCCCTGCGCAAAGCCATGGACGATGCGAAAGAGAGCATTGTCGTCATCGACAACCTCCATGAGCTCCTCTACCATTACGGCGTCGACATGACCGCGCTCTTCCAGCTCGTCGTCCATAAGTACGCTTCCACTCTCGTCGGTATCTACCACCAAGATCTGCTCGACAACCCAACAGAGTCACCGTACGCCCCACAGCCCCTGCAGCTGATCAAGTATATGGCCACCTCCATCATTACCTGCAAGTCCTTCGCCCACTGCCTCGCCGCCAAGGCCGCCGCAGAGCGCAGCCTACCAGAGCCCACCTGGGGCATGCTGGAAGCCGCCGAAGGAATCATCCAAGACCTCGACGCCAACGACAACCGCGGCATCGTCATGGAAGCAGAGTTCCGACGCAAGTCCGGTAAGCCAGAAGGCGAGACCTACTTCCTCCGCGCGCCTCGCCCGGAGGACTTCCACGAGCCCATGCCCGGCGTCCCCAACGGCACCCTCAAGCAGGAGTACGTCACTCTCCTTGACATGCAGCCCGCATACGCCGGCAAAGTGTCCGGCCTCTTCCAAGATGCAGCCGAGAACCCCAACTCTACCTTCAACCTCGCCCTCACCGAGAAGCAAAAGCAGGCCCGTGAGGAGGTCGTTCTGCCTTACTTTGATGCGCAGAAGGGTGAGGGTGCTGGCGAGGGTGGTCGCATCTTGTACGACATGGGCTCTGAGGATGACTTTGACGAGGAGGAGGATGAGATCTGAGGTAGCTTGGTATGTCTTTGGTTAGATGCATCGGCGCTGGTCGCAGGTTTGAGTTGAGCTTCTGAGATACCCTGTCTGGTAGGGCGACGGCGTTACGGCAATCATTGATGGGATGAGGACATGTGCGAGGCGCAGGCGATAAGATATGAGCAGACTGAGAGAAAGGTCTTGCCTTGGGTTGGGATACGGTCTCAAGGACGGATGGTTTTGCGTCTTCCCAAGATGTAGCAGTCGTATGTCACAGATAACATGACAAAAGCCATTGTTTTCGCGCTTGCCTGACATGAGTGAAGTGATACTCGGCCTACTGACCTAGCTTTTCGCCCTCCATGTAGCGTGATTGCGACTCGCGTATAGCGGGCTGTTGCACCGCGTAGTAAGGCTGAGGCCCCAGCCTTGGCGCCCAAACTCACCCAGCTCACCAAATTATTCCTTTGCGCCAGCCTCACCCACCCCCCCTACACCCAACCCCACACCATGGCAGACAACGAGCGACCGCGGGCAGCATACAGCGATCCATTTGAGCGCGACACCCGTCGCGCACCCCGCGAAAGCCGCGATCGAGGCGGCACACCCACCGAGCGCCGCGGCAACCGCTCGCGCAGTCCCCAAGAGCGTGGCGGCCGACGCGACAACCGGTACCGCTCGAGATCGCCCTTCCGCAAAGACGAGGGCAAGGGAAGCCGAGGGCGCGGACGTGGCGGCCACGACCGCGGACGGGGCCGCGATGACAGGAGAGGCGCTGGAGGACGAGACGAGCGCCCCAACTTCCGCGACCGCTCCCCCCAGCTCCCCAAAGGTCCACGAGGCGACAATGCGCCTCCAAGCCGCAGCGCAAGAGCGCCTCCTACCGGACCTCGCTCCTCCACCGTGGACCCTATCAAGAAGGAAGACGAAGGCACGCCGGATGTCGAGATGAAGGACGAGCGCCAGAAGCCAGAAGACATGGACGACGACGAGTGGGAGATGCTCAAGGTCATGGGCTTCGGCGGCTTCAAGTCGACCAAGAACACAAAGGTGCCGGGTAACGACAAGAACTTTGGCGTTAGGAAGGACAAGCAGCTGCAGGCTAGGCAGTACATGAATCGCCAAGGTGGATTCAACAGGCCGTTAAGTCCTAGCAGGAGCTGAGGAGGTGGTATGGGGACTGGGTTTCATGGTCACATAACGGCATTCCTGGCTACCACATCATGAGAGACGGGCTTTCATGGCTACGCCAGAGAAAGACTACGCATAAATTGGCGACATCATGGAGGATTGCGACGCACTTTACTTGCGTCCGGAGGCACCACCTCGCACAGCCGGAGACAGTTGTGCCGGTATGTGTGACGAACAAGCGTCGGAACGGCATGGTAGGATTTACATTCATAAAAACGCGGCTCATGGTATGGTGCCTTCTCTTCTCCTCTGCACTCTACGGGTTCCCTCAGTCTAACCGGAGCAGAACAAGCTAGGAAGAGAGAGACCTGGCTGTAATACCAGATTCAGATCAGGAGCCTTTTGAAGGATTGAGCTCGATAGATTGAGGCAACTACGATTTTATTTTTACACCCAACTTTCACCGTATCCTCGTGATACATTTGAACATAACTTCATGTGCGTGCTAAAATACCGTAGTTCGTCGCGTTCGCACACTTGTAGTGGCAGACAAAGATAACGAAAGGGCTATTACTCCAGCCAATCAGCGCCCGAACAACCCCGGGACCTCCGCGAAATGTGTCCCAAACCCTCCCCGCAAAGCTCAAGCTCGAGCTTTCAGCTTCACCCAACACCATGACGCGCGAATCTCGGCATGGCACCCTGTGGAAGGGGCTTACATGCCTGTTTGCCCTTCAATTGCCCCTCGTGAGCGCGCAGGTCGCCGAAATAGAGAAAGCTACAAATGCGAGCTTGCTATGGGGACCCTACCGCCCAAACCTCTACTTTGGCGTCCGGCCGCGCATACCCAAGAGCTTGATGGGCGGTCTGATGTGGACGCGCGTTGAAGATTACCAAAGCGTGCAGCACAGTAGGTCTGCAATTCCAAGCTTGAACGAAACCCATTGCTGACTGTGTAGACTTCCGACACACGTGCGAACAACATGAGCTCGATGGCTACGGCTGGGACGAATACGACGTGCGCAGCGGCGGCCGACAGACGATCCACGACCCGGCGAACAAGATTGACATCACCACCGAGTTCATCAAATTCCCTGGCGGAGAGCATGGCGGCAGTTGGGGCGCGAGGATCAAGGGTACACCGCGCGAAGACGCAGGCCCGAACCTACGCACGACTGTCGTCTGGTACAACACGCTCGCCGGATTCGGCAACTTGGGCATTGAAGGTGCTGACCTCGAAGAGCCTGGCATCGAGGGCGACGTGGTGCTGAAGGGGCAGACCAAGGAACTGGGCGAATTCGAGCTCACAGTCACCAAGGGCACGGGCGAACATCCTGTAACTGGACATCCCAGCTATGACGAGAAGCCTCTGGACCGGACACTGGCACACAGCGGACAGGTTCCGGAGGAAGCGCTGTGGCAGGTCAAGGCCATGATGTTTGCGCACATGAAGGGCCAAATCGATGTACTGGTTCCCAAGTACGGCGAGGAGAATCCACCACCGCCTGCGCAGGTCTACACTATCCAGCATCTGCCGGGCAAGGGCAACATGCACTTGGTTCAGAAGGTCTTTGAGGGCCCCTTCGAGTTCGACGTCATCTTCTCATCTGCATCGGCGCCGGAGAAGATCACATCCGAGCATCTCACCCAGCAAATCGATTCAGTCACTTCTAGCTTCTCGACTCGCTTCACGGACATTTTCAAGCCCCAGACACCCTTTGTCAAGGAGCGCTATGAGGAGTTTGGCAAGTCGCTCTTCTCGAACCTGATCGGCGGCATCGGCTACTTCTTCGGTGACTCTCGTGTCGATAGATCCTACGACCCCGCCTACGAAGAGGATAGCGAAGGCTTCTGGGAGGAGGCGGCTGAAGCGCGAGCCAGGAACCCAGCTCAGCTAGAAGGACCGTCTGAGTTGTTCACTGCCATCCCGTCACGACCTTTCTTCCCTCGTGGTTTCCTTTGGGATGAGGGCTTCCATCTGCTACCTGTTATCGACTGGGACGCAGACCTCACCCTTGACATTATCAAGAGCTGGTTCAAGCTCATGGATGATGACGGCTGGATTGGTCGTGAACAGATCCTCGGTCCTGAAGCTCGCAGCAAGGTACCAGAGGAATTCCAGATCCAATACCCTCACTACGCCAACCCGCCCACACTCTTCATGGTCATCACGTCCTTCCTCGACAAGCTCGATGATATGAAGACTGACACCAGTAGCGAGAAACTGCAGCAACAGAAGTCCTACTCGATGCAACTCTCAAATCGCGAAGCCGCTCTGGAATACCTCCGCTCGCTTTACCCACTCCTCAAGCGCAATTACTTCTGGTACCGCAAGACACAGGCTGGCGATATCAAGAGCTACGACCGGGAAGCCTTCTCCACCAAAGAGGGCTACCGGTGGCGCGGACGTACGCCTTCACACATCCTCACTTCCGGTCTTGACGACTACCCTCGCGCTCAGCCACCCCATCCTGGTGAGCTGCACGTGGACCTGATCAGCTGGATGGGTATGATGACCCGCGCGATCAAGCGCATCGCAATCTACCTTGACGAGCAAGACGACGCAGCCGAGTTCGCACGCTATGACGAAGCGATTGTCCGCAACATCGACGACCTCCACTGGTCGAAGAAGGAGAAGACCTACTGCGACGCCACCATCGACGACTACGAAGAGCACTCCCTGGTCTGCCACAAGGGCTACATCTCCCTGTTCCCCTTCCTGACGGGCTTGATCGACAAGGACAGCGACAGACTGGGCGCTATACTCGACCTGATCGAGGATGAAGAGGAGTTATGGAGCCCATACGGCATCAGGAGTCTAAGCAAGAGCGACGAATTCTACCATACCGCGGAAGACTACTGGCGCGGTCCGGTCTGGATGCCTATCAACTACCTCGCTGTCTCGCAATTACTCGTAAGTCCCACCTCACTGACATCTCTTACAATGCATGCGTACTGACGTTCCCTCCCTAGAACGTCGCAACCAAACCCGGCCCCCAACGCGCTCGCGCAACTAAGATCTACACCGAACTCCGCAAGAACCTAGTCAACACCGTATACGAGAGCTGGAAGGAAACGGGCTTTGCCTGGGAACAATACAACCCCGAGACGGGTAAAGGGCAGCGCACACAACATTTCACCGGCTGGACTAGCTTGGTCGTCAAGATTATGGCTATGCCGGATTTGAGCGGAGGTGCTGAGCAGGTGAGGGATGAGTTGTAGATGGGCATGAGATACGTGGATGAAGTAGCGAGGTCAGTATCAAGGACAGTACCGCTGCTTGCATGCTAAATGCATGTGTGAGATACTAAATCAACGCATGACGATACGTTGCAAATGAATGTATTGTTGATTCCCTACCCTAGAAGCCTTCCCATACTACCACTCGCATACAGGGAAGTATCACTTCTTCTCGGGCGTGTACGGAAGATGCGAAGACACGGTGCTCAAACTAGCACAGCTCTGCCCCTCATAAACCCCCTTGAGTTGGACCTCCTTCCCGCCTTTCTCCGTCTTCCAGTACGACACAAAAGGCATGCGGAGCCTAGTCTCCAACACAGAAGCAGTGCAGAGCGTAGCAGACTTGGGCGGGCACTTCAGCACCACCTTTGCTTCCCACTTCTGCCTCGTGATGTTCGTAGTACCCCACGACAAATTCGTACTCAACGTAGTACTAATGCCCACCTTGCCCTCCGCAAACAGCGGCACACCGCAGCTAAACTCGGCCGAAACCGTGACGGAAAGCCCGACCTCGGAAGTAAACGTCGACTGCTGTTCCGTCTCCTGGCTAATCGTCATCTCCTGCGTCGTCTCAATCTCCAGATGGTTCATCGCCTTTTGCGGGGGAAAGTGCCTGATGCCCGTCGTGATGATCTCTGGGTGCTGTTCATCGTACTCGATCCTGACGAATTGCAACGGCTCCATCTCGAAGGTGAACCAGTGGTCGTCGTAGATCTTGTCTGTGTCCGACAGGCAACCCAGTTCAGGCTGCGCATGCGTGCGAGAGAAGAAATTGCCAGAACCCGCGGGCGAGTGCAGACGAAACTGCTTATTTCGCACGCCGGTGCCTTGTGTCTGTGCAAGGTCGAAGTAATGGTCTGCGTATTCGCCTGGCGGGTTGTAGGTGCCTACCTCGCCGTTCCCGCCGTTTGCGCCGTTGCGGTGGTTGGCCCAGAGGGCTCGGCCGGTGTAGGCGCTCACGATCAGGTAGCGGCCTTGGTTCTTGTCTTTCCCGGGCTGGATATACCAGTACTGGTCGTCGTAGGTTGTCGTGCTGTCGACGTGGTTCAGAGCGTTAGTGTCGCGCTCGTTGCTGTAGAGGGCTCGTCGCGATGAGATGTTCAGGATGCGGGTGCGAACTTCTGGGGGTGGGATGCCGCGAGAGGACGTCATCTTGTATGGGTAGCTTGGGGTAGTGATAAACTTGAGGAGAATTCGATGTTTCTTCTGGATTGGATACCTCAAGAACTGGGTGGAGATCTTCTGGAGAGGATGAGGACTCTATAGTGAAGTTCCAGTACAATATATACTACAGAGGGACTTAGAATGCTCGTCGCGCTCATATTCGGCATGTGGCGGGTGCAAGCCAGTCACCGGTTTCGACTGAAGCGACATCGCATCTCAATCCCTTTTGCTGTTTTGAAGCTAGATCGCAATGCTTTTTCAGAAATTCAGAAGCGGTCAGCTCAATTAGGAACCTCCGATGCGGCTTCGCATATCGATTTATCAGTTGCTGCAGTAGGCTAGGTTGCCCAAACACTGGAGCGGGCAGCCAGCTTCGCTGTGAGCCCAGTGCCAAAACGTTTAGCTAGAAACCTAGTAAACCGTGCTGGTGTAGTTAACGCGACAGTATGATGATCGTTCTCTTGAAGATGTGTTGAGTTGGCCTCGAAGTGACGCGCAGCTTGGATGATCTTGGTACTGCGACACCGGCAGTCGACACCGAGCACTCCTACACCACACGATCGTGCGCCGCGCGACAACATACTATGTTGGCGTACACTGGACTTTCGCGCGTTTCAACGCGATTGGCTATGTCTTTGCCCTCGACTTTCGTATCGCTTCAGACGCTGACCGCGACTTCATCAATCGTTGAGGAGGCGATACTTCACACACCATCTCTAAGTCCCTCAAATTACTTTCAGCCCATTTTTACATCGTGAGATCATACTCAAGAGCGAGGGCTGGTGGTTCCAAAAATGAACCTATCGAGTCGAGCGGCCAGGAAGAACTCGCGTCCGATCTTTTAGTGGCCAACGACAGAATCCTTGTCCTTTCCAATCGCTAAATGGACACTATGAGAATGATCTGCTGGCTTCAAGCAATTCTTTGTAACTTACATGTGTAACTGTCATACGTGTTTTGCATGCGCATGGCATACCGCATACTGTTTAGATAGCGCCGATGATACCTCATTCGCATTGATTGCTTTTACCACATCAGCATTTTTGACCTTGTCGAGGCCGTCAACGATACCGCATGGCCTGGATGTAGATTACAGAAAAAGGAAAATGGGACGTTGAAGTGGCTGCAGCTTAATATGCGGACTGCGCAACGGCCCGATGCCGACGGCTCGCATACACGAAGCTGTCATGCACAATGCAGGAGAGCAGATCCCGGACACCGCATTTCATTTCTTGGATCGATGATACCATATCTAGCGACAGGCTGAAGTCACTCGTGTGGAAGACAGGAGGTATTGTATTGATCCTTGAGTGACGAAGTGATCAAAAGGAACCAAGAGCCCTTTACAAGCCTTGGAAGCTCCGGAATGCCGTGTGCCAAGGTGGGGCGATCATTACACACCACCGCTGTCGGTTGCAGACCTCATAGAACGACGGCCCACTCCACCACAAATAACAGCGCCTGCAAGACATTGGTGCTACCTGCGCACGACGAATGCATGTCGCTACCGGCCGCTGTTCTAGCGGAAACACCGGAAAGAAGCAAGCGTAATCCTGAACGATAGGAAGCATGACGTCGCAACTAAAACACGCTCTGCACGGCGTTGGCGTACATTACTACATCTGAATTGTCGGGCAGAAGGAAGACAATAAGAATCACGCATAAGTTTAATGGGTGACTGATGTCGCTGTAGTTATGCCGAAAACTCCTAACTATGCAGGAAACCGGCACCGTTTGCACCCATCGATTGGATCGGCTAGGCCTTCACCGTCTTGTGTATCGTACCTGCCTCGGACTCTTACATGATCTTTTTGATCAATGTATGATTGGTTGAAAGTGCTTGCGACGCATGGATCGACTGAAATTGTTTGCGACACAACCCATAGACGGTCTCGTATTCAGCTGGTGGGCCCGTCACGATAGACGTTATTGTGCCACCGGTCGGATAGCGCCAGGCCATATTACTTGTCGCTGTTCACACCCAACCTAGACTTTGCCAGACCCTACCACGATTACGAAGACTAGATGTCTTGGGCGATCGAACAGCACTTGTGACTCTCCGAGATCAAAGCTCGCTCGGCGAAATGGGTCGCGATCGTGGCGTCACTCGAAGTACAAGCGGCAGACCATCTGCTCTCAACGGACTAGGAATGGAGCATTTACTTCTTTACTCCTTCTGCCTACTCTCACTACATGGAATTATGAGGCCATGGTGAACGCAAAACCTGTTTAGTACTTCCCGTTCGATTGAAGACAAGTTTCTTGACTCCCTTCAGAGAAGCGCACGACTCGCGTCGTAACATGCTGCGTCAACTCACCAAATCAATAGCCTCCATTCTTGACATCATAGCCTCTGGGGATGGCCTGTTGCTTGCATATGAAACGATTTGTAAGGAAGGTGCTAGAGGAACTTGTTGAAGGCGCAAAAGGTAATACATGATGATGAAGTGGAAGGTGTATTGAAGAAGGCTGCGACCACCAAACAGACCACAACGGTCTAATCCGCTATGCGCAGTATTATCTACGGCACAGTACTGATAGAGAACGATGTATACAGGAACAAGCACCATGTAACTGAACTCTGCTCTTCTCGTCCACTGAATACCTAGAACTCGGGAGTGAAAGCATACTTCTCAAAGTCAGCAGGAACATCACCGTTGTCATTCCAAGCCATCTCCATCAACATGTCTGCATCTGCCCGGTCAATACCCTTGGTCATGTAATGCTTTCCGCCCAGGTACACGGCGTCGGGCTCAGTCGAACCGGTGCAAGTCCAAACATCATCAGCCGCCTGCCTCTTGGAGTTGGAGTCGCTACCGTCCGAACCAGGCTCGGTCCAGCTGAAACCGTGGAAGTCACCACCGGAGATGCATGTCGAGGTTTCGTAGACGGGGACCTTCTTGGCTATAGTACCACACTGGAGCTTTCCGTCGGCATTGGATCCGGGACCTTCGTCCCAGGCTAAGAATTGCTTCTTGCCGCACTCTTGGACTATGTACAAAGTGTCAGTTTAATGTGGCTTTTCCATGAGGTTAAGAATTCACTAGACGTACCTTCGAGCTTGCCGGATTGGACCGTGGTCAGACCTTTAGAGATGGCATCGGCAGTAGAAGACGCGTTGCCTGTGATGGACACGGCGCAGATGTTGTGGTCGATGTCCTTGAAGAAGAAGGCGCATCCGAAACATCCGGGCTTAGTGTAGGTGTAGATATTGTCGGCTGCGACAAGGCTGCCAACAGCGATAAGAGTAGAGAGAGCGAAACGCATGGTGAATTGAGTCGGTCGTCTGAGTGAGTGGATTGAGGCGTTCAGTGTTTGTTGCAGGTCTGTAGTGATGGAGGCGAAGGGACTGTGAGTTGTATCGATATCAATATGGGCGACATGATGGCTTATATGGTGGTCATGCCATCCTCACGATGCGATGCAAGCGGTTGATGCCGGCAACACCGTACTGACCACTAGTAAGCACCGGATTACCACCTGAATTTTGCGATCGTACCTTTCGAGGTCGCAGAAGGTTCTGGTGAAGCGGGGGATTTGTACCGACACTTCGACCCGACCTGTAGGGTATCGCGATCTGATGGGCGGTGCACCCACGAGCGCGGTCTTGGTATACTGGTGTGGTGACATCAGCACCGGCTTACGACCTAGACCTTGCTATTCGAATGCCAAAGTCAGACTTTGCGGGGCAGATCCGCAGCATTGCTCATGT